GCTAGAATGGCAAGTACACAATCTAATTATACTGTTGATCTTAGGCTTTTTCCCATTGTTTTTCTTTTTCTTTTTTTGAGCTTTGGCTTTTGGATCGCCAAAAATCAGAGCATTCTTACCATAAAATTATTATTTTTTGTTACATCGTTTGCTTTTCTCGACTTATAAGCCGTGGCTCAACCAATGGGATTGGATTAGTCTCTTCATCTATGAAGATATTAAACTTTAAATTGAGAGTAATTTTATAGTTATTGAGGAGGTACAAAAAATTTAGTGTAAAATTTAGTACCTCATAGTATCTAGGTACCAAATGTACAATAGAAAAAGTGGCACCTCATGGTACCTTCTCAAGTACCGTAAAATTGCTCTTAAATTGATGTAAACTCTAAAGTTGAGAAATCACTTATTGTACACTTATTGTAGATAGTACAACGATCGAGAGGTATTTCAAAAATAAAGTAATACCTTATATTTTATGATTAAAATGACAGAGAATCACATGTATTAAATGTTTCATATATAAAACCCCACCCTTATTTAAATCAAAATTAAATTTATCATATCTGAATTATTATTATTTTTAACTAGCCAAGAGTTAAACCAATAGCCTCAGTCAAGAAATAAAAAAAAATCATATATGTTGTATTTTAAAAGTTTAAGTAAAAATATACTCAACATGTATACCTAATGTTATATGATACTTTGAACCATTATATCTAAGATTACGTACCACTGGTCATAGTATATGTTTTTTTTTGAAAGGATATCATAGTATATGTTATGCAGCTTTAACAACAAAACATAGGTTTATCTCACAACTTGTTTGTGACGATACTTTAGTTAAGTAATATAATCCCTGTTCCCTGTATTAAAAAAAACTATCAAACATAGGTTGATTGAAATTTACTTGAAGTAATTAATATGTTGATTAGCTCCCTGGCCTTTACACATACTCCCTCCGTCCCACAAAAATTACATTCATAGCATCCCAAGGTGGAATTGGTGGAGATGGAGAATGACTAAAATGCCCTTAATCATTGAAAAAAAAAGTAAGAGTGATGAGTAGGTAAAGGGTATTGAAGGGGTAAAACTTCTTGTTTTACGTGCTAAGGGTAGGTATAGAATGGTAGAAGTTGGTTTTTTGTGGGACAAAATTCAAACTCTAGTATTTGATTTTTTTTTTGGGGGGGACGGAGGGAGTAGTAACCAATAGTCGAAGGAAAAAGTACGAATTACCCCCTGGACTATTGCTGTCGACTGAATTACACCCCTAAACCACAAAACCAGACATTCTTTGCCCCCTAATTATGCAAACCAAACAAATAACCCCCTAGCAGGAGGCAGCAGGAAGGGCTCGAGCCCATGTGGGCATAGTTGCGAGCGGTGATAGAGGCGGCAGGCGACGCGCGAGGCGGCAGGTGGCGGGTCGGAGGGCAGTGCAATAGACGGTGATGGCGCATATTCGGGCGACATCGACGCCTTTGAGGGCGACGGGGCGAGCTCCGCTTCCACCACCGGCAGCCTAGGTGAGCTCCGCTTCAGTCACCGGCCACCCGGGCGAGCTCCGCTGGCCTCCACCCACCTCGCTCGAGAAGGCATTGCCGACGTAGGTGTTGCCCCTCTTTGCGTCGCCTTGCTCCCATCGGAGAGATTGATGGTGGCGGTGGAGAAAGGACGTGGCTACGGCGTTGGCATGGTTACCGAGCTCACGCTCGAGACTGCCGCCGCTACCACTAGCTGAAGTTCCCCACCTCGAAGCAAGTCCGGCCGCCGTCCACATCCCACCCTCGCATTCGGCTGCCTCCCTCATGCTGAGCCCTGCCTTCTTCGCTGGCCGACGCCACCATTCCCATTGAGGAGAGAGCGGAGAGAGAGGAAAGAGAGGATATTGGAGAGAGAGGGAGAGAAGAAAGAAAATGACAGATGGGACCTATAATTGACTATTATTATTTTTGTTGACTGTATTGCCACGTTGACGCCATGTGTGCAAGCTCTTGGTTAAAACCACCCAAAACAGTTCTAGGGGGGATAATTTATCCGGTTAGAAGTTCGTGGTTAAAAATATATGGTATTTGAGTTTAGGGGGTAATTTGATCGACCTTGATAGTTTAAGGGAGTAATTTATATTTTTTCTTTAGTGGGTTTCTTTTTTATTAATGTTCATATTTTTTCTGTGTGAATTAACTCTCCTGAGGAATTCAATAGTGCATCTTAACTAGAAAGATGAACGTTGCTGCTAATTAACTGCCAGTTGGAGGCACTGCCCAGGGCCCACCTAGCTAGCCTGTGTATATTAAGCTCCATTCCAACGTTAGTGGCCGACTAGAAAAGGGAGGATTAAAATCTTGTACGGGGTCAAGCGGTAGACATGCATGTGGGTTTATGCCTTCATCCACCTCGATTAACAAATCAATAATTCCTTTTGATGTTGAAGAAAACAATACTTGATCAAGAAGTTTCTGCCTTGTGCACCACTAGGGTTAACTGATGCCAGCTACCCTAAAATATTACTACTTTTGGCTCACGCTTGTTTGGGATGTAAATCCCTTTTGCATGATTCTGTCACTGTAAATTCAGCTAACCAGAAGACAACTAATCGTCTTGCCACCAACCGTAAATTAGCCTCTTCACACACTGTCGTGTCATGCCAATAAAGTTTTCCAGTGATCATTCCAGTTGTGTGGTAACACAACTAAACTTTTCAATTAAAGCTCCAACCAGAGACCTGCAGTAGTGCTAATTTTTTCCCCAGGGAAGCAGACAAAACAAGCCGGCCATCGCTCTCATCGCAGCCGCCGTCCGTCCCTTTTTGGGCTGATTTTTCATACCATATACCATAGTCTACCACCGGAGGAATGGAAAAATAAATCGGCTGTCGACATGACGCAGCATATTTAGGGCTTGTTTAGGTCCTGTTTAGTTCACACCAAACTTCCCCCAAACTCTCAACTTTACATCATATCACATCACATCCAAAACTTTCCTACTCATATAAACTTCTAACTTTTTTTTCCAAACTATCAACTTTCCCCAAACTTCTCTCCAATTTCAGGAACTAAACATAGCCATAGAAAGAAAATTTGTAGGTGTCACATCGGATATTTGACCGGATAACGGAGGAGGTTTCCGGACACGAATAAAAAAACTAATTTCATAACTCGCCTGGAAACCGCGAGACGAATCTTTTGAGCCTAATTAATCTATAATTAGCCATAAGTGGGATTAGTTAGGCTCAAAAGATTCCTCTCAACGTTTCCCTCTAACATATTTTCAAAGATTCGATATAATGTTTTTGGAAAAAAAAAGTTTGGGGAACTAAACTAGGTCTTAGCCATCTTACGTTGTGTCCATAGTGCTATTTCTTCCGGCCTAAAAAAGATAGTATTTTCTGCGTTTAAAATTTAATATAATGTAGAACTTCTCCATTACTATCACTACTACCTCAGGTTCTCAACTTAACCAACTATAATCATCTCTAATTTAAATTTTTATCAGGTCACTTATCTTAATTATCTGTAATTTAATTTAATTTTTCTTTACACCCGTAGAAAACTCTAAACGCTTGTATTCTAGGACGAAAACATGGCACTATGGCGTACCAACCACCTGTGGATTTGTTCGCCACCTTCGCCGTACGTTGCGGCTCGCATCGCACCCACACCCGACCCAGGCAGCGGCTGGTTCACTGCATCTGGATGGATAGGCATCATCGATGTCCAGCCAGCCACGTGCAGAATGGCAGCATAAAAAATATTTTTTTCCTTTTTAATTTTACTGACGGCGAGAGGGTTAGAGGAGATGCACCTACTCTCTCTCGTTGGCTGCGAAGCGAAGTGATTCTGTGATAAAAAGTGAGAAATCGTGGTGGTGCCATGCAAGTATGAACGGTCCATAGTTTGGAGGCGAATGGAAACGATACCCTTCTGAATTTGCTGAGTGATATTCGAAGCATATCCTCGTGTGTCGATCGGTAGATGGATCGATATGGAAGCTACAGTTGGGCAGTACAGCCTCCCTGTGGAATCAGTTAGAGCGATCAGTGATGCTACTAGTATGTGACAGCCTGACAGGGACACATAGAACCATGAATGCTACGGAGATTAGTAAAGGGAACACGCGGCCGGCTTGCATTAAGCTCCTTGTGTTAAAGCTGTCAGATTCTTGGATATCACGTTAGGCAGCGCCGGGGGATTGAAAGCATCCGGTAATTGGCAACTTTGAATGCATCGTTTCAGAGACAGACCGATCGACAGTGATCCGGGCCCCCCCAAGTGTCCGCTCAATTGCTTTCCTTTCATTTCGTGCGCGCGAGTTTTCCTCTTAGCGTAGGCCCCTGCAAGTGAAAGAAAAATCCAAGCCAAGACGCCGTCCAATACTCCAATTGACAGGCAAATGAAATGAATAGTTCTAGAGAAACTACCAAATCCACATCCTAAAAACCGAATTCCATATGCGTCGACAACGCAGGCAGGAATTTCCTGGGCACCGCCTGCCTACACAACGACTGGTGACTGACTGACTGCATGCAAGGCGCAACCGATGCAGAGAAAGAAGCAGAGCAAAATTCGCACGTGGTGCAGCAGGTGAAAGCTTAAGCACGCACGCCGGGCGATTACGACGCCGGAGTCCACGAAACAATCGGGGGCAGATATGTGTGTGTGCGCAAAAACAGTCAAAAACATCGAGTTGTTGTTGTCTTGGCGATGCTGCACTGCACGCACAGCCATCCACAAGCCATGAGCCGGCGCGAGATTACAATATTTTTTCTTCGCGGAAGATCTATCTCTCGCTCGCTAGCTTGTCTGTCTTTTGACTCTTCTGTTTCCATGAGGCTTTCGCCCTTTGAGAGAGGTCAAGCTATTTTCTACGCGCGAGAACCTTCGTCGTAGTAGCCGCGAGCGCACATCCTCATCCGGCGAGGTCCAGGAGGGGACAGGGCCGGGCCCACCTGCAGCCCACGTTCCGGAGGAGCCACCCCCATATATAGCCGCGACCTCGTGTCCGAGGCCACGAACCGACTTGGTCGCCACGGAAGCGCAGCATCAACAAAGGCAGCAGCAGCAGCAGCAGCAGCAGCAGCGTTGGTGGTGGTGGTGTGTCATCACCAACATTTTCACGAGAGGAGAAGGATGGAAATGGCGGCGGCGGTTGGGGGCAGCGGGAGGAGGGACGCGGAGGCGGAGCTGAACCTGCCGCCGGGCTTCCGTTTCCACCCGACCGACGAGGAGCTCGTGGTGCACTACCTCTGCCGCAAGGTTGCCCGGCAGCCGCTCCCCGTCCCAATCATCGCCGAGGTCGACCTCTACAAGCTCGACCCCTGGGATCTCCCTGGTACGTACGCCTCTTCTTTTCTTGGTACTCTCCGTCGATCTGTTCATCCATTGGTTTGGTTTTGTGTCTGATGTTTGTGTGGTTTTGTGTGTGCGCAGAGAAGGCGTTGTTCGGGAGGAAAGAGTGGTACTTCTTCACGCCGAGGGACCGGAAGTACCCGAACGGGTCGAGGCCGAACCGCGCAGCGGGGAGAGGGTACTGGAAGGCGACGGGAGCCGACAAGCCGGTGGCGCCCAAGGGGAGCGCGAGGACGGTGGGGATCAAGAAGGCGCTCGTGTTCTACTCCGGGAAGGCGCCGAGGGGGGTCAAGACGGACTGGATCATGCACGAGTACCGCCTCGCCGACGCCGACCGCGCCCCGGGCGGCAAGAAGGGCTCACAGAAGGTAGGCGTCGTGACGACGCGTACTCCGACGCATTCGATTGGTGATGATGTTGAACTGATTGATGCTGATGTCGATCTCGCCGTGTTTTGTTCCTCTGCAGCTGGACGAGTGGGTGCTGTGCCGGCTGTACAACAAGAAGAACAACTGGGAGAAGGTGAAGCTGGAGCAGCAGGACGTGGCCTCCGTGGCGGCGGCGGCGCCGCGCAACCACCACCATCAGAACGGCGAGGTCATGGACGCGGCGGCGGCTGACACCATGTCCGACAGCTTCCAGACGCACGACTCCGACATCGACAACGCCTCCGCCGGCCTGCGGCACGGTGGCTGCGGCGGCGGCGGCTTCGGCGACGTGGCGCCGCCGAGGAATGGGTTCGTGACGGTGAAGGAGGACAACGACTGGTTCACCGGCCTCAACTTCGACGAGCTGCAGCCGCCGTACATGATGAACCTGCAGCACATGCAGATGCAGATGGTGAATCCGGCGGCGCCAGGGCACGACGGCGGCTACTTGCAGTCCATCAGCTCGCCGCAGATGAAGATGTGGCAGACAATCCTGCCACCATTCTGAGATGGATGGAGCAAGAAAAAGGTTGCTGTAGATAAAGGGCGGAAATAGGAGTGATGGCTAGAAAATTATTAGATTTACTAGAACGAAAATGATTAGAAATCTGGCAAGCATGATTCTGCAAATGTGGTGGTAGATGCTTGCAGTATGTAATTCATTTGTTCAGTATATGCATTTGGTAATCTGCAAAACATCTCCTTTTGTTCTCATATCCTAAGCGAAACATATATGATTTTATCCTTCATTAGTCTGAATTCTGAAATATATGCTTGATGGTTTTAAATGTTTTATCCTAAGTATTTTATATTTTCATCTTTTCACTTATTTTTTTTTTTAAAAAAACAAAAGGTTTGGTTCTTTATCCAAATTGTGGTACAGGGGTTTCAGATATTGATGGAATGGCAACATCCATTGCATAGGCAAACGGAATGCGACCATGCATCAATTGATTAAAGTAAGACGTAGGCATGCACTATGTCAGTCGCATCATGACTCATTTGAGTTAGCGACACTAGCTTGCAACTATAGATAGATACCATGAAAAAGACACTGAACAGAATCACGGCAACCATGACTGCGAGTTGCACACAGAAAGTGAGCCCTTCTCTTTTCCCCAGAAATGTATCTGTTAATATGTCATCGTCTCTACAGATAGTAAAATTTTAAAGCAACTTGCATCTGGTTGAGAGATAATGCCGTCATCTAGAGAGCATATCAAAGAGCTCAGGGTGGGGGAAGATATATATGGCAGAATAAGCCACTTGCAGGCAGCATGAGTATATCCTACAGAATGTGATACATAGGTCTTCAGGTGTACAAGGATAAGGTGTTTGACCAATACCATATATTATCATCAGTGTGGTTGAAGCAACTTACAAGTTGGCATTATTTTAGGCCACAAAGTAGACAGATTGGATTAATATGGAGTTCAGGTATGCTCTCACCTTGTAATGATTTAATAATGTAATGATTAGTACCAGGCTAGTGGTAATCCATCCCAGCTTCAAATCCAATGTGCTATCATAGGAAGATTCTTCATATTCACGGCACTAAAATAGTACCATCAGAAAAGGTGCGATTTAGAGCTGCATCATCAAGAAGAAAATATATCATACAAATGAACATTGTAGGTTCTACACAATGTTGAGAACAGTAAAAACTATTACATGGTTGTTTCAGAATATGCCAGTTCACCCTGGCATGCTAACATTGAAAACAAATACTCCATATGAAATAACATTGATCCATATGAAACGATTTGGATCATGAATATGATGGAAACTGCTCTACTATTTGCACTGACAATTCGGCATGTAAGTCAGGACAAGCTAGAAGGTACAAATAAAGGGATACAGCAAACCAGACATGCTTACTTGTGAAGTGTTTCAGCAAATCATGCATTTAGTAATTACAACCATATCAAGAGAGACCACAATGACTAGGAAAACATACGGCATTCAGCTTCTCTTCTGTTCTCTTTAGCCTGGGAAAGAAATGATTTCTTCAATGTTTCTAGCAGTTCTTCATGAAGAACAAAGCGAATCTTCCTCCCCTACTTCATATCTTTTCATAAATCACTTTTTAAGGGCAATCATCATCCAATCACTTTCGAGGATTTGATCTGAGAGACACAGAACCACCCCTTGAACCCACTGAAGCTGAAGCCTTGGCAAGCTCTCTGCCTGAAAGCCAAGCCTGTATCATTTCTTCAGTCTTCTTCTCAGGTGGAAATCCCTTGGCTTTCATCTCTTCGTAATACTTTGCTGACTCCTCCAGTCTCCCATTAAGGAATAAACCGTGTATCAATACAATATACGCACTCCTATCAGGGCTTAGCCCATTTGCAGGCATTGCACTCCAGAGCTTCTCCACACTGTCATGTTGCCTCCACCGGCAGAATTTCCTGATCAACATAATGAAAGTGTCCATCTCTGGGTCACACTGCAATTCTTTCATCTTATCCAACAGATCAAACACCTCAATGGGGCTTCTAGCCACATCGAGTAACGCATGAAATGTTCTCACTGAAGGTGACAGCCCTCTCCCTAACATGTCATCAAGCATTTTCCTTGCCTCCTGAACCTGACGAGCCTTGCAAAGAGGTCTAATGAGGGAGTTGAAAGTGGCCGTGTCTGGGGCAACCCCCTTCTCCTCCATGCTCCGGACAAGAGCCTTTGCCTCATTCACACACTGTCCCTTGGCGAGAGCGTAGACAACTGCATTGTAGATTTTCCTGTCTGGTATAACACCAGCCTCCTTCATGCGGTTAAAGAGCTTCATGACAGTGTCCAAACTTCCGGCTTTCGAGAAGCACGAAATCATACTCCCATATGATACCACGTCCCTCTTAATACCCTTAATTTCCATGGCATTCCAAAACCTCTTCGCCTCCCGCACACTGCGGACCATGTTGCACCAGCCATTGAGCACAACGTTAAAACTCTTGGTCTCGAAAGGGAACTCCTTCTCGCTGGACAGAAGCAGGTGCTCCGCATCCTGGACGTTCTTGTACCGGCAAAGCGCGGTCAGGAGGCCATGGAACTCTGCGACGCCAGGCCGGAAACCAAGGTTCGGGAGCGCACGGAACGCCGCGACGGCGCCGGCGACGTCCCGTGCAGCGCAGTAGCGCCGGATGAGAAGCATCACCGCGGCCGGAGACGCAAGCGACGAGCGGCGCATTTGGTCGAGCAGGGCGCGTGCGTCGTCGAAGCGGCGGTGCTTCGCGAGGATGGCGAGCATGGAGTGGCACGCGTGCCGCCCTGGCGCGTACCCTGGCTGCGCCGAGGCCCACCGGAACGCGGCGTGCGCCGCGGCGCAGCTGTTGCGGAGGCGGTCCAGCACGGCCACCACGACCGGCTCGGACGCCGTGGCGCCGCACCGCTCCAGGAGGCCCCTGGCCCGCGCGGCGTCCGCATGGAACCCCTCGGCCGCGCCGACGACGGCCTCCACGTCACGCGCGACGTCCGGCGGCAGCTTCTGGAGGTCCGCGAACGAGAAGGGGTCATCCTCCTCGCCATCACCGCCATTGCCGCCGCCGCCGCCGCCGCCGCCATTGCCGATGCCGCCCTGCGAAGTGGAGAGACGCGAACCTTCGCGAAAGAGTAGAGGAAAGCTCCGCGGATCGGTGAATCCGCGGGTGGTGGCGGCGGCGGCGGAGGATCGCGGGATTGCTCTCGCGAGGAGACTCCGCAGCATGGCGGGCGGAGAGGAATCGGGTCGCGAACTTCGCGATTCGTGTGTGTGCGCGACGCGTTTCCGCCTTTTACGTCTGGCTGTTACGCCACGAGTGTAAGCAAAGCGTAAACTGCATTCCCGCCTTGGCGTTTGCTTCGTCTTCCCCGTCGCATTTACGCTGCCGATCCGAGCGCAAGTGCAAGTGCAACCCAAGGTGAGCAAAAACGATGGACTTCCTCTCCAATCTCCAATTCTCCATTGTTGCTTGCTTCACCTTCCACATCGATTGCACTAGCAAGTGACAACTACTAGAGTATAAGAGGGGTATTGTGCTAGGGTTTTGGGGTTTGGGAGGAAGACTAGGTAGTAGGTAACCACGCGTCCTAGCCGTCCATGGCTGGGCTGTCACCTCGCTTCTTGGGGCGCACAAGCCCACCCGTCGATGCGATCGCCGCCCGCCGCCTAGTGGCGCTCCTCCTGGAGCACCAGGACAGGAGGCGCCAGCTCCTGCAGATCCACTCCCAGCTCATTGCCCACCAGGTGTTCGACCGGCGTCCCACGCCGTGGCACGCCCTCCTCAAGGCCTACTCGCATGGCCCTCACCCGCAGGATGCCCTGCAGCTCTTCAGGCACGCGCGGTGGCACGCGGCCGACGACACGTACGCCTTCACGTTTGCCCTCAAGGCCTGCGCTGGCCTGGGGTGGCCGCGGTGTTGCATGCAGCTCCATGGGCTTGTCGTACGGAAGGGGTTCGAGTTCCAGACCTACGTGCATACTGCCCTTGTCAATGTGTATATCTTGTGCGGGTGCCTGGCGGATTCACGGATGGCGTTCGAGGAAATGCCGGTGAAGAACGCGGTTTCTTGGAATGTGGTGATAACAGGCTTTGCTGGATGGGGCGAGGTTGAGTATGCGAGGCTGCTCTTTGAGCGGATGCCTTGTAGGAATGTTGTTTCGTGGAGCGGGATGATAGATGGGTATACGCGTGCTTGTCGCCCTGTCGAGGCAGTTGCTCTTTTCCGCCGCATGATGGCAGAAGGCATTAGTCCAAGCGAGATAACTGTGTTGGCAGTTGTTCCTGCACTATCTAATGTTGGAAAGATTCTTATCGGGGAAGCATTGCATGGCTATTGTGAGAAGGAGGGTCTTGTGTGGGATGTTCGGGTTGGCAATTCACTCATAGACTTGTATGCCAAGATTGGGTCTATTCAGAATTCGCTAAGGGTGTTTGATGAAATGCTGGACAGAAGGAACTTGGTGTCATGGACATCAATAATTTCAGGTTTTGCAATGCATGGGTTGTCAGTTAAGGCAGTCGAACTGTTTGCCGATATGAGAAGAGCTGGAATCAGACCTAACAGAATAACCTTCTTGAGTGTCCTCCATGCTTGTAGCCATGGAGGGCTGGTAGAGCAAGGAGTTGCATTTTTCAAAAGCATGATTTATGAATACAACATAAATCCAGATGTCAAGCATTTTGGGTGTATCATAGACATGCTAGGTAGGGCTGGACGTTTGCGTGAAGCTGAGCAGATAATAAGAGATTTTCCTGTGGAAGTCAATGCAACTGTCTGGAGGACGCTGTTGGGTTGTTGCAGTAAGTATGGAGAAGTTGAGATGGGAGAGAGGACAATGAAGAAGATATTAGCCTTAGAAAGAGAATTTGGTGGTGATTTTGTGGTTCTATCCAATATGCTTACTGAGCTTCGTAGGTTTAGTGATGCTGAAATAGTACGAAAACTAGTCGATCAGAGGAATTCTGTTAAGGTTCCTGGGCTTGCTTTGGTTGATGGGACTCAGTAGAATTCCTGGGATAAGGACTAAATATTGGAAAGAAACTCTCTCAATTGAGTCGGGAGTTTTCCGTTGCAATCTTAGAATTACCTCCCTATGTTATACCAACTGTGATTAAAGATCTTTCATATTAAGGTTGGGTTCATTGCATTCTTTGACCTTTTTATTTTCCATGAAAGTTAATAAAATTAAAATGACAGTTTATTTGTCTGTCAGTGCTAAATTGATCACCATTAATGATATAAGCTTGTATCCAAATTCCCATAACCTCTATATTCACTGGTTGATAAACTCTTTTAATAAGCTTCAACGGCATGCTGTATTGTTCATTTGTCCCACAATCAAGGACTAATTCTTTCAGTCCTTTTTTTGATGGAAAAACTTCTTTACTCATCTTGCTAATACCTTGCAGGAAGCAGATGTACTGAACTATATCCAGTCCTTGCTCATCCTTAACTAGCTCATTGTTTATGGAACAATTCAGTCATTTTTCAACATTGTAAGGATGGAAGCCATAAAAAGGCTTCATGCCTATTACATCGTTTCTGGGCTGTACAATTGCCATTATGCAATGTCTAAGGTTCTCAGATCCTATGCCATTCTCCAACCAGATTTGGTTTTTGCTCATAAAGTGTTTGATCAGATTGAAGCACCAACCACTTTTCTTTGGAATATCCTAATTAGAGGGCTTGCTCAAAGTGATGCACCGGCAGATGCCATTGCTTTCTACAAGAAGGCACAAGGAGGAGGAATGGTGCCAGACAACCTGACATTTCCATTCATACTAAAGGCCTGTGCTAGAATCAATGCTCTCAATGAAGGGGAACAGATGCACAACCATATAACAAAACTTGGTCTTCTTTCAGATATCTTTGTTAGCAATTCGTTGATTCATCTATATGCTGCCTGTGGTAATCTTTGTTATGCAAGATCTGTTTTTGATGAGATGGTAGTTAAGGATGTTGTATCCTGGAATTCGCTGATCTGTGGATATAGCCAGTGCAATAGATTTAAAGATATTTTGGCACTGTTCAAGTTAATGCAGAATGAAGGAGTGAAAGCTGATAAGGTTACAATGATCAAGGTTGTTTCTGCGTGTACTCGTTTAGGAGATTATAGCATGGCAGATTACATGGTCAGGTACATAGAGGATTATTGCATTGAGGTGGATGTTTACTTGGGCAATACATTGGTAGATTACTTTGGAAGACGTGGACAGTTACAATCAGCTGAAAAGGTGTTCTTTAACATGAAGGTTAGGAACATTGTAACAATGAATGCAATGATCGCTGCATATGCAAAAGGACAAGATATAGTTTCAGCAAGGAAAATATTCGATCAAATTCCTAAGAAAGATTTGATTTCATGGAGTTCTATGATATCTGGATATTCACAAGCTAATCACTTCTCTGATGCTCTTGAGATCTTCAGGCAAATGCAGAGAGCCAAGGTGAAACCAGATGCCATTGTGATTGCCAGTGTAGTGTCTTCTTGCGCACATTTGGGTGCACTTGATCTTGGTAAGTGGGTTCATGAGTACGTGAGGAGAAACAACATCAAAGCTGACACCATTATGGAGAATTCTCTGATTGACATGTATATGAAATGTGGAAGTGCCAAGGAAGCATTGCAAGTGTTCAAAGAAATGAAGGAGAAGGACACCTTGTCATGGAACTCAATCATAATTGGGCTAGCAAACAATGGCTTCGAGAAGGAATCTCTGAATTTGTTTCAAGCTATGCTTACTGAAGGATTCAGACCAAATGGAGTCACTTTCCTTGGTGTACTGATCGCTTGCGCGAACGCTAAGCTTGTTGAGGAAGGGCTTGACCACTTCGAAAGCATGAAAAGACTTTACAGCTTAGAACCCCAGATGAAGCATTACGGCTGTGTTGTTGATCTCCTCGGCCGTGCTGGTCAGTTGGAGAAGGCACTGAGATTCATCACTGAGATGCCCATAGATCCTGACCCTGTTGTTTGGAGGATACTTCTGGGATCATGCAATACGCATGGTGATGTAGCCATTGCAGAGATCGTCACCAAGAAGCTCAATGAGTTAGAGCCCAGCAACAGCGGAAACTATACTCTGTTAAGCAATGCATATGCGAGTGCTCATAGATGGAGCGAAGCTATGAACGTCAGGCAATGTATGGCTGATACTGATGTGAGGAAATCTCCTGGATGCAGTGCTGTTGAAGCGGCTTAATCCGGCGAACACGTAGGTTCGTGACTAGCAAAGACATACATTGCATCATACTGTCAATCTGTGTGAATATAGATGTTCAGGCCTAGTTGTCAACTTTTCTGAGGAAATTTATCATACTTCTGTCATTTCAGCCTTTATTACTGATTAAATCGAAGTATAGAAAGATGTCTTAAGGTGTAGATGAAAATCGAAGTAAAGATGTCTTGGGCGTAGATTATTATGTTACTGCAATGTTTCCTACTACAAATAACTGCCGTCTTCACCACATTTTATTCGGGAGAAAAAAATGGAAGTATACAAAGATGTCTTAATGTGTAGATAAAAATCTAAGTAAAGATGTCTTGGGCGTAGATTATTACTAGGTTACTGCAATGTTAAATACTAAAAATAATTGCCGTCTTCACATTTTATTCGGGAGAAAAAAATCATATGCCTGCTGTTTGTTCGCTTCAAACATCTTAATAAATCATATGCCTGTATATTAAATAAAAAGGAGGGTATCGATAGTTACGTCTTTAGCGATGGCACCTGCCACCATACGGTGTAAGAACATGATAACACACTGACTGATTGAAACATCAAAACAGATGGCAAATAAATTAAGGCCATCAAACTCACTGCGCAATTGTCAATGCAGAAAACTTGATAATTTTATAATAGCCAAACATAAGTGCAATTGTAAATTGACTAACAAAATACCCGAAGCATTCAGGACAAGTCATCTCACAGAAAAAGGTGAAAATTCAAGACGGCAGGCTAACTTGACCAAGGTACTGTTTCTACGATATGGCCGGAGAGAAGGCTAAGCCAGAAGAACTCTCCCTATGATGCAAGAGACTTTCAGCGCTTCCCACCACCGCCGCCAATCTTAGGACCTTTAGCACCCCTCTGGGTAGCACCACCCTTCGACTGTGTCTTCTGAGATTTTGCCACCTCTGCCTTCTTTGCCTTTTTCTCATCCTTGGTTTTCTTGATGCGCTCCTTGATCTCACTGTTATAAACATATCAAAAGCACACATTAGTTTGAATCTGAGAGCAAAAAATTGCATGGCCCAAAATATTCAGGGGGCAAAAGGAAGCACCCGAAGCTAATTGATCAAACTATAGCATGCAAGCATGCACTAAACAATGCACAATTAAGTTCAGAATCATTCAACAATAGTGGTCTTAAGAAAAATAAATCTGCTGAAATGAAGGAGCAACAGCTATTACATGAAAATGAACAAATGTGGGCAGCAGCTAAAATCAGCCATTTCAGCTTTACCAACATAAATAATATTCAAGTTCAAAAAACAATTTAAATGGATATGTAAATGCAGACCAATAGCCTAGAAAGGTGGAAAATGTACCGGAGAGCCGCTTCTCTGGCTGCATCACGGACTTCAGGTTTCTCACTCCTCTTCTTTTGGATAACTTCCAGTGTAGCACCAACAATTGACCGTGAGTATGGCTTCTTGGTGGTGCGACGCCTCTTCTTGACAGCTTCAGCATGAATGTCCTACAGTGCAACGTTGAAATTCAGAAAAATAGCAGCAAGGGCATGATATAAGGCAGCAATTCCAGCCAGTTGCTGCAGAAAACTCGGATAACTGCACATGAGCATACACATGAACAAAGGGTGGATAGATGTACTTGGATAACTGCATATCATGTGGCTCAAGGATACAACATATGCATGTATCCATAAGATATTCACAATTGCAATGACGTGCAATATACAGGCTTGCTACCCAAGAAATTGTGTCCAGCAAAAAGACATTATGATATACAGAATCAAACTTCACATTTCCACTTGGAACAATCGTGTTGTTTATGGAACTCTAGACACTGTGCTTGCCACACTAAATAAATTCATGCAAACCATCAAAATAAACATGTTATTTATATTACGTAAGCACAGAAATAGGGGAATTTGTTGATTGCATGGGCAGAGAATGCCAATATATGAATGAATCTGATGAAAATGTTGCACCTTCTTGTGCTGCTTCCTGTACATAGCTGTCCAGGTAAGCTTGGCAGGCTTCAGGCGGTTGTGGAAGTAGCGCTTGCATTTCGAGTTGGCAAACAGAAAAACCTGCAGAAGAGAACACTTGAAATTGTATGCAAAAGACCCCCTAACTTAATCATAGATTGGACTTTCAAACTTCAATGGACAAAGAGGGTTACCTGGGAATCAGCACGAATGAACCTGATACCCTTGCCTGGGTATATCTTCTGCCCACTAAAACGGCAAAGTTCAGTCCTGTAAAACCAAGAAAACAACACGTTAAAGACCATCATGGTGAGATCTTATTTTGAAAAAGATCAAAAGGCATCAACTAAACATAACAAAATCGTTAGGTACAGGAACTTACTTCAGAACCATCTTTTCAGACTTGGGAAACTTTCACAATGTCCTGCCTGGATTCCACAAGCAAAAAAACGAAGGAATTAGCACATGCAGCACGATAAAATGAAACATGGAAGCATAATCAACAATATAAGCACATAAAATTAATGGAGAACATGTAGAAACCAACTCATGGCACAATATGGGGCACGATAAAATGAAACATGGAAGCATAATCAACAATATAAGCACAAAAAATTAATGGAGATCATATAGAAACCAAGAAACTGGGGTGCTACAGTTATAATTCACAAGTCATACTGCACCATTATCTCAGGACAGAAATGGATGATGTTGGGCGACTACTGGCAGCAGAGAGTTGAGTTAAATCTCTGCTGCAAAGCGGGTTCCCGTTTCTATCTTGCACAACAAATAATAGGCTCCCATGCAACCCAGAACATCCATAGTGCCTCAGTACTTGTGCTCTGATTCAGTTAACACTAAAAGTATAAAAGCAACAAGAAAAGGCTGTGTCCAGCATGAACCAGATCACCAGTCAGGCATTTACCCTTCAAGCCAAAGACTGATTGATTGTTGGGTAACTACTAACAGCAGAGACACAAAGAAGTCACTGCTGCAAACTGTGCACCCATGTCCATCTTGCACAGCAATAAGATTAGGCCACCACACGACTTCAGCTAGCATGGTGACCAAGTGCCTGTGCAAGAGAGATCGCGTACAGCAAGCAAATCATTTACGCTTCGGAGAAGAATTCCTAGCGCTTGAACCATGGACACACATGCAGATCACAGGAACAACAAAACATGTACTAACTACTCAAGCACGGGATACGGACGAACACATCCCAATATAGAACGGCAAAACTAAAGAACTGGTTGCTTAGCCTTGGATCAGAAACCAACCAGAACTCGCAAATCCAACGGAAGAACAGGCAAAATCACCGCACGAACTGCTTCCGCACGGACGAATCTACGAGGACGCAGAGGAAGGGCGAGCGAGGGGGAGAAGAATGGGAGATTTACCTTGAAGCGGCGCAGCTGCGGTGGTGGCGGCGGCGGCGGGGGGTGGGAGTAGGGAAATGGGTGTGGCCGCTCGGGTAGGGTTTTGATGACCTCGCAGATGGGCCTTCTGGAATAATGGGCCGTTCCAGAGGAAACCTAGTACTGCTTCTCTCGATACAAAGGCCCACGGCTTACTGGGTCGGCTCTGGAGTTTTTTTCTTTTTTCTCCTTTCGTTTTTCTTTTGACAAACTTCATCGATGCCGGGCTAAGTCAAATTGAATAAATGACGTGATTAAGAAAACTGAAAAAAATGGCGAATAATTTTCGGAAATAAAAAAACATCTTCCACAGGAATATGCAACGTTAGAGCCCAAAGAACAATTTCATTGAAAGATTGGACATTTGAAGCCGCAGAAAAGTAATAGTTCAACAGTGTCATGCAGAGTTTCAGTATCGAAGGTTTCATATACAACATGGATTCCCTGGAAGTACAAAATAAATGGAAGGTTCAGAACAAAAATTTTACAATACAGAGAACCGTCTTGTGCTGGCTTATTATCACAAAACTGCTGTAAAGAATGCCCTTGGTGTTTTAACTCCTCGCTGTTGCACTGGAAATTTCGTAACCACACCTTTTTTTTTTAGTTAGCGTCTTCGTTCGGTTCAGAACTTACGATAGGCAGGTTTCTTCTGTACTGAGGTGATGTTAATCTCCTCTCCAGTGGTGTCTTCCTCTTGCTGACGACGAACCTGTTCACGCCCTTCCTCATCGGCATTATCTCCGGGAAGTCCTCGTCAGGGATGTTGGCGAGCTCGGAGATGTCCTTTATCTGTGCTGCCCTCCTAAACCATCTCTCGGCCTTAGCTTCCTCAGACATATCCAATGGATCAGGATCCTTCACTGCAGATCCTTCCAAGCTCTTTCCAGTATATCCTCTATTCGCACTTTCTCCGTAACTTGAGTAGCCTGCTGTTTGGTTAGGTCTAGATGCGGAACTGCCACTACCGGTGCCGCCATTATCAGAGTATGAGCCACTCCAACTGTTGTTGCTATTGTTGCTCCATGCGCTGTTACTGTTGTAACTGCTATTGCTGCTCCATGCGCTGTTACTGTTGTAGCTGCTATTGCTGCTCCAGGCAGCGTTGTTGCTATAGGTGCTGTTGCTGCTCCAAGTACTGCTGTTGTAATAGGGATTGTTGTCGCTCCGACCACCATTGTCATAATCTCTGGTGCTGCTCCAAGCATTATTGCTGCCATTGTTGTTACTGCTCCAAGCATTGTTATTGTTACCATAACCTGACTTATAAGGTGGCTGTGCGGAATGGCTTCCCCTGTTGTAAGTAGATCTATCTCTGCTTTCGCTAAAGCTTCCCTGGTTGTTGTTTGCATTCCGAGTGCCAGTTTCAGAAGCACCACCAGAACGACCGACCATCCCTTGAGATTGTGGTTGATGCTGATAAGTGATGCTTTCACCATACCCATAACCACTTGTACTCAAGTTTTGATGTGGATAATTTCCGTTCCTGTTCTCATTGTTCATGTTGTTTGCTGCCTGACTGCCCATCACCTGTGAGCTGTTCTGAAAATTTCCCAGATTTCCAGATGAATATTTTGTTTCTGGTAATTTTTCAGCTGATGGAGGGCCTTCTGGCACTATTCCTGCATCTGATGAATTCTCCACAGGCTTATTTTTCTTGGCAAAGTAATCAGGAGGGAATGGGACAAATGGGATGAAATTGGAATTATCAGCATGCTCGAGCACACTGCGCCTTTTGTACTGTGGCGATGTCAGTGAGCGGTCTTTCTTCTTACTAATAACAAACCGATTCTCACCTTTCCTCATTGGCATAATCTCAGGAAAGTCTTGATCAGAAATTGCACTTGGAAAGTCCTTTACATTACTGAGCTCTGCAACTTTCTTGGACCATTCCTCAGTGGTATCAAATGATCGCTTGTCATCTCTCCTCTCCATTGAATCCATTTGGCTTTTTGCCATGGAATCAGCCTCTGTACTTATTTGGGTGTCTGATTGTCCATCACCAAAACTATTTTGTGGCTTAGCAAACTGATCTGCAGATAATGGCACGAAAGGAACAGGATCAATGCCACCAAGATTGCTTGTTGTTTTATTTGAACTAGTATTTACATCTCCATCACCAGATTGATTGTTCTGCACCGAAGTAGATGTAGAACGCCCAAGAATCCTGTCTAATGTTTTACTTATCTTGGAGTCAGATGATCCATCTTGGGGGCTATTGTTACTGCTGTACTGTGCATTTGCCAGTCTTCTCTCCAATGGTGTCTTGCGTGTGCTAACCACAAATTTATTGACCCCCTTCCTAATCGGCATGATCTCAGGAAAATCCTCGTCGGCTGCTAGACTACTTAAATCAGCAGAATCATCAAGTTGGGATACTTTGTTCAACCACCTTTCTGCCTTCTGGTCATTTTCAGCGAGTTTTCTCTCAATTTCAGATTTACCAACAATGGATGTATTAAGAAACTGTGCCACTCCATCTAAACCAGCACCAGCAGGATTTGGTGGTATTGTTCCTGGTCTTTTACAACTACATCGTAAGCATGACATGTTCCTCCCATAATTATAATACACACACCTTGGCAAGAGGAAAGAAGTTAAGTAAGCTAATTTGAAATAAAAATGAATCTCAAATCACATAAGTTTAGAACAAGCATGCCAGATCTCTTACTGAGGGCATTCCCACTCTCCACCAGTCAACATCTTCTTTGGTCGATGCTCATTGCACTCAAGGCATCTCGCATTTCTAGCGAAATTCATAAAGCTACATCTGCAGGTTGCAAAGCACATTTTCAATGGAATAGTATGAAAGACAAGGTTGCAAATCACATTTTCAATGTAATATTATGAAAGACGAAGAGGGGGCAAACAATTCATTAGTAATAAAAAAAATCAAAAACTGCAAATATCCTCAAATGCATTCAAACAAGTCAACATTGTGGAATGATTGGCTCTTTGAACTAAATTATGAGAATTATTGGTCATGTTTGGTTGAACATAAATTAAGTTATCAAAAGTTCAAAGCTTGGTAGGATGCAAAATAAAACCTGCTTGGTTGTGATTGTTAAGACAATATACTTTGTGACAACTGACAACATTCAGTAGGTTGACTCCTTAAAGTAAGGTGATCAATACCATGCAACTGTTCAAACAAGAAAATAAAAAGACAGAAGTAGAGAACTAGCATACCTTGTACAGATCCAGTCACCTCGCTTCATTTCAATATTTTGTCCTGGAGGCCTAGAGCCCAATGTATTTTGCCTAGCTGTTGATTCGGCGTAACTGGAGGTTTGAGGAAATCCACTAAAACTTACAAACTCAGCCAAGATATTTCTCACAGCTGAATCAGTCAGTTCCTTATCTTTCAAATAGCTGACCGGAGAACCGTATGCGTAACTTAATAAGTACCGAACAATATCGATGGTTTCCGCTCTCTCTGACTGAGTCACCTGGTAAAATTTTCAGATCTTCAGTGATAGCATTTTATTATCTGAATGAATCAATAGTATTTTGGAATCTAAAATGTGTAATGACAATTGAAGGTTGAAACTGAAACGAATATAGCATTTCTACTAGCCTAGGTAACTCACTGATAGGAAAAAAAACATGAAGTGTGATAAAGCACACAAATCAAATGACTAGCTAGACTTTTTAAAATTCAGCTCAAAATGTTTTGGGTGGCACATTTAGTCCTTCTGTCCTCCCTTCCTGATTCAGTGTCTCAGATTCTCGCAATCAATATAGACCAGGTGAAACCAGAAAAAAAAAACTATGCATCTGAAAGCTCGTACTAATGCAGTAACTTAAGCTTACTAAGATCATCATCAGTAAGACTGATGACCACATTGAAGTAAAATCTACTGCAACCAAGACCAACAACCCATTAAGCAAAGGAGCCAACTTGAAAAAAAAAAACAGGGAAAGAACTCACATCGCTCCCTTCCCCGGCAAGGTATTGCCGCAGACGCAGCTCTGATGCCTCCCCGTCCTTGAACAGAGCCGGCGCCGCGTTGGCCACCAAGACCTCCACGTCCTTCCTCGGCAGAGACCTGAGGAGGTCAGGCCGGTCGCGTGCGAAGGCGAGGAAGGAGGACACCGCGGCCTCAGCGTCGGACGACAGGCCGCATTCGGGGTCGAGGTCGAGCTCATCGGCGGGGGAAGGTGCGCGCGCGCCGTAGCCCGCCGCCGAGAGGCGGTCGACCAGGCGTGACCACTCGGGAAAAGGAGAGTGGCACGAGCCCGAGCTGTACGAATCCGAAGAGGCTCCGCCGGCGGCGGCGGAGGCGGAGGCGGTGGAGAGGGTGCGGAGGGGAGCCGGGGAGGAGAGCAGCAGGTGGCGGCGGGACGCGGGCGGGGAGAGGAAGAGCGCGAAGGCGCCGGCGGAGGGGCGGAGGCGGAGCGGCGAGGAGGTGAGGAGGAGGGAGGAGAGCAGCTTGGAGGCGCCGCCCATGGCGACGGCGAGAGGGAGGAAAATCTCGCCGCCGATACCTTCTCTCCGAGGAAGGGAAGGGTTTTGCTTGCGGCTTTGCGCCACCGGCGTTGGGGAGGATGATGGGCCGTGGGACGGAGAAACGGACGGTGGAGGCCGTAGGAGAGGGGAAATATCTCAGCGTGATCGGACGGCTTAGATTCTTCTCGCGGACCTCTTCGTTGGACGGCCCAACTTTGAAGGCGTTAATTTGATGGGCCAGAGTTATTGGGTTCTTTCTCTAGCCGTGATGGGCTGCAATTTGTGCACCGAACATTTCCTCTCAGAAAAGCAAAAACCATTCGTCAGTTAAACATCACCACGAATCCCTTCAGAAAATGCAGGACAAATTATACATCAGTGTGTATGTGCATACATGTAAGTACGTTTTTGTAAGTATTAGGGACCATGCATGTCTCAGTTGTGCATTTGCGGATTGGCAAACGGGATCTTTCGGCGACGCAAGGGACCAACGCCCCTTTGTGGCGACGAAATGACTCCGAATGAGGTCACTGCTCAGTGCTCACCGAGCAATCGTGCCGCGGAAAAGGAAGTCCCCTCGCCTCGATCGCGGTCGCTTTTCCTTCCGTTTTCAGATAGCTTTCGCCGCAGAAACGTTCTCGCGACGATTTTTCCCTCTCCTTTTTTTTCCCAGGTGACCACAGCGTCCACGAAGGCCAAGCGAACGTGCGGTCCGCGGCGCCGGCGCGTCGGCCACTCGTCGCTCCTAGCCACCGTCCGTACTACGTGAGAACGCAATGCTGCGAATTTAACTTGCTCGTTGACTGCTCGGCGATGGAAAGTACATTCATTCCTTTCCAGCCACAACTCCACGATGGTGTTGGACGACAGTACGGTTAGGTACATGCACTGGGGCAAAAAAGAAAATCCACTGTGGATAACGAACAACGCCCAACTTCTCGCTGCGATCCACCTTGGAAGAAGCCCCGCACATTGCTCATCCAACTTCAACGGTGCACGACAGCTTGGACACGTTCGCGCGTGTTCAAGTGTCATGCCATGCACGTCACATACTCATCCACCTGTTGCTTCACGATTGGCTCGCACATAAAAAAAATCCAGTTATATAGTACGTAAACCCCTTTTAAAATCTCAAATAGCTACTGCAAACTACAAAGCTTAATTTGACACGGACGATTGTATTTACGGTTAATTATTTTTTTATATTAGACATTCAAATTATAGATTTGAAACAACTGATGATATTTACGGTTAATTATTTTTTCAGTGTTAGGCGATATATCCGACGTATCCGTCGATAGCGGGGAGTTTATGGTGACTTCGTTAATCTCAAGATATACCAGCTCGGTTTTTCGAAAGTGCTTATATAAATACGGTGTGCGTGTATTATGGGTGTCTAATTCGTTGTACTATGTCTGTGTTTAAAATTAATAATAGACCAGACTAAGATTAAGATTTTTCTACACAGTGGATGATCGAGCGTCCCAATACAAGCACCAGCCAGATCTAATCCGACCCAGCACGCGCGCACCCGAGCCATCCATCCATCGTTGCGGCGCTGACCGGGAACCCAATCAAGCGGCGCAGATGTCAGGCGAGGCCCGCGCACACGCGGCGCGCCTCTGCCACACAGCGCAGCAGGATACCCACCCACCCACACCCACACCACCCAGATCGCACGGACGGACGCAGGCACGCGACGACACCTCGTCCTCCAAAGGTCAGTGTCGCGGAGCTGCGAGGACGAAGAGACGACGACGACGCCCTCGGTAAAGCCGAAAAACCCAAGTGCTCGCCAAGTTGACTTTGGCACGCACCAGCGTGGGGACGGACGGGTCGAAGTCGACAGCGAGAGCACGTAGGAGGGGGAGGCGTGGCCTCCGTATAAAATCCACCCCACCACCGCCGCCGCGACTCCGCCATTGGGTGTTCCACCGCTTTGCGCCTTTGCCTATCAATCGCCTTGGCCCCCAGAGTAGTACAGCGTCGATCTCTGCAGCCGTGGGTAGCAACAGCAAGCGAAGGCGAGTGAAAGAAACTCGATCGATCATCAGTGGCGGTGAAAGAAACAAACCAGGACGTTCGAACGATACAGGAGAGATGAAGATGGAGCAGGTTTCGCAGAGGAAGGCGCCGCTCCTGGTTCTAGTAATCTTGTGTGGCCTTCTTCTTCTTCTTCCCCTGGTTTCATCTGTGCCTCTGTCCAGTAAGTGATTGATGTCTCCGGCTGATTTTCATTAATTCTTGCTCTGTTTTAATTCAGTATGTCGATGATCCGTGCTTGTGGTTGATTAGTTGCTGATCTTGTTTGCGTAGGAAGCGTGTCCTTGAGGAACCACCAAGCATCAGTCTCTGCTCTGGAGGCGCCTGTTCAGGTATTTCTTTCTTTGTTTCTCTCACACAGGCTGATATGTCAAATTACTCTACCTAGTTTGCTGGTGATTATTGAACTGTCAGTACCATATGGCCTAACTGTGCCTCTAGACTCTAGTTTAAAGCAAAAGCCACAGTATTTTTCTTCTCCACAAGGTTGCATAGTGCCATAGTGCCATGCACTCCCGTGAATGGCAAAGCACTCACATGCAAACAAACTATTCAACTATGCGCACCACACCAACAGGGCCAGTGCAGCGTGTCGCATGGCCATATCACCCCGATTGCACAGCGTCTCTCGCGGCCGCACAGGTGGCCAACGCAAGTAGTAGGCAAACGCACAGTGAATAAGCTATCTACAGGTTGACGAGCTCGTGGCTTTTCCCTTGCATGTGAGCTGAGCTCTCTCATGAGTCATGAGTTTAGAGCAGATCAGAGCATATGTGATATGCAGCAGCAGCTGTTTCTGCTGTTGGGTCGCTGGGGCGCTCCACTCACATGCACAGCTAGCTGCTTGCTAGGCCGGCCATAGTGCAGTTCACATGCATGGCCACACTTCCCACTTGTGCACACAGTTCGTGTTTTCCCCACTGACAAACGCCTTTCCAGATAAATTTAGTAGTGTCTCACCTCAGTTCGTGCAAGAACATTCTCGACTGTTTTAACTACTACCGCAAATTGGTTTATATTATTACAGTATTACTTCGATATTTATCTATACGTAGTTAATAACAATTTGTAATCCTGTGGCTGATGATACAGGTTGTGGCGGCGGCGGCTGAAGAGCGAGACCTCGACGAAGTGGCGGCGAGGATGGTGATCGAGGTCAACGACTACCCTGGCTCCGGCGCCAACAACCGCCATGATCCTAAGAGCCCTGGAAGAGCATGAAACGATCTCTGATCTGATCTGATCTGCAGGGCCTTGTTGATCGATACATATAGGAATATTCAGTATTAGCTTTTGTACGTAGTGATCGACATGCATGTGTGATATATGCAGTGCTTGGACAGGGGCTTAGTTAGTTAAGTCTTCACCGATTATTATCAGATCGGGTGAAGAGGTTGATTAGCTAGCTACCACTCTAGTTTAAAAAAGAGAAGGAAACTTTTCAACAAGTTCCTTGTGATATATGTATCTGCACGTACATGTGTCCATGTCCACCCCATCCGCCCGTTTTGTACATCTTGTGTACTGCTTACTCAATGACAATAGCAGATAAATATATTTCTACGAGATCCACGAGCTCAATATCTCATGCCTGATTAATTAGTACAATCAACGCATTGTCTCCATCGATCGTTGACTATTAGTGGTGCTACCGATTTGATAAACCATAATTGCGTACTGCATGTGTGGCTGACGATCTTGATGTCCAATGTTTTGTTCGGTTGTGATCATTTCCGGACACATCGCGCTCTCCTCTGAGTGGCGTAAACGACGCAGAGCGAGAGAGTGACGTTGAACAGTTAACTACTGCACTGCAATCGCTTAAGGTCCGGGGGTGTTGTGCAGTAGAAATCTCAGCTCAGAGCGTTTCGTCGTCAGCTCTCGACACGATCGACGTCGCCTCTGCAGACAAGACAGTGGGCAGAAAGCTGAGTAACATTTTCAACTGTGGACTCACGAGCTTGATATACTGTCAGATATGGCTAGCGATCAACATGTCTCGTGTCGTACTGTCGTTGGCAAGGCTGAAAGACATTAATAGTGGTGACCAAAGAGCAGCAAATGGGAAAGTGATGGATTGATTAATCGTTGTCTCATTGTGATGGTTGATGGATTTGAGAGAGGAGCCCCTCGGGGGATGAAGAATACTACTCCCTCCGTTTTATAATGTAAATCATTCTATTATTTCCTATATTCATATTGATGTTAATAAAACTAGACATATATATCTATCTAGATTTATTAACATAAATATAAATATACGAAATGCTAGAATGACTTACACTATGAAACGGAGTAATTAGCTAATTATGGAGTACCGGATACGTTCCTTTCGACGGAGATAAGCGGATCTGAATCTCTGTATCAAGTGCTGTAGTAGTACCATTCAGTAGCTTACTAACTTCAGTTTGCACTTGCACAACGTGCTAATCGAGTAAAAGCACTCATTGTCAGCTGCAAACTTGGCTTCCCTGCTGAAAAACATAGCTAGACTAGTAAATTCCTACTAGCAACTAGTATAGCTTAGCATGAATGACGGCCCTGTTCAGTTCTAAAAAACCTTTTCTCAAAAAATATCACATTAAATCTTTGGACACATGCATAGAATATTAAATATAGATAAATTAAAAAACTAATTACACAGTTAAGGAGAAACATCCTAATTAGTCCATGATTAGCCATAAGTGCTGTAGTAACCCGTATTTGCTAATGACGGATTAATTAGGCTTAAAAAATTCGTCTCGTGGTTTCCAGGCGAGTTATGAAATTAGTTTTTTCATTCGTGTCCAAAAACCCCTTCCGATATCCGGTCAAACGTCCGATGTGACACCCATAAATTTTTCTTTTCACGAACTAAACATGTCCGAAGTTCAATTACCCTTCTTCAAATGAATGCTTGTTTTCCTTCATCTGTTCTCGGGAAAAAAAATTCCCACCTATAGTTAATCTAATACGAGATGCGATATATTCTAATATTATGATCCAGATATACATATGTCTAGATTCGTAGTACTAAAATATATCGCATACTATATTAGATAAACTTATTTTAAGATTACTGATGGTTTGTCAAGGGAGTGTTGGCTTGTCAATTGGATGAATCGCTGCAGGTCTAATCATTTTCTTTCTACAATTCGCGCATTAACAGAGATTATAAAATGGGTGCACGGGTCATGGAAGGCAACGAGTGGCTGCCGACCACAGAGGAAGCATACAAAACCGGCTCTGTCTTAGGGCGGCGAGACACTGCTCCCAGACTTCGACGGATCTGTCATGAAGATTCGCCCCGTTTTTGACGTCGCAGGAGAAATCACATGACAAGAGTAGACTTCTAGCTCCAGTCTGTTCCTAAATCTTGTTCCATCTTCTGTTGTCTTCCTCCTCATTCTTTGACAGCTTGACTTCCTGAGAAATCCAGCTTCCTTTTAGGTCCGAATATTGTCTCTGTTTTGTTGCAAAATAAACAAAAATCCGGCCTTCTGATACATCTGCAATGAAGGTACTTGAAGAAACATAGCATTATGTCAACTCCTGTATGCAGCTACTACTAGATTGTTACTCCCTCCGTCTCATAATATAAGGGATTTTTATTTTTTGTTTGTAGAGTTTGACCACTCGTCTTATTAAAAAAATTATGTAAATATAAAAAATGAAAATTTATGCGTAAATTACTTTTGATCATAAAGTAAGTCAAAAAAAATAAATAATAATTTTAAATTTTTTTAAATAAGACAAGTGGTCAAACCGTAAGCAAAAACTCAAGATCCCTTATATTATGGGACGAAGAGAGTAACTCTCAATCAACTTTAGTCCATGAAAGATTCACGGGACAACGGTTGGCTGTCGTTAGCTGCTACCAACCGCGCAATCTCGTGCCTTCCAATGGCTGACGAGCGAAACATTCGACGGCTAACAAAGACACACACAGAGAATAGTTAGCTCTCCACATCTTGCCATCAAAACTATCGTGTACGGGGTTAAGACAAAGGCCTCTTCGACAGGACAAATTGAACAACCTGTCGTATAGCTCACTTTTGCTCACAGGGGGAGCACGCAAAACCGCGGTCTGCGAGCGATTCAGGGGGCTCCGGTGCTGTCAAGGATTCAGGGTCGGGAGCTAATTATGATCAAGGGGGTGTACGCACGAGGAAACATAACAACAATACGAATGATAAATCTGATTAAATCGTTATGATTGGGTGTTGGGATTTTGTTGCATCTCAATCGTATCTAGCCGTCCTTGACTAAACAATTAGCCAGTGGGCAGTAGCTGCTTTATTTCTTTCTTTTTATTTTTCGTTTTCTTTTCCTCGCTCAGATGTAAAGCTCTAGCTCTATAAAAAAAATTATCATGCTATATATTTAATGAAATGAGCACATCTAAGCGCCGATTGGTTCCAAAAAAAAAAATCGTTCTTTTCAAGAGATCAACGAAAGAAAGGTCAAGTCAACACACCTTTTTGAAAATATTTTTTTTGAAACACCTGAATCTTATTGCTCCTTTTCCTACAAGGTAAAAAGAAAATCTGGATATCATGTCAACGAGAGAGCTACTGAAAATAATCTGAATATCATGTGGAGGGGAGAGAGCTACTTTCCGGGTCGCGCGTTGCTGGTTTAAAAGTTCAAACCCAAGCCTTTTTCAACGAAACGGTCCGTCCATATCGGCCCACTGTACACTGGCCCATGATAAAACAAGACTGACCTTGTTAGGACATCTATTTGGGCCCGGCTTTGCTCACCGATGCGAAAAGGATCCGTGTACTTCGCTGTCAGCTTTTCAAGTTTCTTTCTGGCTACTCCTTCAGTTCTGCACATGGAGGATGGGTTCTAATCTCTCGAGTGGACGTCCACCCATTTCTTACATGCCACCTAAATGATTATGAAAATATTTTAAAAAAATTTTACAAGATAGGTTAATATGTAATATATCACTTAACAAACATGCAAATTCCAATTCGACTTCTACAAGTTGTAACAAAAATAACAAATTAAACTCTAATTAGTATACATATATTCACAGGCAAATTTGTTATTTTTGTTACAATTTATAGAAGTCGAATTTGAACTTGCATGTTTGTGAAGTGATATATTACATATTAACCTATCATGTCAATTTTTTTGAAAATTTTTCATAACTATTTAGATGACATGTAAGAAACGGATGGACGTCTACCCGAGTGTTTAAAACAGTTTCCCCTATAAATGTCTCAAACTCTCACCCATATGATTGGAGGCAAATACAGTAAGCAAATACTAAAATGATAAAAGAAGGTTCAGATGCACGAGTTTCACCTGCCAGAAGAAGAGGACAATCTTGCTGGGCAAAACTGGACCCAACCAGTTCAAACTTCAAAGCAAGATTGGTTTTGCGATAATAAGAAAACCGGTTTCATTGTGATGTCCAGACTCTAGCGGTTGTTCCCGGCGAACAGTTCAAGTCAATACCATCCTGATTCTCGCGCGCCGAGACTTTAGAATATAACTCCCCAGGTCCAGCGCAATACAGTATATGTAGCTAAGCTGCCGGCTGCTGCATGCGAAGAATTCTCACTCGCCGGCCATTTTTTCGCAATGCCCAATCGTTTCCTCGCGGCGGCATCTCCGCGCTCATCGTCCGCGTCGCGTCGGTCTCCGCGTGCGTGCAGGTGCATTCCGGGCAGACGAGACGACTCTGTCCTAGCCTCCTCAGCCGCGAGCCAAAATTCAGAAAAATCCGCAACAATTAGGCCCTGAGCCATACACGCTCGTACGATCGAGTTACCGCCGGCGGCTGGCGTGCCAGACAGACGGTAGTAGTATCTCATATTCTCACGTCTCACGATCGCAAGTGTCAACTGTCAAGGCAGCGAAGTCAAGCGAGACGCTGAATTATTCCCCGGATTTGTCAGCCTGTTACGTACCCGTATTGTTGTACTTGTCGTCCGTAACGGTGTGAGAGATTGGGGCTCCATTTTGTCCACCCATGTGAGCTCACATGCCCCTGGATAAGTGGATAGGATCGTAATCAGAGGGAAAAAAATGTGTCCACGCTATGCGAGTACTGTTCGCTCAGACCGTCAGACGTGGTAGATAAAAAGGATGGTTTTCAGTGTTTTCGCCGTATAATTTGACGTGTCGTAGTAGCAATCAAGATGCTAGGGAGAGAGGTGAGTGAATATCTGATGGCAAAGTTTGCACCACTTCTGTTTGTTCCATCTGCTAATGAGCATGTTTTGTTGTTGGCAGCGAGTAGATCGGCGGAGCAGTTGTGGCTTGCCGCTTGCCTGATCGACGATGTGTTTCTCCGGTCTGTAGACTGGAGTAACACGGAGCAGTTGAGGCCTGAGGGCCTCTTCTTTTGATGTTCACCTACGGGATTTTTTTTTTGTTGACAAAATTAGATATGCCCCCACTCTAAAACACGGAGTTGTGAATACCGCACGTTCAATAATTAGACATGTCCCCTTTGAATTGGAAGATTCAATTTCCTAAGAAATGTTCCCTATGAAGCCTTTTGATACCCTTTAATTTATAGGAAAGTATAGAAAATATTTCATAGGACTGCATTCATATAGCTCAATTTCATAGGAAAAAGCAAGAGATCTAACCTCTTGGAAACTTTCATTTGCTTTATTTGTTTCATATGGTCCTATCAAAGGGCCACTCTTAATATTTCCTGCGTTTTACATTCATGTAGGATTAGTAAAACATGTCACTTCAATTCCTACGTTTTTTATATTTCTGTGCGTTTTTTTAATCCTGCGTTTCAAAGGGTTCTTAAAACGCGTGATGGAAAATAACATACGAATAGGGAAAACACATCAACCAAAAGTTTTTTCAATCCTATAAGGGCTTATTCGGATCAGAGGATCTTCACATGATTTTTGGAGTAATACTGTGCATAACAATTTCTTCCTTTTCTGACATTCAGATCATGAAAACTGGTTGTAAGAAATCTAAAGGAGAGTTTCCTTTGATGCTAATTTCATAGGAAAAGTACATGAAAAAACCATCCACCTCAAGCTCTTTTTTTTTTGCTTCATGCATGCAAATCTTAGGCAATTAATTTCCTGTGATCCGAATGCTCTCAACTTTTGTATTCCTTTGTTTTTCGTTTCTCTGTTTTACATTTAGATTCATTTCCTATTTCTATGTTTTTCCTATCTTATAATCCAAACAAGCCCTAAAATTTAAAAACATGGGAAATAAAAAGAAATGAAAGAAGAAACCATTTGATTACACTATAGGAAGATTGAAAAAAAAAGGTTTCCAAGAGCTCTTGCTTATTTTCCTATGGAATTAACTATAGAGATACAATCTTATATAAAAAATTCCCTATCTTCTTCCCATGGACGAAAGGAGCCTATATAGAAAAGATTCCTATGAAAATTGATTTCTCCAAAAATCCTTTGCCAATCCTCCAATTCCCAGGGCCCTTACTTTAGCTACTCTTTTTTTTTTTCTAAAATATCTCTTTTTTTCCATACTGACCTTGTTCTGTGGAGTTGAGGTTACAAATTAAAGGGACTCATAATCCACCCCATGGCCCATATGGGGCAAGGGTAAATCCTATTAGGGAAAATAAATTCACACATATAGAGGAAAAAATCGTAAAAATGTCTTATATACGTTGATGTGTCATACTAGATTAAATCTTAATTTTCTGTAACTCCTGATTAATCAAATCAAATGGTTGAGAGTTATGATCGTATTTTTTTAAGTAAGTATAGCTTGACTCAATGCTAATCCCCTAGAGTGATTGGACAAGAGGACAAACGTCTAATAAGTAAATAGGGCAACTGAAAAAAAAAACATCTTTCAAAAAACAACAAATTAGATAGCCGTTTTTTTTTTCTGATTTCATGACAATGGACGAGACATATTCAAATGCCGATTTTTTTTATGGCACACATCCATTTTTTCAGGAGAAAAAGTTGTATCATATGCCTGATTGTTGAAAATTAAAGCCTTTTGTGAGTACAGTGCCGGAGTTTTGCCAATTAATTAAGACAAAACAAGAGGGCAATATTCTTAGTTAAATTTTAGAAAAAAACACTATTGTAAACAACTAAACATACACAAGCTACATATGTGAGAATTACATGTGGGGACTGGAACTACATATCAATGATACATTTATTTTTCAACTATGAGATGTTTGTGATGTACCAAGCATTTTATTAACTCTATCATAAGAAGTCTCTCATCATTTGCTCTATGGCTAATAATCCATGAAAAAAAAATGAAGAAAAAAATGAGCGTGACTCTCATGTATTTGTTTCTAGTGATTTAAAAACCAATAAAAATAAACTATAATGTTTTTGTAAGATAATGAAACGAAAACCCCAACTTTAAAATAAAGTGTTAATTGATAAGCTAGCTAACTACCGTTGTTTGTCTCTATATAGTGAGTTGATTTTGCTTCCAATTTTGTACAACAGATGGGCTATACTTTCTCCTTACTAAATGTAAGCATTTCTTAAGTTAGTACGGATATTAAGAAAGTATGTGAAAATAATTAGAGAATGTGTGTCCGTAGGTAATTGGTTGAGAAGAGAAAGTAAGTGAAAGAAACTAGTTGTGATTGGTTGAGAGGAGGAGATAAGTGAAAACATAGCTTCATTTTAAGACAGTATTATGATAGAAATAGCTATATTTTTTAACAGTGGTAGTACAAGTACTACTTTATAATTCAGACTCTTCTCTTCACAACGGTGTGTGTTTAGCGTCTATTGTGAAGCTGTCATGCCTAATGTGTCACTGTAACGTGTCAACCATGCCTGACTTTTGTGTAAGAAAAGCTTCAGTTCTTAGAGCACCCGCTATAGTAAAGTAAGGTGTTTTTTATAAAACATATACATCTCAGCAATAAACTAGATTAATAGTAAACCACCTTAATAGTATATCTACATGTGTATCTATAGCTCTCTCATGTATTGTCTCGTTTTTCTCTATAGACTATCTCTAAGTTAGTAGATACCTTTGCTCTCTATCTTCATTTAATATCTTCCAAGTAGGAAAATATGTTGACATGGATCTCTTTTATAGAGCCTATAGATAACCATTGTGGGTGCCCTTAGGCTCTGTTCGTTCCAGGGTGATAGAGGAGATTGAGTATCGTTTTCCGCGCGCACGCTTTTCAAACTACTAAACGATGTGTTTTTTGCAAAAAAATTCTATAGAAAAGTTGCTTTAAAAAAATCATATTAATCCATTTTTAAAATTTAAAATAGTTAATACTTAATTAATCATGAGCTAATGAATCACCTCGTTTTACGTATCTTCTCAATCTCCTCGATCCCCACAGACCCTTAGTTCAGGGAGGTGATTGCCCGTGCAGGATTCGTCAACCTCAATCACCTCTTATCAATTTATCCTTTTTTCGAGGAACTTTTTTTGCAACTTTTGCGAGGATACCTCGTCTTCACTCTTGACGGCCAGTAATCCCTTTCTGACTCGGTCTACATACGAGTCGATTTCACGTAGTGAAATCCAACATATAACCTGACGAAACACACAAGAAACGACTCATTCCATTCGAGCCTGTTTCTTTACGAAATCCAACACAGAACCAGACCAAGAATACCCAACAAACTGTAAGTTAGCCATGCCTTTCACCTCCGTCAGGAACCTTACATGCATGTGCGACGGATGCAGAGGACAAAGTTCAGACTATTAACAGAACAACATTGCCACATGCAAGTCGAAAGGATCGTATTCTAAGTACCTACTTATCCGAATTTGTGCTCGACCGATGCAGACTAGCCTGAGATGTTCTTTTTTTTGTATGGAGTATCCATGTGTTCACATCCCAAGCGACCGTGCAAAGCGATCCAGATTTCAGCAACGGAGTTGTCGTTAGCGTACAAGCACGGTCAAGGATGAGCAGGCACTAATTAATCGCGTTGATCACTGAATCAAAGACGCCACCATCCCATGTGAAGTCGAGGAAAAAAAAACACCTCCTGGTTAGGGACGAAATGCGGTCATGGGATTGACAAACATGTGCCATTATCATTAGTCCGTTGATCTCACGTCAAAAGTGCCATTAGTAATTTTCTCCTACGACACCATGACGTTATTATCTGACCAAACGGTACGAAAAATGCTAAAGAAACCTTCCGTATAGCATAAGCAGAGGCCGAATGCCGCGGGTTTGGTAACTTTCATCTCCTCATGTCCGATCAAGGAGCCAGATGGTTGAGGGATGTCACCAAGACAACGCCATTGTTTACGGCCAGTTAGCAACACATCGCAATCTGTCTCGACGGGTATGTTTTGCTTGTCTGACAAGGGATTCCTCGAGTCCATAGCGACAGGAAAACGATTTACAGAAACAAGGGAAAAATTCAGCAAACCATATCTGATAATCTGAACAGCTCCAAGCTCCAAAGCAGTGAAACGTGAAGGAACCATATACTACTAGCAGTAGACGAAACTCAGGTGGTGGTGGTGGCAGAGACGTGCGCTCGAACGATTTCAGCAGTCGATGTGCACGGAAATTTTTGACCCAGAACATTCAGGAGCAATCAAAGGTGGAGGCGGGCGTGACACGTCCAATCCCCCCTGTAACGTGCGCACCGTTGACATCTGTAGCGGCTGCTGCGCTCATCTCATCTCGTTGGCGGCTGTAGCTGCAGTACAGGAGTACGTGGTGGTGGTGGTGGTCCGTGTCCGTTTATTTACTGCGTTTACTTCAGTGCGCCCGCCGTGTTGGATGCGTCACCGCCCTCCGTTTCAGCGCCGGCCTTTGTCCGCACGCACGCACGCTCGTTCGGCTCCCCTCCACTCGTCCCTCGATCGGTTCGGCTGGTTGCCTCCCTCCACAGCCTCGACGTCGCTTTTCCCCGCCCACCTAGCGCGTCACGCCACCACGCCACGCGAGAACGCGACGCGACGCGAGGCGGGCAGAAAACTACCGAGCCGCACGCGCAGGCGGGGCGCGAGGTGCCCAGTAGGAGTACCCCCCCAACCCAACCCCACCGATCGGATCGGCAAATCCCCCCGTCTCCCCACACAGATCCCCCACCCCCCACCGGGCCACCACCACCACCAGCAGCAGCGGACGCACGCACGCACGCACGCGACCGCGAGGCCGCGAGTGCGCTACGACGAGGAAACCGAGCGGCGCGAGCGAGCGACGGGGCGGGGGCGGGGACGGGGGGCGAGGGCGGCGCCATGGCGGATTGCCGCAGCCTGATCGAGTTCCTCCGCGCGTTCGAGCACCACCGCAGGGCGGCGGACTCCGCCGCCGCGGCGGGGTGCTCCTCCTCCTCCTCCCGATCCAGGCGGGGCGGGTCGTCGCTCACGGCGCTCTGCGACCACTCGCCGATGGCCGCGGTCGACGCGGTCGTGCTCCTCGCCGTGGTCGCCGCGCTGGGCTTCCTCGTGGTGCCCTACGCGAAGATGGCGCTCCTCGAGATGGGCGCGCTGCTCCACCCGGCCGCGTCGTGCCTCTCGGCCGCCGCCTTCGCCGGGGCCGCGGTGGCCGTCGCGGCGGCGGTGCTCGCGTGGGAGCTGGTGGGGCACCACGCCCGCAAGTGCGGCAAGCCGCGGTGCAGGGGCCTGAAGAAGGCCGTCGAGTTCGACATCCAGCTCGAGACGGAGGAGTGCGTGCGCGGCCACCCGGCTCCCGCGGCGCGATCGGCTCTGCTCGCGGCCGCGGGGGCGCACCCCGTGGAGCTCGGGGACGCGCACCGCGAGCTCGAGGCCGAGCTCCGCAAGATGGCGCCGCCCAACGGCCGCACCGTGCTCATCTTCCGCTCGCCCTGCGGGTGCCCCAAGGGTCGCATGGAGGTCTGGGGCGCCAAGAAGGTGCGCCGGATCAAGAAATAGATAAGAGAAGGATCACATGGTTATTACTAGTTTACCTGCTGTTCCTTCGTAGCGCTAAATTACTAATAAGCAGTAGCTAAAATATAAGATGCGATGCGTCTTGGTAATCAGTACAGGGAGAGGAAATAAAGGGATGATAGAAATACTGAAATAGGTAATATCAGATCATAGATTATAGAATATGCGATGGAGTTCTGGATGCCTGCGCATAAATATACTATATCCTTACTTGTTCATTCATGTTTTCCTTGAGATTCTGGATAAATAGTCTTACAAAGATACTGTCTTGTTTGATACTATTATCTATTTGTGCTTTCTTTTCGCCTGCCTTTTCGAATACCTGATCGAATTCTCTCAGTGGACAATTTTTTGTGGCAAGCATCTTTGACCCTGCCGAGTAGCTGAGTAAGCCTTTTCTATTCCATGTTAGTGCTCTGCTGCTCTAAACTTCTAGCTGAAAGTAATCCATGGTCATTTGTCGTTGTGTGATGTTCTCCAGTTTGATTCAGTGCGGTATTGGGGGTATAGATTTTGCTCCTTGATGGACTAGGATGACAAACTGCTCTTCCATTCACGTTGAGGTCAAGTATTGTTATTTTTAATTGCAAACTTCTTGTAGCTTCTGCTTTCTCAGGACATTTTTTTTCATGGCCCGTGGTATGAAATATGACTAGTTACTGTTATCCACTGGCTTTCATACCATGACAATATAGACATACAGTACTCTGTTCATTCTCAAGTTCATGTTTTTTTTCCCATTCTGAGTCTGTTTAACCTTAATTTGGCTGCCTTGATAATTGCTTGAACTTATACGAGGGGCAGCTTCTAAGTGGCTTCAGCTGCGCAGTTGTTTCACGCAGTCATGACTAAATAGTCACAGCTTCAAATGTAATCATATAACACAGCTTCATTTTAACAAAATTTATGGCTGGCCAGTTCACTATATTATTTATCAACCGATAAGCAACTTTTGGAATATCTGTCCCAAAATGATCTTTGCTTCTTTCCCCTGTGATAACCTTGTGTCCTAGCATACAGCTTTAGTAGCACAATCCTCATAACTAAGTCTATCAGTTTTATTTCATATTTTCTCATCCCACCCTAAAGGAAAAAACATCGCTTTTGTGATTGCCCTCACTAATTTTCTACAGTCTCCTACTTTGTTTCTTTATCTGGCAAATGACACTGTATCATAGTGCACTTCTTTTGCGATGCCATTATTGGCCTGTGTTCTTTTTAAGAGGTATATTACCTCATATGCTTTCTTGTCCATCACCTATATTTATGATCCACATTTTTTGATGCAAATACTTTATAGTTTTATCATATTGCTGTGTGCTTTTGGTGAAAGAACCTTACCTTTTGGGGTGTCAAATACCATTTCAGGATCTTACTTATTTATCTACTTCTATGTCATATTTTCCTTCATATTTCAGGGTTGTTGCTTGTATTGTGGGTTCTCACGCCTCAACCCAAAGATACATTCAGTTACTTGATTTTATAAACAGAGCTAAGGATTTAGAAAATTACTGAAAACTTACGATCATTAGTACTTTTCACTTGTTTTTTCCTGTCATTGTCACACTGTGCATCCTTTTTGGAAGTTTCACCTATTCCATGTTTGTTTTTTTATTTTATTTGTCTTTCATTCCCGTACGATGATATAATGCTTATTGATTACTACCTTCTTTTTTATAAACAACTGCCAAGTGTACAACAATTCCTGTGCTTGTATATGTATTTTGAGTTCATGTTTTCTACCATGATCATTGATCATTCTGTATATTTTCAGCTCTAGCTAAAGCATCTGAGGTTGAAATGTTTACATCTTTGATTTTCACTATAGTTTTGTGAGTTTATGTTGGATGCTCAGCGCTCTTCAGCTGGCATTTGTTTTTTTTACAGTGGCTAGGGGTGATCCGGGGTTCCGGCACATGAAATTCTGGGGGTGAAGGGAACAGTGTGATAGGGCATATGTGTTGACAGGAAAAAGTAGAAAAAAAGTTCCTAATTATTGCGGAAGTTGAATTGCTTGAAGTCTCTTGGTTTTCTGTTGTGCACCTTACCTTTTTCATGTCGAAATTATTTTTTTGGTGCAAGTGAATTATTTTCAGCTCTAGCTAAAGCATTTGAGGTTGAAATGCTTACATCTTTGATTTACATTACAATTTTGCGAGTTTATGTTTGTTGCTCAGCACCCTTCAGCTGGCATTTGTTCTTCGCAATGGGTAGGGGTGATCCGGGGTTCCAGACTCCCAGCATATGAAATTATAGGGGTGGGAACACTGGTAGAACATCTGCGTTCATAGGAAAACGTGGGGAAAAAATCGTAACTGTTGCGGAAGTTGAATTGCTTGAAGTCTTTTGGTTTTCTGTTGTACTCCCTACCTTTTCGTATCGAAATTATTGTGTGTGTGTTTTTTGTGCAAGTTAATTATTTTAGGATTGTTTCATGTGCAACTATCCAATGTTGCACATCCTTTTGTTCTCCTGAAAGCTTACGGATTGTTTGTTACAGGTCTCAGAGATTTTATCTGATCTCTGTTGTAGAACCATATAGTTCGGCCCAGGAAGAGCCCCAGTTTAACATTGGGAGTACCTATACATCACATCTTTCGAAAGATTTTTATGATCGTATCACACAGATTTTTAATCTTTAGATTAAAATCCGATATATATAATAAAAGGCAAAAAGCAATTAAGAAACACCATAATAGACAATAAATTACCATATCCTCAAGAAAAAGACCAAATCCAATACAAAATTTAAAATTTACATGCGAAGATTCAAAAATTATAGTGTAACTTACAAAAGTTACAGTGTAAGTTTCATAAATTACACTGTAACTTACAAGAAAATGAACTGTAAATTTGAGTGAGAAAATCGAGTGAGAGATAAGAAAAAATCTTTCGAGTGAGATATAGCAAAATCGTTTAACATTTGCAATGGCTATGCTCAATAGGCAAAAAGCAAGTGTGCCTCAAGTCTTCAACCTGTCCTGCTTGCTAGCCTGTTCTTTTTTAAAGCTGGAAAGTAAATTTCCAATTTACTAGAGGCGGACGCAAAATCCCCAACCACTGAAGCAATTACTGCACGATTTTGCTATATATATGTCGACATTTTCTCCCAAAAATTTGACAGATGTAATTACACTACAATTGTAGTGTAATTATACTGTAACTTGCATGTAATTACACTGTAACTATAGTGTGACTTGTATGTAACTTTCAAAAATCTCTCTGTAATATGTTATTTCGGTAAAATGGAGGTTGTGGGAATAAATTCTTACACATATGTGTGTGCCATGATTTTTTTTCCTCACCAAAACAAATCTTGTAATAGATTTAACGATTCAAAATTACGTGAAACTTATATACAAGTTACGAAACTTATATACAAGTTACACTGTAGTTACATGTAAGTTACAGTGTAATTACATATAAGTTACAGTGTAATTACACTACGATTGTACTATAATTACATCTGTCAAATTTTTAGGAGAAAATTTGTCGACAAATGTAATCACACCACTAAAGCAATTACAGCATCAACTGATGGCGATCGGGACTTGAGCAAAGGGGGCCTTTTCAGCCCAGACAAGCAAACGGGCCAGCCATCTCGGGTAGCAGGGCCAACAATCATTTTAGGTCGGGAAGAAGTCCACTTTGACCCCCTTAAAAAGTACACCGAATCTAATTTATACCCCTTAACCAGAAAACCGGATAGGATGACTCCCCGAACTATTGAAATTATAGATGGCCAAAAGACCCGCCCGGCACGGCCCGGACCAGGCACGGCCCACCAGCCATCGGGCCGGGCCGTGCCAGCCCATGGGCTGCGCCTCCCACCCAGGCACGGCCCACCAGCTGTCGGGCCGTGCCGGGCCGGCTCGAAGGCGCGGGTGGCCCATCGTGCCTTTTTTAAATAAGTCTAGTTTTCGTCCCTCCTCTTTTGGCTGTGACATAATGTAGCGAAAATAAGTCTATTTTCCGTCCCTCCTCTTTGGGCTGTGACATATATATAGTGAAAAAAGTCTATTTTTCGTCCCTCCTCTTTGGGCTGACATATATATAGGTAAAATAAGTCTATTTACGTCCCTATTCTTTCGACCGTGGCATATAATATGTCTATTTTTACTCCCTATTGTTTATGTGTCGGGCCTGGCATGCGGCCCATCGTGCCGTGCCGGCCCAACGTGCCGGCGGAGAGGCCCAGGCACGGCCCGGTGGTCGGGCCGGGCCGGCACGGGCCCGACCCTTGATGGGCCGTGCCGTGCTTAGGCCGTCGGGCCTCGGGCCTTTTGGCCATATAATTGAAACTGGTGTAATTTGACTCCTTTAGTGGTTTTCAATAGCGGTTTTGCTGACATGGCGCTGATGTGGCGGTGTTGACTTTGTCTTCATCCCATGTGACAGTGACATGGCGCTTATATGATCTTAGAATTAAATATAAGCATGTGGGACCTATTTGTCATTCACACAAGAAAACATAGTAGGACCCGCTGACATGTTGGGCCCACATGTCATCCTCTTTCCAACCCTTCTTCCAATTCCCTCTTTCTCGCCCTTATCTCCCTCTCTCTTTCCCCATGTTGCCGTCTGTGAGGAACTGGGTTGGACTCTGGAGCGGCGGCGACATGGGCAGGTGGGTGGCCGGCGCGGAAGAGGAGGCGATGGCACAGAATACGACTGTGGTAGCGGTGGCCGGGGAAGGTGGCGGAGTCCAGAGCATCGTCGACAATGGTGAAGAGGCGGTCATCCCCCTAGGGGCGGCGGAAACAGATCCCCCAGGCGGCGGCAGTGCCGACGGAGGGCGTTGGGTGGAAGAAGTGAGGGGTCCCGTCCCCCTGGCGGTGGAGGAGGCGAGGGGGTCCGATGGTGTGGTGGGCGGTAGCGGCCCACCAGATCGGCATAGGGCCCTCTGTGGCCGCGGCCGGGAAGGGGCGGGGCGGCGGTGGAGAGGCGGACGGTGGGGTGGTCGTCGAGGCGGGCTCGTGGGGGATGACCGGCGCGCAGGTGGAGGGTAGGCCCCGGTTGGCGACGTCGTCCCCCTCGGTCTCCGGTGAGAGGGCGAGGGGCCATCCTCCTGGAGGCGGCATGGGCGAAAAAAGTCCGACACCGACGCATGCGGACGACGCACGGCAGGGCCGAGCGGAAGGCGCGTGGTGGGGCAGAGATGTTGACGACGGAGAAGGTGGGCCTGGGAGCCAACGCCCTCGCCATCGGGCCCTCGCCGCCGCGCCCTCGCCGCCGGACACCGCCGTCGCTAGCGCCGGGGCGGAAGGGGCCGGGACTGCCATTCACCCGCCGCTCCCACCGCTGCCATGCGACGCCCCCGCCGCTGTGCCCTCGCTGCCAGATGTCGCCTCCGCCAGTTCCCGGAGCCAAAGGGGCCAGGGTGGGGAGAAAGGAGAGCCCTGTTGCTACCACTCCTCGTCGTTGTCCCGCCGCCGTTCGCCGAGAAGAAGAAATGAGGAGAGGGAGAGTGGGGGAGAGGTTATCAGAGGGAGGGGATGACATGTGGGCCTAGCTTAACTTTTATTAATTTATTTGATGACTAGGCTGCTATATTGACGCCACGTCAGCGAAAACCACCCTTAAAACAGTCGAGGGAGTCGTTTTAGATGGTTTTAATAGTTGGAGGAGTCATCTTATCTGGTTTTGTGGTTTAGGGATACGAATTAGGTTCGACGTATAATTAAGGGAGTCAAATTGGACTTTTTCCTTTAGGTTGTGTTTGGTTTGTTGTATCATGCTAGGCGGGTAGCAAGGGCCAACAACCTATGTAATTTTCGGTTGGGCGGTCTTTCCAACTTGGCCCGCCCATGGATGAGATCCCTGACTTTAGGGGTTAAAGTCAGAGATGAACATTGACTTTAAGCTGTTTTCAGTTGTGATCAGTATAGCGTTTCGTGAATAGTAACCATGCACAGTTCATTTCACTGTTTTTACTGTTGCTACAGTGAAAACTGTAAATTACTGTGGCAACAAACTCATTTCACTGTGTGTGCGCGCGCACCTTTCTGGAACCCCGCCCATGCAAAAAGGTCTCCGTAGTCAGGTTGAGCGGAAATGCTCGATTCAAGCTTTACAACTCGGGCAAATCTGGTGGATGCAATGGGCTGCACAACCACACCCACGTGTGCAAGGTGGCCGACGTGTCAGTTCAGCCTCACCTTATTTAAAGCTAGGTTTTGGTCTTTGGTGGAGGACAAGGCGAGCGCGCAGAGGTGAAGAGCACAGCGAGCGGGGGAATAGCAAAGCTTGAGGAGCGGTGGGAGTGATTGGACGGAGCAAGGGATATAAGCTTGGCGGGGGCATGAGCGGAACAAGAGGAGCAACGAGGGTATAGTAGGCAGCGAGCGCCGGAAGGGATTCACGAGAGCAGTAGCGAACCTTCTTGGTGGAGCGGCGGCAGAGCGACCTTGATGACGAGAGCCTTTCTCTCCCCCTCTCTCTTTTGGTCATTTTTGTTTTATTTTTCTACATTTACCCATCATTAATACACCAAAGTTATTGTACAGGATAAACTCAAATTGATAATTATTTTTTTTAAAAAAAACTCGCTGAATTTAGATGAATTACTTCGTAAACTGCTCGTACCATGAATTTTAGATGGATTTTCACAGTGAAAAAAAATGATAACAATGTTAAGCTTATCTAAATGGAAGGACATTTCTTCCACAAGTTCTAGCTGGTAATCACCTCAATCTTAAAAGAGTACCATACGTAAGATCCATCCAAATAATCAAACAAAATCTCTTCTAAACTGTTCTCCAGTACAATCAATCAAAAAAAAAATCACATGTTAGCTAGGCTGCGCCCAATGCAAACAACCAAATATTTGCACGCATATCCTTTTAAACAGGCCAAACTCAATCTAGATGTAAGAGACATACTACTATCAGACTAGAATGTGAGCAACCAAACACACATTTAGCCCTCGACCGAGTAACTTTCATGCATGCCGTATTTCAAATTTGCAACCTATTCATTCAAGTCGTTTTCATCCGGAAATTAACGTGCCAACTCACTTCTCTTCTCTCCCTCAACCCATCTTTACTCCGCTCTCTTTTGTTTTAGGACTCGAAACACACGTGAAACGATGAATCAAATGATCATTGTATATACCGCATGGAGTACTCGTATATACTACCGCGTGAGGTTGTGAATCTGTCAGCATCCGCGGTACGGGGAGTGCTGGTCGTGGTTGTCCTGTGACCTGAGGCGCGCCTGCATCCTGCCGCTCTCTGTCGCCGTGTTGCAAACTTGCAACGATCTCTGGCATGCATGACCAATTTGACCGTATACAGACATAATCTCTCCGTCCCTAAAAAAAAACCCTGAGTTTCCGTGTCTAATGTTTGACTGTCTTTTCGTGTCTAACGTTTGACTGTCTGTCTTATATGAAATTTTTTTATAATTAGCATTTTTATTATTGTTAGATGATAAAACATGATTAATACTTTATACGTGACTTGTCTTTTTAATTTTTTCATAATTTTTTTAAATAAGATGGACGGTTAAATATTGGACACGAAAAATTAGGGTTTTTTTTTTTTTTGACAGAGTACAGTAGGACTATATGCCAGTGGCCAGACCGCCGGTAAGCACACCGGCAAAACCACTAACCCGCCGCTGATCCGACCACAGTAATGAGGAGGAATCTGGTGGCTGACCTGACGGCTAGATTACCGGTGGTACTTTAGGGAAATCTGAACATCGGAAGCGCCACCAACCGCGTCCAAGTACAGTACAGTAGTATAGCCGTATAGTAGTAGCACGTGATCCATCCCCATCCAACAAGCTAAAATCGTGGTAGAAACTCGATTTTTATTTTTAAAAGGTTTCAAGTTTCAAATGGTTAGACCAGAACTTCAGTTAAACGGCTGCTTCAATAGAGTACAGCATTCTGTAGTTGCTTTCAGGTAGTACTAGTAGATAGTAGAGTGCTCAATAGTGGTGGCCGCGACACAATTTTTAGGGGGTGTTTAGATGGGGCTAAAACTTTTTAGCGCATGTCACATCGGATGTTTAGGCGCTAATTTAAAGTATTAAACATAGACTAATAAAAAAACTAATTTCATAAATGAGAGCTAATCCGCGAGACGATTTTTTTAAGCCTAATTAATCTATAATTATCAAAAGTTTACTGTAGCATCACATTGTTAAAATCATGGCGTAATTAGACTCAAAAGATTCGTCTCGCGAATTAGTCCAAGTTTATGGAATGGGTTTTGTAATTAGTGTATGTTTAATACTCTAAATTAGTGTCCAAACATCCGATGTGACATGGAGTTGGAATAAGGCCCTGTTTGTTTCAGCTTAAGATTATTGTAATCTAAATTATTAAATCAGATTACTCTAAACTGGATTATAATAAGCTGACATAGAATAAGCTGCGAGCTGTTTGTTTCTCTGGATTATTGAAGGCATCTAAGGGTAGTGGGTCTTTAGCCACCCAATAATCTGAAAAAAGCTCCTTCAGAGGAGATTATTAGATTATAGTAATCTGGCTTATAGATTATAATAATCTATCGTAATAATCTACTTATTTATTTCAGCTTACTCTTAATAATCCAGATTATAATAATCTTAAGCTGAATTAAACAGGCCTAATTCCCTGAAAAACAAACAGCCCCTAATAGACGAATTCCGAGTCCGGTGTGACCGGCGTGTGCGTTTGCTGACCTCGCGATCTCCGCTACCACCACCAGACTCCCCAACAAACACGCACGCGCGCACACACTGTCGCACCTACTTCATCCCCGACCCCGCTGCCTAAAATCCACCTCCCCATCCTGCACCAAACCAAACCCCCGCGACCCACACCCAAACCCGCCACCGATTCCGAGCGCGCCGCGGCGAGCGAGCGGGAGAGAGGGGGGTCGCAAGCGCAGCTTCCTCCCCGGCCATGGATCTCCTGCACGGGGAGAGCGTCCAGACCACGGTGGCCATCGCCGTCGCCGTCGTCGCGGTCGCCGCGGGCGGCGCCTTCCTCCTCCTCCGGTCCAGGAAGCCCAAGGGTATGTATTGGCTCCGTGCATCTGTCCCCTCTGATAGTCCGATGTTGTGAGTTTGTGATGTGGCGGCTCTCGCGCGTGATCTGATCTGCTTCTCCGGGGTTCCAGATTAGTCCTGGTTGGTTCTCATCATCACTCTCTGTGTGTGTGGTTTGAGTTCTGAATCGCTTTACGAATGCCCATCTTCTGGCCTTCCTCGCAACCAGACTGACAAAGATTCAACGGAGCAGCGAACTGTAGGCTGCCACACTGTGCTGTATCGTTGCTGTTTCATTGTCTATAGTTATCTTTCAGTAGTTGTTTGTGCAGTTTTGGTATTCATGCTACTTTCCTTTATTGATGGTTGGTGCCATTTATTTTTCCCTCCTCAGGCTGTTTGGATCCTGAGAACTTCAAGAAGTTTAAACTTGTGGAAAAGAAGCAAATAAGTCATAACGTGGCCAGATTCAAATTTGCTCTTCCAACTCCAACCTCTGTATTGGGCCTTCCAATTGGTCAGCATATCAGTTGCAGGTTTGGATTCCGCCTTATGCCTTTCTTTATGAAGTTTGCTACCCTTTTTTTTTTACATAAATTGGAAAAATGTATGTGCTATTCTTTTAGAGGACAAGATGCTACAGGCGAAGAAGTAATCAAACCTTATACCCCTACTACATTGGATTCTGATCTAGGGCATTTTGAGCTTGTTATTAAGGTAAATTGTATTCAGTTCTTTATACTGTATGAATGCTTGTTTGTCAATCCTGGAACATATCGTTATGTGCCACACAAGCAGGATTTGCCATTTAACTTTTCTCATAATGCAGATGTACCCTCAAGGAAGAATGTCACACCATTTCCGTGAAATGAAAGTTGGTGATTATATGTCTGTGAAGGGACCTAAGGTTGTTTTCTTTCTGTTCCAAGCAACTTGTGTTAAGTCTATAATGGGTGTTTATTGACTCTGAAAGAGTTTTGTGTTATCTATTATGCTTTAGCCAGCATTTATGTGCTTACATTTATTGATTAGGTGACATTCACAATTGAATTGGGTGCTCATTTGTCTTTGGTTTATGAGTTTAACATGGTTTCTTCTCTGTTCTAGGGTCGTTTCAGATACCAAGTTGGGCAAGTGAGAGCTTTTGGAATGCTAGCTGGTGGATCAGGCATCACTCCCATGTTCCAAGTAACATATATGCCTCCAAAGTTCTATGTTGCAGTTAATGTTGCTGCAAGCGGGTCACTTAGTAGTTAGTACTGACAAACATTTTTTTTATGTTCTCACAGGTTGCAAGGGCAATTCTTGAGAACCCTAATGATATCACAAAAGTTCATTTAGTCTATGCAAATGTCACGCATGACGACATTCTTCTGAAGGTGGAATCACTTCTTTGTTATTTGTTAAGACTCTCTTTTTGCTGCCTCTACAATATATCTATGATACAATTTTGTGGTCTTTCTGACTGTTAGCATCGCCCCATCAGATTTCAGATTTACTGTGCCATCATGTGATTTAATTGACTTTTGTGCCATATATTCACTAGTGGACACCATGCACATACACATTTCATTTAGTTGCCAATGACAGCTGGTGAAATTTCAAGTATTGTTTATGATAACTGTTAACTGGTTTGTTTCTTCAAATGCAAAACTCATGCAACTTGTACTGCATGAAAGTGGAATAATTTATACATAGTACTTTGTAGCTGAGATATTTTACAATTTCTTTATGTAATGTCAAAGCTTCTATAAATGATATATGAATGGGAGAGTCGGAATAATCCAGCACAGCTGCATGTGCTTGAGCAAAGAATTTATTCTATTAATATTGCAAGAAAGTTCTCTATTCATTATACATGTCGAAATATTTTTGAGGTTGCAATAATAGTTTATGCCACTATGCATGTTATCTGTAACCAATTAGGATGATTGGTGACTGCATATGTTCTGCTATTTACTGCAGTCCCAAATTTATGTGTGTTGAATCTGTGCAGGAAGAACTGGACAACATGGCCAAAACCTACCCTGATCGCTTTAAGATCTACTATGTCTTGAATCAGGTGAACCCTATGCTTCTATTATTTTACAAGATTTGTGTATCAACATCAGTACTCTAGATACATATCAATAGCTTTGCTGGACACAGTGGTCTCCAGGATTCCACGTTCGCCATTTCTCTTGAATATTTTTGGGAGTCGTTGCTGAATTTATGTTATGAATTGTCTGATTGGAACAAGGGATGGGTTGTTTATCCATTAGCCATAGTACCCTACAATGGTGAGATAATTGAAAAAGATTTCACATAAAAATATTTAAAGATTCCTGGATGATATTAAAATAATTAAGGAGCGTTTTTTTTTCTTTGGATAAGAGCATGCTCTTAGTTGCATTTGCTTTAGTATTTGTGTTTTTTCTGCTTGAAATAAAATTATGCTATAAAATCGTAGTCCCAAATGTATATTAGGAATTACGACATGCATGGTACTTGATAAAGACATTTGCAGCAGATTCCAATGTTGATTTTTTGCTTGTGCAGCCTCCTGAAGTCTGGAACGGTGGCGTTGGGTTTGTGTCACAGGACATGATTAAAGCTCATTTGCCAGCACCTGCCGAGGACATTCAAGTAAAACTCAAATCTTCATTTTCGGAACCTCTTGTTTAGAAAGAAGTTTTTGCTTTCTGTATGGTGTCTCAACCTGGACACTTACATATAATATGTGTTTAATTGTTCCAGATCTTGAGGTGTGGTCCTCCTCCGATGAACAAGGCAATGGCTGCGCACCTTGATGAGCTCGGGTACACCAAGGAGATGCAGTTCCAGTTCTAAGCTCTCCTAATGGCGGAGTACCAGAATAATGGACCCCATGGCCTACGCTGTCTTACGCTCTCTTGTGTCATGGAGACGTCGTCTGACCTCTTTTGTTAGTTGATAGCAATACATGATTAGTCGTGACCCAACAATTCATGTATCACTCCATTTTTATGGGCAAATGTTATCTGCAATTGGCAGAAGCCCTGTGACTGCCATCTGGTTTACAAACTGAACATTGGATGCTGCACCGCGGGGAAACTATTCAATCCCTCGAGGGGATGTTCTCTCGTTTGCTCAAAAACCATCTAAACGGTTATGAAAAATTCTGAAAAAATTTGACAACATTCATACAACATATATATACAACTCCACAAAATCTTAAGTCCAAACTTAACTCACACGTCGAGATATAAAAAAGACAAATTCAGCGTATGAATAGTAGCGTACTATTTATATCTAAATTTGTCTTTTTTGTTTCTTGATGTGTAGATCGAATTTGAACATGAATTTTGGTGGACTAGTAGGTATCATTATACTCTACATTGTTAATTTTTTTCATAATTTTTCACAACTATTTGCATCGAATTTAGAAAAAAAAGGTATACGAGGAAATATCCCCTCGAAGGATTAGAATCTACACTCCTGCACCGCGTACTAGTGCGTACACAGGGTATCAAATGTCACCATTTGAGAAAGAACTGTACTCCCTCCGTCCAAAAAAAGACAAACCCTGATTTCCGTGCCCAACGTTTGACCGTCCGTCTTATTTGAAAAAAATATAAAAAAAAATAAAAAGACAAGTCACGCATAAAATATTAATCATGTTTTATCATCTAACAACAATGAAAATACGAATTATAAAAAAATTTCATATAAGACAGACAGTCAAAATTGGACACGGAAACCCAGGGTTTGCATTATTTTGGAACGGAGGGAGTAGGTAGTAGCATTATTTTCCATGAGAATTATTGGAATACCTACATGTTTGGTTTATCGATTGAATCTCCATAGAAAATGTATATTTTTTCCTCAGATTTCAATAGGAAACTGATTCTTTTTTTTCAAACAAAATTACAGGATAAATTCCTTTGATAACGGATTATATGAAAAATTTAGTTGCAAATATAAAAGTACCTCAAAACTGTATGGAATTCTTGTGTTCCAAGCATTTCGATTTGCTCCTCTCTTCTCTTCCGAGCTGCTCGACTTTACTAGAGCTAATGAAGGCATGCCAAATTTGACATCATGGTGACATTTAGAACATAAAATAGATTTTACAAAAAGTCCAATTTGAATTTAGATGGTACTCCATTAGTTACAAAATAGTATAAGAATTTTTCATCACATCCAACCAAAATCCTTTATATTTTGGGACGGGTAGAAGGAGTGTAAAGCATTTCTGGAAGGAGGGAGTATAAGCATTTCTAGAAATTACAACTGGAGTATAAACATTTCATGAAACTTCGAGTACTACTCCCTCTATCCTATAATATAAAGGATTTTGAAACGATGTGATATATTATAATACTATAATGTGTTATATTTATCTAAAATTCTTTATATTATGGAACGGAGGCAAGAGGGAGTACCATCTAGGAGTACAGGTCATATCGGGTAAATTGCATCTGCAAGGGCTGGATGGCCGGAGACCCGATAGCCCATTCCCCATTTCCCTTATCCGGAAACAGCCTTTGCTTTCCCCCTCCCTAAAACCCCCCGCAGCGGCGCAGCGCCACCTCTCCTCCTCAGCCGAAGCGTCGGGGCCATGGCCATGGCGATGGCGTCGCCGCCCGCTTGCCCATTCCTCCTCTCGCTCTCGGCCGGCGCCACCGCCATTTCCACCGTGTCCGCCGCCTACGGTTCCGTTTCCGCCCCGCGCGCGCCTCTCTTCCTCCTCGCCTCCCCGCGTCCCGTCCCGCCTCGCCGACCCCTCGCCGCGGGCTCCTCATCTCCCAAGGCCGCGGCACCCGCCGCCGTCGAGATCCCCGAGGAGTACGTGGACGATGTTGATGCGGTGAACATTGCGCAGGACGTCACCCAGGTGCATGGCCGCTTCCCCATCCACGCATATGCTCCATTTTTTTGCTTTAACATGGGAATGGGTTTCCATCTAAAACAGTACAGTGAAATTGGTTAAGGTCACTAGGATCATCTCGTTTAGCTTCCAGTATTGTGGTGGTTGAGTCTGTGAGGTACTGGAATTCCATGGTAAATTTTGGTATTTTTCTGTAAGCTCGCAATGGGCATGGGGGATAAATGATAATTGGCTTAGATCTCATTTTTTGTTCTGGCTAGGACAAACTCACAATGGGCATGAAGTATAATTGGTTAGATCTCATTTTGTTATTCTACCCATGAGCATGACCACTCCCACTTCTGATCAAACATTTACTTGTTAATCAGCTGATTGGGAAAACCCCAATGGTGTATCTGAATAATGTTGTCGACGGATGTGTTGCTAATATCGCTGCAAAACTTGAGTACATGGGACCTTGCAGGAGCGTCAAAGACAGGTATGTTTTTGTCATTTGTGTATTCTTTTCTGCCAGTGCCACCTCTCATTCATGTCTTTTCAGGATTGGATTAAGCATGATTAATGATGCTGAAGAGAAAGGATTAATTTTTCCAAACAAGGTTAGATTATCCTGATAGTATTTGCAATACTACCATCATGAAGATTCTAACTTGTGCATATACTTCTACCTATGCAGACCATTTTGGTTGAACCAACTACTGGAAATACTGGTATAGGCCTAGCTTCTGTGGCTGCTGCTAGGGGATACAAGCTAATAGCAACTGTACCTTCATCAATAGATGTTGAGAGATGTGTTCTTCTACGTGCATTTGGAGCTGAGATTGTGTTAACTGATCCTAACAAGGGACTAAAAGGAGCTCTTGATAAAGCAGAGGAAATTGTTTCGAAGACACCAAATGCATACATGTTTCAGCAGTTTAACAATTCCGCTAATAGTGAGGTTGAAACTTAAGACATATCATTTGCTCATTTTTACTTCTGTTATGTGGCACATTTAAAATCCATTTGCCAAAATCTTCTTTAGAAATTTATTGAGAAGCCACTTGGTAATTACAGATCCACTTTCAAACCACAGGCCCAGAAATATGGGAAGACACCTTGGGTACTGTTGACATACTAGTTGCAAGCATTGGCACAGGTGGCACCATTACAGGCACTGGGCGTTATCTGAAAATGATGAACAAAGATATTAAGGTCCGTACTCTTGTCTTCATTAAGCTCTTATTCTATCTTTGAAGAAAACTGGGATATGTTGTGTCCAAATGACAAGTGCTGCAACTTCCATTTTCACTAGGTCTGCATGAAATAAAGAATATGCCATTCTCATCCCTAGTAACTTTATCAGAATTTTCGGAGATATTTGGAGTGGAAATGGAATTTGAAACACATGCCGTTTACACATGATACATGACCACAACTGTGTCAGAATGATTATCTTATTTTGTTCTAAACTAAGATATACTTTTCCACCAAATTCAGTCATTCAGCGATGTTGCTTTAGAATTTATTCTGTTATCATTGTTACTCACTAACTGGTTGATGGTACCAATTACTCCTTAATTTAACTTTGGAAGTGCTTGTGTGCTCTTCCAAAAAGTGAAAAACACAGCTTCTAAAGAAATTTATGTCTTAGTTGCAGAAACTCACCACATGTGTTAAATATCTGTACTATTCAATGATTTGAGGACAACAAAGCAGGGAAATCCTTTGATCTTATTATACCTTTTTTGTAAATTACTTGTTGGACAATTGGTTTCCTCAACCACAGAGATTTCCATTAGGTTAATATCAATATATCTTTGTTTTAAATTCACTTATGTGTTTGGCACTGCCCTTTAATTATCAGGTTATTGGGGTAGAACCTGCTGAAACTAGTGTAATCTCTGGTGATAATGCTGGTAAGTTCAATAACCCCATTCCAATTTAGCAATCAACATATTTGGGAATTGAGCATATTAAGAGTATATTCCTTGGCATTGACATCCTTTTGGTTGATGTCAATTAAAACAGGTTATATTCCAAGCATATTAGATGTTCAGCTGCTTGATGAAGTTGTGAAGGTCCGCAATGGCAACTTTAATTGTCCTTTTATTTTTGAAAAAAAATGTTGACAGTTGACAGTTCCTGCAGTGACTTAATTATGATTTTGAAAAATGCAGGTTACCACCACAGAGGCAGTCGATGTTGCAAGGGAACTTGCACTAAAAGAGGGCCTGCTGGTGAGCTGCTGCACATTAAACCCTGTTATTTTCAGCTACTTTATCAGATTATTGTCGCCGATTATTTGCTACAGGCCTCTAAAAATACGTTCTCTAAAAAAGCTTTATTCTACATTTCTACTGCATTGCTTATATCGCTTGTTCTAAGCTATTTGTTAAGTTTATCATCAAAACATTTAATTTATATATCTATAATTGTGTAGATAATCCACTACAATAATCCGGTCAATAATCTATTTCAAACTGGGCCTAAATGTATTAACTTTGGAGTTATTATTGATTCGATATTATCTTGATGTCAGCATCTTCCTCAAATTGCCATATATGTGATACATAACTTGTTATGGGGATTATTTTACAGGTTGGCATTTCGTCAGGTGCTGCCACAGTTGCTGCTATTAACGTCGCTAAAAGACCTGAAAATGCTGGAAAATTGATTGCGGTGAGAGCTTTTATCTATTAAAAGATGTTGCAGCTTAGTGAAGTTTGTTCATTTGTATCACAATGATCTTATTATAATCAACTCAGATGGTTAATAAATAATGAATTTGCAGGTTATTTTCCCCAGCTTTGGAGAAAGATATATCTCTAGCATTTTATTCCGTCCGATATATGACTCGGTCCGAAGAATGAGGAAGAGATAACTAACTTCTGCCACTCCAGGAAGAAGAAGGTTGCCAGTTCTTAAACCTAACATACTTCCACGGCATAACAGATTTTGAAGGGTGAGGTTCCAGGTAGATTACAACGAGTAGTGCCTGAAATTTTGAAACGCCATAGGCACTGGTCAGCCTCACAGAAGGTTGAAATTGCGCACGGTTGCTGACGAGTAGTTTGCAAGCCTGCAATTTGGTTCCAGGGAATCGTGTCCAAAACTATTCATAACTGTAAATCATCTGCACCAAAGCGTCTGGAACCAGACCACATCCACGATGGAATATGTAGAATTAGATATTGCAGCTAGCATAGTAGGATCTTTCTTCAATAGTTTAGGCTTGGTAATGGAACAGATCTGTAATGTGATATACCTTTTGAGCTGATCTTGTTGACTTATTGAACGAAACTCTACACAGATTTACTACCTGTCTTAAAATATACTCCCTCCGTCCTAAAAAAAGGCAAACCCTGGGTTTCCGTGTCTAACTTTGACTGTCCGTGTTATATGAAATTTTTTTATAACTCATATTTCTATTGTTGTTAGATGATAAAACATGATTAATATTCTATGCGTGACTTGTCTTTTTAATTTTTTTCATAATTTTTTCAAATAAGATGACGGTTAAACGTTGGGCATGTAAACCAAGGTTTATCTTTTTTTAGGATGGAGGGAGTACAGAGTAACAACTTTTAAGTACAAATCTGACTATTATTTTATAGAGGATATCAATAGTTTCTTCAAATTGTGAGTTAATCTGGGCCAATATGGCAAATATCAGGTTTCATTGTCTGCACTATGCTCTAGCCAAATAATCTATGTGGACTCTGGGAGTCTGGAGTCGACCGTCCAAACTCCAAACTCAAAGCCGTCCGTAAAGCAACAAAAGGCTCAGGGCAAGTAGTATAATGTACATATGTTGCCTCTAAGAGTGCCACATTAGATTGAATGATGAGGTGGAGGAGAGAAGTGAGGAGAGAGAAGATAAGCCACCTCTAAATCAAGAGGTAACCTCTACACAAATTTCAAAAAGAATGTGAGAGTATTATAGATATTGGTGTTTGTGTACGGGTGATACGTTGTATGAGTTGTCTCTTAATTCATGAGTGAATAAAATAGATAAATTTAGATGTGGTAATCACATCTACCGTAGCACTTGCCCTCGTAAAGCGAGCAGCGGGCCCAGTTGCAGGGACTGATTCGGAGGAGCTCCTTTCCTGATTTCTCTAGTCCGCCGAGGCGCCGACGAAGAACGCGGGCGGCGAGGAGGCGCAACCGCGCGACGGCGTAGCTCGCGCGGCCGCACGGGGCGGCGTCCTACCTGCGGCCGCGCTTATCCCCAACCCTAACCCGACATGTCGGCGTCGGATCTCCCCGACGAGCTGTGGGCGCGCGTGCTGGAGCTCGGCGCGGGCGCGGGCGCGGCCTCCTCCGCGCTGGGGTTCCGCGACCTCTGCGCCCTCGCCATCGCCTCCCGCCGCCTCCGCCGCCTCTCCCTCCACCCCTCCCTCTGGTCCGCGCTCCTCTCCCGCGACTTCCCCACCCAATCGTCGCAGCCCTCCTCCGCCTCCTCCTCTTCCTCTCAGCAGCAGCTCCACCCCAAATCCGTCTACAAAACTAAGTAAGAACTCCCTCCCTGTCCCGATTAGCTTTCTTCTCGTGCGTGTGGGGGCCGGGGTGACCGGAGTTCTTCTGCAGGTTCGAGAGGCATAAGGTGCGGATGGCGGAGGCGAGGCGGCGGGTGGTGTTCGAGGCAGAGGGCCGCGTGTTGGCGTGCCGGAGGCGGCTGACGCAGCTGGAAGAGTCGTTGCAGGAGGAAGGGGAGAAGATGAAGACCGCCGCGCAGGAGCTGGACAACCTCGAGAGGGTCAGGTATGTTTTTTTTGTCCAAAACCCTATCTTCTCGTGTGCCTTATTTGCTTGATGCTAGAGTACAACTTAGAGAAAGTAGAATATGTAATACACTATCCTAAAAAAACATATTTCTGTGCATTTGCGTAGTTCGTAGTTTGGTTCTATGTGAGCACATAAGAAGATCTATTTCTCTGTTTTATTTAGATAATGGAATTCATTCTGGCCTTTGCTTCAAACAAGATGTATTGCTTTTGCAGCTTGTCCATTAATCTGTTGATTTTCTTGTTTATGCAAGAGCTGGTCTGAGACCTCTACGGTAAAAAAAAAAGCAGCCCGTGTTGTGTTTTTAAACGGTAGTAGGTGAACCCTGTTTAGTTCATATGAATTAGTTGTTGCGGTTGGTCATATTAATCCAGTTCAAAGGCATTTCTGTCTGATTATAAATTCAAATCACTTGCACTGTCACATTCCAGAACATAGTAACTCACACACAAAACAACATGGCTCCAATCTAGAGTCATCCAGGGAATATTTCTTTGTGCTTCAACATGGCTGAAGCATAGCTGCTATAGTTAACTTGGGAATATTCTTGGTGTTTCAACATGCTGAAGCATAACTGCTATAGTTATTAGGAGTGTTTCTTTGAGCTTCAACATGGCCGAAGCATAACTGCCAACTGAAAGGAACCGCCCCGAAGTTTTATAGGAGTACAGGATAGCCACCAATTGTGATGAATGATAAGAAGTGTGTTCAAACTTGAATGGTTATTATGTTAGATAAATTGAGTTACAGGCGCCAAGTGGCTTTTGAGCAACTGATCACAATCTCACCTGTAAAAGAACCACCTTTTCTTGTACTTTGCCTCCAATGGAAAGATGGAGTAAAACAATCCAGTTGGGCCAATGGGACAAATGACTACCTTTGCATGGAATCCCTCCATCCCAGTGGATGGTACACCAGTAACCTGTACACACCTTGCCTGATTAGAGAATTTTAGCATTTCTTCTATTCCAGTCTCCAGAATCCAGATTACCCACAGGATACTTGCATAACATGAATGACTACATACTTTTTTTTCTTCATTAGTCTATCAACTGGTTTGTTATATTACAGTATCATCTTTTTCCAAGCTCTACAGCCATTCCTTGATTATGTGCTATCATGGGTTCTCGCTACTATATTCTCAATTCATTGTCATTTGAGTTGTCTACAGGAGAGCTTCAGTGGCATTAAATGTATGGCAACCACAAGTTGTTCGTGGACGTCAAAAACAATTGGTTCAACAGTGCACAGTTCCAGTTGATTCCCGTCTTAGTGATGTAAACATGGAGCTGAAAGTTTGTAAGCAACAAATAGCAACTTATAAGAACATTTATGTATGTGATCTTGGACTTGACTGCAATTGTAATGATTGACAATGCTAGCCTTACTGGAATTGTGTTTTTGTTGCTATTATCAGAACAAGGAGAAGGAAAAACTGAATGAGTATGAGGAAGCATTGAAGAGAGCAATATATCATCCATTGCAGAGTAGCCATACAAGTTCAATTGCCAATGAGCCACAAGCAAAGAGAAAGAAACGAAAGTAAGACATGCAAGTTTGCCTGTGCAACCTTTCGTCCGATCTTCCTTTGTTTGCAGGTATCTACTAAGAGGCCCAATCTTGTTAAAACGGAGCAGTAATGTTTTTGCCTGAATTGCTCTCTTGTTTTGTTATTTACATGCATATATACTTATTGTTCTATTATTGCCATCATTGGAGTGGATAACAGTTCATAAGGAAGCATATGCCACCTTTTCTGAAAGTTCAGTTTTGTGCTTACATGATGCGATTCCACCGTTCCAGATTCGCACAACAAAGGCAAAGTTCTCCTGATGTTTTTGTTTCTACGTGCAGGTATGCATGCCACTGATATAACCATGGCAAATGCAAAAAGACTGAAGAGAGAGGAAAAAAGGTCCTCTATTGGCCTCTTCCTTGCCAGGCAAGTTGATAGGAAGCTCCATTGATCTTTCCCAAATGCTGAAAGAATCTATTCTCATGGTGGTGTGTGTACCGTCCAGCCGCCAGCGGCCAGCTGTTTATACCATAGCTGAATAGTCAGTGCTGCTGGTGCCTATCTGTCATTCACGAAGCTGTGGGCGGTCAGCTGTTCTAGGGCAGCAGGACGACATACATCTGATCAAATTGCTTCCGCTGACCTTTGGGTTGAAGAGATATGCACATGAAGCAAACCATGTTCCCTTTTTTTTTACCTTCAGTTTCAAAATGTTAGTATGCAATTAATTAAGTACGTGGAAGCTTGTTTTCTGTAAGCTACTTCGTATACAAGTCAATCAACTCTTCCGAATTGTACCCTCCAGCAAGGTTCTGCCTGTAGAAATGGAAGGTCGTGATTGTTTTGTACACATAAAACATAATTTGCATTGCAAACTGAAATCTTAAAAGCAATGAAATCTTTAAAGCTGATAAGCTCCGTTTATCTCCCCATCATCAGATAACAACATCAAGTCTACTTTGCACACACGCCAGAGACATTGAATTTCATGCTCATCAGCTCATGCGTCTGACGTGGTGAGCTTAGTGAGGAAAAAAAAAACAGGAGACGATGGGAAACAAAAGCACCCCTGTCCGATCCTATATTTGTTGCAGTTCATTCATTTCATCACCAGTTTTCCCTGGACCAAAAATCCATCCTCCAAAAAACTCACCGCGGCCGACGTGGCGCCGAGCGCCTTCCGCCTTCCGTGCCGCACCCTCCTGCTGCGCCTTTGACCCGGCCATCCGTTCTCTCTAGCCCCACTGCGAGGTGGCCCCACCTGTCATCGAGGCAGCCTATTAATACACACCTCCCCTCCCCCGCGTCCGAGTCCCAGTCGCATATCCCGCCGCGTACTGGGACCAAGGGGAACGTGGGCCCCACCTGTCAGGTGGGCCGTATATAACGACCGCCTCCTCACCCCGGCCTCTCGCCACCCCAGAAGCCAATCCGCGCGAGGCCTCGCCGTGATCTCAATTCTCCCCCAAATTCGCAAATCCTCCGCGTTTCGTCGTCGCCGTTGCCGTCGCCGCCGAGCAGGGCGGATTCAAGGGGAAGCTCCGGTGAGATCCATCCGCGAAGCGCGTTCCCTCGCGGAACCCTCGCTCGCCGGGCCGGCCGATCTGGTTTGTGCGGGGGTGGTTGTGGTTGTGGTTGTGGTTGTTGTTTGGTCGCCGGAATCCGACGAGTTGGAGATCTCCGAGGGATAGGAATCCGTAGCGTTGCGAGCGCCAGGCGAGGTTACGATGCCTGCGGTGCTCGCCGCGTTCGCCAGCCTCCGCGCGGCCGCCGCCATCGCCTCCGCGGACTCCTCCCCCTGCTCCCATCTCCTGAAGCCCCCCTCCTCCCCGTGTTTTAGTAGTAGTAGTAATATTTTTAGTAGTAGTAATTATCTTTAACGATTGCTTCCCCATCGTCGCGCGCTCACGCCCCTCGGTCCTCACTTCGCGCCGTTCGCGTTCTCGTGTTCGATTTGGTTGTGCTCGATCCGATCTCTCCCTTTCCTGCTTCCGATCAGAAGCAGTCGGCCTTGTTGGAGGTGGTGATTGCTGGTTCTTCGAGGAAAGAGGTATTAAAACGATCCCAATTTATTGCCATTCGCTGTTATTGATGTTATGGTGTTTATTTCATTGAAATGTGCTTCTATTTCAAATTTTGATCATTAGAATATAGATTTATGTTCTCACTATTTATTGCCTTGTAATTCACAGCATGCCAATATTATAGGGCATATTCTTATATTTACCCTTGTATTTGATGGGCAAATAAATCTTGTGCTTGATTTTTTGTAGAGATAGAACAGGATAGACATTTAAGCAGTTAAATGCCCTGTTTGTCTATACCTGTTTCCTCAAATTAAATGAACTTGCTATTTAAGTCAAATATACGTTTGCAGTCATGAAAATGGTCTTATAAAGCTGTGTTAACTAAATTAGATAGTGTTTCTTGTCATTATAACCGCATAAACAGACTCTCATCTAACATTCTAACTTCAACCCGTTTTCTTTTCGGCAGAAAATCATCTCCTGAATTTGGAATTAAGCTTGTGGATGGGCGGATCTTTGGTGGACTCTAGCGCCGAAGGTGTTAGCAGCAGCTTATGTCTCTGCCACAGCACCTCTGAAAAGGCAGGCTTTGAGCATAGCTCATGTGCTAGCTCTGGAGATGGAAATTGTGAAGCTGGAATAGATTTTGGGCAAGATGATTTGGTTGTCAATGAAATTGGAATGGCTATTGCTGAAGTGATGCATGTCTGCAGTGATCATGATGATGATGAAGGGACAGATTCGGGTGAAGACTTTGATGAAAATGAGGGTCTACTTTCTCTGGAATCAGATTCCACTGATGATGTAGTGGATATTGATAATGAATTGGTCATATCGCCTACCTTTTCTAGTTGCAATGCATCTGAATCATCAATCAACAAATCAGACTCTGGAAATTCTTCCATTAATGTAAGTATTTGACTGCAGCCTTGTTCAACCTAACTTGTTCAATATACCTTGCCAGTTGTATTTGTTTTAGTTGTGATATCTACGCACCTAATTTGCAATAGCTACTCAGTTTCTTTTAGCATTTTTTTAATAAGCACATTAAAATCTCACTGCCTTCTTATATCATGTTGTCACTTCTGCTTTAAGAATTGGATAGCATCACTGGATGAACAGTTTCAGTTGTTGTGCTGAACTGCTGATGCCACTTGTATCATGTCCCATCAAAATCTATTCCACTTGATTTTGAGTTTATTTGAAATCATCAATGACCATAAGATCTCAGTGGGCTGTATGTGTTTTTTTCTTCCCATAAAAGATGGGGCCAAATTGTGCTTTCTAACATCACATATATGTTCATGTGCAGGGCACTCCACCGTTGGTTTCTGCAATGAAAGGAAGCCGTGCAAAGTTGGGAATCGTCACAAGTTTGAGTGTTTCATGGGCCCCTGATGTATATGATCCTCCTGTTACTTCTGGGTCTCACACTGTGAAGGGGCATCAAAGAAGTTCAAGGAAGAGCCACTACAAATACAAGCCGGCCAAGAGCAGTAGCAGCCGCAGCAGCAGTGGAAGCAAAAAGGACAGGAAGCATTCTCGCCACAGTAGCAGCAGCAGCAGCAGCAGTAACCACAAAAGAGACAGGAAACCTTCCTACCGCAACACCGTTGGTGGTGTAAGCGTCGGCAGCAGCAGCAGCAGCAGAAATACTGATGCTAGTGCTGCTCAATATCGTGATCTGTACAGCAGCAGTGGCGGCAACAGAATCGACATTGCTGTTCCTCAATACAGCAAGCTATCTCCGTTGGTGCCGTCTGAGAGTGCAACATATCGTAATGTGTACAACAGCACTAGCGGCAGCAGAACTGACCCTACCGTTCCTCATTGTAGCAAGCTATCTCCGCTGGTGACATCTGAGAGTGCATCACTTGCAGGGACCGTTCCTGTGCTGAAGACATTGGAGCCGATCAAACGCAGCTCCAGCTGCTGCAAGGAGCAGCCTTTGAGCTTTCTGTCACGCCAGTTTGTGGCTGCAAAGTACAAGGGGATGTTCTCACTATGGAGTCACAACCAGCTAGCTTCTTAATCATCTGTTGATACATCCAACTCGTAAGCTGTTGGTTATCAACAAAATGCAAAACTTTTACCGCTTATGCCTTTATTATTTTGATTTGTGACCACGTGTCTTGTTCTTTGTTACACTGTTTGCTCCGTTTGTTGAACATCCGAAGAGATGTTATCGAAAGTTGTCGCTCGAAGTATGTATGCATACTCGAGCTCATTATCTTCCCTTATTTATTTGTTCAATCGGCACGGTTCTGTTTGAGGCTTTGAACATCATTTCATCGGTTCAATTCTGTCCAGTTTATTTCGTTTACATTTGTTCGGGTAAAACTGGTATCCTAGATGTTTCAACATCAATCCTTCTAGCCAGAAGGATGAGGTTGCGAAGCACATTAACATTACTGAAAGTGTCATGACTGCTCTAATTCAGCCCGTAATAAAGAGCAACTGGAAAAAGGCATCCCCTGTTATCGTTTTTCCTCTCAATTTACATAAAAAAAATATTTTCAGAATTATCTGCCCTGTTGTTCAGAATTCTAACTAACTCTTGACATCAAGACACTTTCTATTTATTGTAAAGTTAACATCAGAACTGTGGAAAGCCTCTTTTCTTGGCTTTCTGGTGTCTTAAAACAGGCTGTCTTGATCTCCAATTAACGGAAAATCTGTCTTGCTGTGCTGTAGACGCCAACAATTGACATTGTAGTTGCATTACCAGTTAGAGCGGGCAGCCATGAACCATGCCTGAAACAAAAAAAGATATGGTCCAATACGTGGATAACGTAAATATGCATGACATTCCACAGTTCCGACCTCTGGCTCTGAGGCTCTGAACGATCTTTTTACCTTTTGGATGCACCATGTGGTCCATGTCTATGTGATTAGTGGCAATGCTATGTTAATGTTTTGAACTGCTATGTTAATGCTTTTGCCGTGACGTCTACTTGGCATAAAGCAACAAACAAACACTAACCAAACAATGAATTGCGTACGTATCCAACTAAATTAAGTGTTTAAAATGACCAACTTGCATAAGTTGTGTAATGCATAATGCAACCAATGTTGCTATTAATGTATGGACAACAAACCATGATAGGCACGTTTTAACAAACAATAGCAGGAAAGTAGCCTTCTCCTTTTAGGTTCTGTTGGTTGCATAGAACATCTACTCCATCACTAATATGATTTCTTTCCCGTTCATAGCAGCACTAAGACAACGAACATTGCATAAAAAACAAAGTAAAATCAAGTGGAGTTCAATACCTTGAGAGGTTGTATACTTGTATCAGGGCAAGAGGGTCCAGTCAGTTCCAGGATTCCTTTTTATCTGGATACCAAATTATGCTCAGTGATCAGTAGTCATTATTGTTTGGTGATGGACTCCAAAGAGTTTCAACGCCACATCCCTCACCCCCAGCTGTGGGACAATATTCAATCGGTTGAGGAATCACCAAAAGTCCTTGCAAGAACAACTTCCCTCAACAAATCTATGGAAACGAACACGGTCCCTAACAATGATTTCTCTATCATATGACTTGCTTACTATTTTTGCTACTTCATGGCAATCTGGACAGAATCTCAAATTCTTTACCACCCGAATGACGTGAGGCGCTTTTGTCTTCAACAAACCATATGCAATGGCTAACCTTTCACTGTGCTCACAAAGTGCAACTTCTTTTTCCTCTTCACCAACATCATGAAGCACGGCTGCAGTCCAAGGCTTGTGGCCAGCACGTACCACACGGTCAGCTATTTCCCTCAGTAACAGTCTTATCTCCTTTATTTCAGGGTGTGAATCATCACTCACCACAAACTTGTGAAGGTAACCATTAATTTCAATCGAACTACAGCCAGCAACAACATTAACATTGTTTTCCTTCATCTTTTTCCTCATATAGCTTACTCTATCCCACTGGGAATTCGATGCGTACAAATTTGAGAGTAGAACATAGTTTTCTGGATTGCAAGGTTCTAACTCAAGGAGCTTCTTTGATGCTGATTGCACTATATCAAATCTATTTGAGTTCTTACTGGCAACAAGAAGAGTCCTCCAAATTACTGAATTTGGAGGGATAGCCATGCCAGTAACAAATGAATATGCTTCATCCAAAAGGCTAGAACGACAGAAAAGGTCAACCATGCAACCATAGTTCTCCATTGAAGGTTTGATACCCAATTCTTGCATAGTAGACCAATATCGTCGGCCTTCATTCACTAACCCACTGTGAGCACAGGCTGACAACACACCTATAAAGGTGACATTGTTAGGCCTCACCTGACATATTTGCAGTTTACAAGAATTTAATTAGAGCTATTAGAATGGTTATAGACTTACCATATATTTGTAAAGACTGCATGAATTCTACCATTTTGTTGGAAACTAAGTTGAACATGTGAACTAATACATAGAGGACAATGTAGAAACCCTCCCTATTTTTCGCGAATGCAAAACCCTCCCTATTTCAAACCTTCATGTAGCAATGTCACTATCCCAGAAGATATCATGTATGGAACCAACAAATTTTGCACCCATGAGCTAAGTTTTATGGTAGCATGGTACAAAAGACAAAATATATGCTAAACAAAGAACATGAATTTTAAGGAACTACATCATTGCGAATATAAATTAGTTTCTTTTGACACCCATATTTAATGGGTTTTACATTTTCACGTCCAAGTAAATGTATATGAAAAAATCATCACCAAAACCAATTAACAGTCACTACAGATACATCAGTAAAACGATCTTTTTACCTTAAGCTCTAGCATTCTTGAGAAAAGCTTCAAGGCAACCTCTACAAGACCATGTATCGCCAATCCAACGATCATTGCACTCCATGCCTTTGTATCTCTCTCCGCCATTGCATCAAACACTCCCTTTGCCCGCTCTATCAACCCACACTTTGCATACATATCAATTAATGCTGTGCTCAGCTCAAGATCGACTGTGATACCTTTCCTATCGATAAAAGCATGCACCCATCTCCCCAAATCAAGCGCCCCTGCCTTGGCGCATGCCGAAATGACACTAACCATGGTGACCTCATCCGGGTTCACATCTGCTGCCTGCATCTCTCGGAACAGCCCCAAAGCCTCGTTAACCATCCCGACCCTGGAGTACCCGCCGATCATGGCACTCCACGCGGCCAAATTCTTGTCCCCAACCATGCCATCGAACACTGTCCTGGCGAGCGCAACCTCCTCGCACTTGGCATAGAGGTTAAGCAGCCCGGTCTGCACGTAGGGGCTCGGTTCAAGCCCCCGGCGGAAAGCCTGCGAATGCAGCTGCCGGCCCTCCCCGAGAGCCGGCACGACGGAGCACGCCTTGAGCGCGAACGCGAGCGTGAAGGAGTTGGGGAGCGGGGACCCGGCGCGCAGCATTCGGCGGTAGACCAGGACGGTGTCCGCGGCCGGGGCGGCGCCGGCGGCGGAGGAGAGCGCGCGGATGAGGGAGTTGTAGCAGAAGGCGGTCGGCTCGGGGATTTGGTCGAACAGGTTGCGGGCGTAGGATGGCGCGGCGCCGCAGGAGGAGGAGGAGGAGGAGGAGGAGGAGGCGAGGAGCTTGGAGAGCGCGAAGGCGGCTGTGAGGCGAGGGAGGCGGAGCCTGATGAGGCGCGCGTGTGCGGCGCGGAGCGCGAGGAGGCCCGGGCAGCATCGGCGGACGAGCGCGACGACGTGGGCCTCGAGGAGGTGGCGCGGGAGCGAGGCGGCCTCGCCCGGTTTGAGCTGCTGGTGGTGCATGCGCTGCGCGTACGCGTGGGGATCGGCACGCGCGGCAAAGTAGACGACGCCGCGACGGCTCGGTAGTAGCAGCTACACTACCACCGCGGCGTGTGCTCGTGCCGTCGTGCCGCGCTGAGAGATGAATCACCGGGCACCGGCACACCGCGTCCGTTGGGCTCGGTCGGCCTCGGCGGCGGCATGCGGCGAAGAGGAGTGGGCCGCATGTTTGCATGGCTGTGGTTGGGGGCTGGGATACGGGCCGTGGGCTGCTGCGACTGTGGACGCGCGAGGAAGAGTGACAACATCGTGGGAATAAGTATCCACTGTACACCCCTCATCTTTTCATCGAGTTTACATAGTATCCATAAACCGCACTACTGAAAATCTTAACCCTATAACTTACAAAATCGGGTTAAATTAGATCTTATTGCGGTATGAATTGATTTCGCTGATATAACATCCTAATCAACATGAGATAGATCTACGTGAAAGTGGCCACATCAAATTTCTACTTCCCCTCATCGTCCTCCTCTTCCCAAGTAGCTCGCCGACGGGGTAAGGGGCGGCGGCCGGTGAGCTTATATCAGTTTTTAACCCCCCATGGTTTTTCACTGTGATTACCACTGGGTAACGGTGATACTCCTATTCATCAAAACGGTAAAGGAAACCCGGCTAAACCGGGGCTGATCCGCCACTTTGCGGGAACACGATGCTCCCCCACGTCGAAACAGCGCGTCCCCAACCCAACCCAAAAAACAATTCCCCCCCTCCCTGACATGCGTCCTACTCCTCCCCCCCCACCCCCACTTTCTCCCCACATTTTGCCCCCTAGACCAAATCCAACTCAACTCCTCCTCGCCCCCGCGCCCGCACCACCGCACGTGCACCCCTCAAACTCGCCATCGCCCATCCCCGGTCAACTCCACCCCCACCCGCCACCCAGCCCCCGGCGCTCCAGGCAAATGCAGAGAGATCGCGAGTTCGCGACACGCGCGGATCGAATGCCTCCCCGCTCCCATTCTCCCACAGTCCAATCCGCTGTACTAGGCTTGTAGCCCGTGTGTAAACTATTCCCTACTTCCGTTACAGCTGTCTCCTCCTCCTCCTTCTCCTTCTCCTTCTCCCCCCGGGCTTAAAGGATCCTCGTCGCGGAGCCGTGCGGGGTCCCCCTCGCCCTCGCCCCAATGGCCGTGCATTCCTCGGCCGCCTCCGACCTCTTGCCGGGATCCCCGGGTGGATGGTAGCAGGGGTGGAGGTAGGAGGAAGGGCGCGCGCTCCTGGCTGTCTGGCTGCGGTGCGGGCAGGGGCATCGGTAGCTGCGGTGCTGCTCCCTTGGGGGGTGGGTTTGGGTGGTTTTTGGATCGTGGGGGAGAGGAGCCGAGGTGGGTATATCTTCTGTTGCATTGCATTGTGTGCGTTTGGGATTGTTGCACTGGAGAGTAGGTTTGGGGGGATTCAAGATTGCATCGTCGTGTGACGTGGCGTGTGGTTTTTGAAGAACTTCGGTTTCATTCAGTTGTGAAGGTTGGTGTGTGTGCTCTCGTGTTGTTTCTTTCTTTGTATAGCGGGTGATATATGGATCGTCCATTCATTCTATTTTAGTTCTTTTTACTGCTAGTACAGGAGTAAATTTGTGTTTGCTAACTTTGATTTCCAAAAATGAGACCAAGACTGAAGTTTGGATTTTTATGACTTGTTTAGTGTTCAACTTAACCGCTTTCTCGCTACGCTTTTTTTTTTCAATTACTGCATGGTTCATCTTTGAATTGTCCATTTGGTGGCATTTTACTTATATATGAAAACTATGATGTACTGCTTGCAGATTCTTTGTGATGCACTGGGCTCGTGTTCATACTTCAAACTGACAAACAAAAAAGGTTCTTTAACCGGCTTCAGCGATTAATGGCCTTCACTGGGGAGGAAAAAATGAAGGTGACTTGCTAATTACATTTCCACGGTTGCTTTATGTATAGAAATGAAATACTCGCCTTCAGAAAATAGGATTGTGTTCCAGGGTTGTCGCCCAAAACTTTTCGGAGCAAAGGAGAATAAAGTCTCAAACAGAACAGACAAACCAAGTTGCAACACCGGTTGGTTCAGATCTTCCCTTTTAAAAAGTTTCTGTTCCCTTTTTGTTTCATTTTGGATCGTTGTTTTAATGGCGTTGGCAGTTAGGCTTATGTATTCAAATATCCTTTTTCTTAATGCAATGATACACCCATCTTTTGCATATTCCCGGGAAAAAAAATGTATATACAGTTTCGGATGCTAGTTGAATTGTTCCTTATCTTTGCCAATTGAACATGATTAGGGGTTATTTGGATCTCCAATTTTAGGAAAAGTAAATTTAATTAAGCAAGTTAGCTTGCCTAAAAGTCTAATGCCTTGTTGGTTAAACAAGATAAGACTAGGATAGCAAAGTTCATTTGAGTTTTAAAGAAAACAGCTGCTTCCTGTTTTTTTCACAAAATTCAAAATATGAATATAGTAAACAACTAGAAGAAACTTTATATGGCATCATTTTCATCAGTGAATCCCTTCTTGTGGAGGGCAATCCCTTATTTGCCGTTGTAAAGTTCATGCGATCCCATGTTAGTTATTTGCAACTGAAGTTTCATTGGCATGTGACTGCATGGCCCATGTCAGAGAGGGAGAGAGAAAGATAGACTTCTTCAATTAGATAATTCCATTAACGAGTTTCCTTTTGCCTTGAGATCATAGAAGGAACTAACTGTGTTGTATGGCCTTACATAATAACAGGGAAGTTTGGTCCAAGTTCTTCTAATGCTGCGTCATCTTCCCCCCTAAGGGCATTTTCAGGTACACTAATATCTAGTAAATCTGGCTAAATGTTTGGAGATGGCCCAATTTTAATTGTTAGTGGGCTTTACTTGTCTTATGCTTTTGAACTAAATGGAACAAGAAGTTAAGGGCATGCGTCTCAGTCATTTCCTGGCGCAAACTCCTAATAATACAACAACTGAGCCCGTCAGGTACAACAATTCAAATTCCATATTTGATCATGTGCCCATCCTCTCTATGCCAACTAGATCAAATTGTCCAACTTCTGCTTTTTATTAAACAGAATATTTGTTGCCACCTGGAACGTTGGAGGAAAAGCACCTACAGCTGAGCTGAACCTGGATGATTTTCTTCCCCCTGATGATCATTCAGATATTTATGTTTTGGGGTGGGTCTTTTATTGCCCTTTTCTTAATATACTAGACGTGGAAAATATTTTTTTTGTCAATTTTACTAAATTTTCTGTTCATGTTATCCGACTTTCTCCATGTATGTTAATTTCTTGAATGTTGGCTTTGACATATAAGACTATACTAGTATTTGATACATAGCTGAACGAGGTAAAGAAAGGAAGTTCCATGATTCCTCTGTGGTAAAAACTGTCATTGATTTTGTATTCAGATCAGTGAATCATATTTTGCTTTGTAGCTTCAAGTTCACATCTAATCAATTCTGTAACATTTAAACTTTAAACAGTTTTCAGGAAATTGTTCCTCTCAATGCTGGCAATGTGCTTGTAATAGAAGACAACGAACCAGCTGCCAGATGGCTTGTTCTTATAAACCAAGCATTAAACCGGCCAGCTGAAACCAATGCCAATGTCTTTCAGAATGAGCCATCTCCCTCTGTTGATTCTAGTGTCTCTCGAGCTTCTTCAAGCCTCGATACTTCGTTCTCTGACCTAGCAAAAACATCAAGTAGTTCCACAATCTTCCAGAAGTCTAATCTAAAATCCATTAGAAAATCCTTCATGCCAGTCCATCGAAAACGGCTTAAGGCCTGCAACTGCCCTGTAGAGATGGCCAAATCATCCTACAGGGATGCTTGCTTTGGTTGCCCCAAAGCATATGCTTACGAAATAGATTCGTCAGAAGAGGATGAACGGGAAGAAAAGAAAGGGCAATCAAGGGATTCTAATGGATCTGTGCGCAGTGAAGTAATTTCTCCTCCCACCGCAAGGGATGAACTAAAATATAATCTTATAGCATGTAAACAAATGGTTGGCATTTTTGTAATGGTATGGGTGAAGAAGGAACTAGTGCAGCACATTGGTCATCTAAGAACGTCTTGCATAGGGCGAGGAATTCTGGGTTGTCTTGGAAACAAGGTCAGAAGCAAAGCATAATATCAGTTTGAAGTGCTTTTGTAAGTACTTTTTCTGAGTACACTTCTTCTGCAGGGATGCATATCAGTGAGCATGACACTGCACCAGACAAGCTTTTGTTTCATCTGCAGCCATTTGGCTTCAGGTCAGAAAGAAGGTGATGAATTCCGGAGGAACTCTGATGTTCTTGAGATACTGAGGCTTACACTGTTTTCAAGGATTTGCAGGAGAGGTGTGCGAAAAATCCCAGAGAAAATTCTTGAGCATGAGTAAGAATGTGCTTTTAGTGTGCTTGTAATTAGTAAATATATGTATCTTGTCAAGCGTATATTTCTAAGCTATACGCTGTTTGTTTCAGTAAGGTGATATGGTTCGGAGATCTGAACTATCGTATCGCACTGAGCTATGCAGATACCAAAAATTTTTTGATGGAAAATAATTGGGATGTTCTCTTTGAAAGGGATCAGGTAACTTCCATTTCTTGTTGCAGGAAAATGATCCATTTTTTCTGGAATAGCAATATCATGTACCTGAGAAACAATTACTATTTCAAAACAATATTATAGGAAGCATTTTTTCCTTAGACACCATTATGGTACTCCTCTGTGCTTACTGGTTTTGAAATTTAAAACAAGTGAAATCTGAAATATGCAAATCTTTTGATACTTCCATTATATTATTGAAAGCTATTTTTCCTCTGCAAAATACTTTTTTCCCCCTCACTTATGTCCTGTATAACACTCCAGCTCAAAATCGAACGTGATGCTGGGAGAGTATTTAAGGGGTGGAATGAGGGGAAGATTTTTTTTGCTCCAACATACAAATACTCCTATAACTCAGATGCTTATGCTAGTGAGACTGCAACATCAAATAAAAAGAGGAGAACACCAGCATGGTATGCACCAATTTTAGTTGGTTTTCAATTATAGTAAGGCTATAATACAGAAATGTATTGATTGTGCTATTCAATTAATTCATTCAACTGTATGTCTAGGAGTTGACTTGATACAATTAACATGTGTTACTATTCTGGTCTGATACAAAAGTAAGATGCAACACTAATTGGCATGAAAGAAACAAAATTAAAAAATAAGTAAAATTCTGCATACTATAGTTGTCATATAATATAACATAAAGTCACTAATATATATACAGACCAAACTCTATGCACTGCATCTGTAATTAGAGGTAATTCAGTTTATGATTTGGTTGTATATTTATATATTAGTAAATTTTCCTTTTTTAATTTCCAGTAACTATACCATGAAAGAGTTTCTCGTGACTTGTGAATTATGAACATCCGTTTGCTTGAGTATTGCGTAGCGTCCCTCTTAAATAGTTTGGACTTGCTCAGGTGTGATAGAATATTGTGGCGCGGGGATGGTATTTTGCAACTATCCTACTACCGTGGGGAGTCTAGATTTTCCGACCATCGGCCTGTTTGTGGGACCTTCATTGTTGAAGTTGAGGTACTAAACAGAAAGGCAAAGATGCGGCCATCAAATGCTAACATGAAAATCGGAGCTGAAGAGCTCTTACCACAGGGAAACAATAAGGGTAAAGGTACAACTCTTCTTGCTCACATGCCGTGATAGTTATCTCATAAGCATAATTTTAGTACTAGCTAAATACATGTGCTTTTAAAAAAATGTTTCAAACTTTAAAGAAGTGTATAATTTTTAATTGAACATCAATTCACAAATAAAACCACATGCGCAAATGACACAACTATCCATGTAAGATTTTCAAATGATAAAAACACGTACGTGCCGCAAAAAATCCAATGGTGGTGGTGCTGGACAATGTGAGTCACCAAGCACCACCGGTACCATCACTAGCTTCTTTTGTGATTCTGAAGAGAAAACTGAAGGACTGTTCATATGTCAAATCATTAAAACTTGAAAGTACCTTCTCAGGTTGTATCAGACCTGCAGGCATCTACTATTGTTGGTTCATCACTCCAGGTTTAAAGTGGGTTTGGTCGTTCAGAAACTAAAACCAGTTGTACTGAGAATCAGGACTGAATTCATTTAGTTCAATTTCTGCTAAGATCTCTCTCTTCTGGCTTAATGGTTTGAAATCTAAAAAGAAAAAAGCTGTCATATATATATTGAATCACACTGAAGCGTGAGGATTGATTGCTATATTCGTAATTTCATCTTGCAGGTTCATCACGAAGCATGAACTCTCCAAAAATATCGTAATAACCTGCAGAAGTCAGACAGTTTCGTTTTTGAGTCATTAGCACTCAGGAGTCAAGATGTACTCTTTGGCCCTGTTTGGATGAGTGGTAGATAAATCCTCCTCCTAACAGGCTCTTGGAGTGCCTGTTATACATACGCCTTGGAAGGAAGGTGATGATTAAATTTGTGCAGCAAATTTAGTTATTCTTTCCAACGAAATGGTTGGATACATATTCGACGAGTTGCTTACCAGTTTACTACCCAAATACTCCTAACCTAGACTCCTTGTTGGTAGGGCAAAAATGCAGAGTGTTTTTTTTTCCCTTTGCAAAGGTTACTGAGTACTGACCCTGATGTAGGCCTGCTTTGGTAGTTTGAGGTTATTTACATGGAAGAAAAAAAATGTACTGATGAACGTAATGTTCACAACGGTTCTTCTCCTTTGTGTAGATTCGATCTGGTGCAGCTTTCATGAAATCATGCTTGAAAGACTTTGATCATATGAGCCAGTTGAGTACCCGCATGTAGAGCTGCATGACGGGATGAAAATGGTGGTGAAAATTTCCGACGGATTGAGCATTGTTACCATTTTCAATTTTAGCTATATATAAGATATTGATTTTTTTTTAATTTGTTATTGTCCTGTTGTCGCTAAATCGTTAAATTGATGAACATGAAGAACCAAGAATTTCTGACGGACCAATCGAGAATTGTTTCCACAGGAATTATATCGTTTTCAACTTCCTAATATGTAACAACCTAGGATACGATTAGATTCATCATAAAACTATAAATCTAATGTTCAGATTTATAATTCTAGAATAAAATTAAATTTATCTTAGGTTACTGTATATTGAGATTGAGGGAGTAGTTCGTACGGTGGGTGTCCTGGCGGTGTGCGGCCTCAGCAGCATGTGAGCAGGTCGAGTTGCCGCCGTCAGCGGTCAGCCTGCCAGCATCTGCAACCGGATGGTGGAGGCGCGGACGACGCTTCGGCGCTCCCGCGGAGTCCAGTGCGGAGCTCGCCGCCGCCTCAGCGTCTGCGTCGAACGAGCGGGTGCCCACGAACAGTCGCACGAAGCCGAGGCGCGAACGGGCCGGGGCATGTGCTGGGCGGACATGATCGAGCAGAAGCTGGCAGCGACACATGTGCCCGCAGCGATCGAGCGCATCGCGACGTACGGTCGGCGGCGTCGACATGTTTTGGATCCCGGAACACATGATGGCATGGCACGATGGCTAGCGACGGACGTACGGCTTGGTAGAGCTCTTTGTTGCGAGATCACAAGCGCCTCATCCGCTTGATCCCGTGATCCATCCAGCCCCCGTGCCGTGCGTCGTCCCTACATACACGCACGGGAGGGAGAGGAGCAACCGGAAATCACATGGCCCGCCACGAGGAGACGCAACCAAAATTTCTCAAACAGTTGGGAAGCGATTGAATGAAGGGATCGGAATCTTAGCATTCATGAACCTACAGCGCCTTACGGCCGATCGGGGCCGGCCGCCGTGTATTGCCGACCGGCGAATCCAATGCTTTTTTTCCCCACACTTTGATCATCTCCAGCTCACATCTTTCCAAAAATCCTCTCCACCTCGCCTCCAAAAACCAAGCATTTAAACACTGAAAATAATTAACAGAAGGCCCCAAGTAGCTACTGCGGATGGCCAGATATCACTACGTGTGTACATATAGTCTCACCATATGCTCTAGCAACTTACGACAAGGAAGAGTTACTAGTTAATTATAAGAATTTAAAGCAAAGCAGAAAAATATCGTTCATTGCGCATACGTACTGTAACGTGTTGTAAATTAATACACAGCCAAATGTGTGGCAAGAATAAACAAGAATCGTCGGGCTAAATCTTGAGATCGATCGGCCGAAAATCCAGGCATTTTCTAAACCATCCCGGCGGCTGCAACGGCGAGGACCACCGCGGCGAGGGCGGTGAAGCGGCCGGGAGCATGGTTACTCGACTCGGACGGCGAGGCCGACGGCGATTTCTCTGCAGAAATGCATCGCCAGAAGCAGAGTTTAGCTGATCAAGCAAATGTGTGACTAGTGACAGGCTGACTCGTCAGGACTCAGGATCCCTAGCACTGTAGTAGCCTACAATGACACTGCTCAACTACAGAACTTCCGTAAGCAAAATCAGCTGAGAAATTATGAGCACTTCCGTTCCGTTCAAAAAAAAATTATGAGCACTAATGGATACTTAGTGGAACTATTATATGCTGTACTGTACCGTGCTACCATGGACAGAAGGATCTAGATATATATGCAGCTAAAATAAGTTAAGAACATGCCAATTTTCTCTCCGTTTATTGTTTGTTATAGCACAATTAATTATCATGAGCTGTTTAGAATTTTCTTGAGCCTGGATACTCAGAATATACATATATGATATGAAACTGAACCAAGAAAGCACATGAGCAGTAGTACTTACCAGGCATTTGTGGTTCAGTAGATGGCCCGAGGCCTGCCATCGGCGATGCAGAAGGCGCCATAGGCACAGGTACTCCAAGAACTGCATTTTGTGTGTAACCAAAAGTTAATTTTATACGGTCTTTAAAACAGTAAAATTCGATGAATGGAATGGTAAGATATACTGTTGGGGTTAGTGAAATGATATTTGGAGCTTTGGACAGGGTAATAAACCATTAGGGTGATCACATTTCCACTAGCTAAGCTACCTAGCTAGCTACAGACTGATGTGAACAAAGAACAGATGCAGTTTAAGTTGTTCTCCTTTCTAACTTTTGGTGTTGTGTCACGCACATTGCTAGTATTAATAGTCCTCTCTCCATTTATTTTGATAGTCATATTTCCAAATCTAAAAATTTTATTTTTGATAAGCATATTTCACTTCAACAACCTATCATTTTAATGACTTTCTCGGATTTAATGCATGACTCTCCATTCTTACACACATGATTGGCTACATGCGCATTGAGAAACGTAAATATCAGTGAATCGCTTGTTTATAAGGAATGACTAGTAGCATGTTTATATGGATGATAAGTAGAATTACTTATCCTTGGTCTGTGTGCCAAGATAAAATATGACTATCAAAAAAAAGTAGATGGAGGGAGTATTAATTATTTTTTCTGTGTTCTCGTTCAGCTGTAATTATTCTCTTCATACAAAGATGCGCAAATCTTTTGAGTATTCCCAAAAAAACATTACTAGTACTAGTAATACGCAAGTAAACGTTCTACTATTCGTCAAAATCCACGGTTTGCAACTATGCTAGGCAGAATTAAACCCTTGCAAGCGAACTAAAAAAGGGAGGAGCAAAAGAGAGGCGATGGAGTAATTGTGCGTACGCGCGCATGCGGTGACGGGCGGCGCGGCGAGGCCGCAGATGCCCGGGAGCGCCATGGCGCGCTTGTAGTCGACGCTGATGTCGTACGAGCTGGCGCCGCCGGCGAGCAGCTGGCAGAGGCAGACGGGCTTGGACTCGAGCAGCCCCGCCAGCTCCGGGCAGCACGGCTCGTCGGGCTTCCGCGCCGTGCTCCCGTTCATCACGTACGTCAGGCAGTCCGACATGTTGAGCACCGCGTCCATGCACGCCGGGCTGATCCCGCCCGCCGGCGCCGGCGCCCCCGCCGGCGACATCTGCGCCGCCGCCATCCCCATCGCCACCACCACGGCCACGGCCACCGCCGCCACCGCCGTGTGCAGCCGCACCGTCAATGCCATTGCCCTCTCCCTACTGATCTCTCGCTGCAGTCAGGACAGGAGAGAAGGCAAGCAAAAGGCTCAAATGCAAATGGTTTGCGTGTGCGCGGGTACACAGGAGTCGCCTGCTTATATACAGCGGGATGAGACGAGCACGACTGCGATTTTGTACGCGCCCGGTTAGAATTCTCATGCTACATTTCTACTACTATACGGAATCAGTTCCATTTCTGTAGATACCAGAAAAAATTCTAGCGTGCGTACGTTCTCCCGAGTGGCCCGCAGTGGTACAAATCTAGCTGTAGTGCTGTGATGTCTTTCAGGCTTCATCAAACTTGCTACTACTGTTGTTAGTACATTATACATTTATACTGAACCAATAGCAAGTGAAGAAGAAATCTCCCAACACACTACACACAGAATCAGAGATCCACTCTTCAAAGACGTCACGGGTCACTGTGGTCAAATCCAACGGTGAATTTAATCGAAATCCACCCGGCTGGGTCCAGTACCCCTGTCCTGCCGATCGACCCAGACCTGCCTGGCTGGCTGTCTCGCCGACCGGCTCGTCCTCCGTATCACGCTCAGAGCAGTACAATAGCAGGCTATTAGCCAGCTATAAATATATTTTAATAAGATAAAAGATGAGAGAGAAGAGCAGTGAGTTATAAATCTGTAGCCAGCTACAGCGCGGACTCCAAAATATAATGTGTGTATGACAGGTGGGACCATATATTAATAGTATAGTAAGCAACTATTGTATGAATTGGCTATTAGATTGGCTATAGATGAATTGGAGCTAGTAGTGGGCTACACGGTTAAACTTGCTCTCATTCACTCGCTGGATCGCCGATTATTAGCTAGGATCACACCGGCTACTCCTACTCCTGGACGCTCTTCAATGCGGCCGAGCCGTGGCACAGTAGTAGTACTGATCCCACTCCACCACGCTAGCCGCATGCAGCAATATCGCGGAGGAGGGAGGGAGAAGAACCCGACCGGGGCAAAACCGCAGCTTGAATGCGTGCATGGGCGATTGGTTGCGAGGCCAGAGCCGAGCGGATAGATTGATGGTCGCTGCTGCCATGTGTGCGCGCGCGTCTACTTTGAATGCGGCATCAATGCGGGGGCGGCAAGGCGCCACAGTCTGGCCGCGAGTGGGGACTGGGGACTGGGAAAGAACTGGGTACAGCGCCTTCGCGGGGGCCTTAAATTCTGCTCGGAAATTCAGTTGGAGGGAGATCGGAGCGGAATCTGGGCAAGCTCTTGTTTGGGGAGAAAAGTTTTAGCTTCCTTAAACATCAATAGCTAACATAATCTCTTTTTTTAGAGTGGAAACTGAGATGACACAAAGGGGCAACAAAGTTAAAATATATAGAGAGAGAGACACTGAGACAAGCAAAAACTAGCTAAAATCTAGAAAATGAATTAAGAGTCAGGGAAAAGCTAACATTTTTAGGGCCTGTTAGGTTTCCAGGGACTTATTCCAAGTTCATGTCACATCGGATATTTGGATACTAATTTGGAGTATTAAACATACACTAATTACAAAACACATTCCATATCCTTGGACTAATTCACGAGACGAATCTTTTGAGTCTAATTATGTCATGATTTTGACAATGTGATGCTACAGTAAACTTTTTATAATTATAGATTAATTAGGCTTAAAAAATTCGTCTCGCGGATTAGCTCTCATTTATGAAATTAGTTTTTTATTAGTTTATGTTTAATACTCCAAATTAGCGTCCAAACATCCGATGTGACATGGGCTAAAAAGTTTTAGCCCCATCTAAACACCCCCTTAGGGGGTGTTTGGGAACTAGGGACTAAATTTAGTCCCTCTCACAGAAGTATAAGTCCCTATAGTAGGGACTTATATTTTTGTGAGAGGGCCACTTTAGTCCCTTCAACCAAACACCACCTTAACTTCTCAATCTCAAGCTTTCCCAAACAAACAAGGCTGGGTCTCTGTCTTCTCGCCTCCGCTGGCAGCATTGATGGGCCGTCATTGGGAAGGTGAAGGCTATTGAAGGTGGTGGTAGACTGGGTAGTGGCAGAAGTGAGCCTAGAACTGATGAAGGTTGCATGCATGGCATGCTGCCGTGACCGTGAGGAAGAGATGGCTCGCCGTGCAGTGCAGGAGGTAGCTAGCTGGACTTGTGCTGTGTTGGGAGGCCATATGCTGATGTGCATCACTCATCAGTTGAGTGGAGTTCTGTTTCAGAGCAGAAGGGAGAAAGATTGTATTGCTGCCGCTTTTCCGGTAAAGAGAAGGAACTGTCACGCTTATGTTGGAGGTTGCCCAGCCTGGGCCCTGGGTACCATTCTCCATTGGTGCCCTGACCCTCTTTTACTCTGGGGTTTCAGCCTGAAATAACACGGCTCCTGACACAACACGTGGCCACCTCTAAGGAGCACATGTGCTTTCTCCAAACAGCAAAACACATAATAGCAAATGCAACTGATAACAAAATTTCAAAGGCAGCTACATAAATATCATTTGTGAACGCCAACTATACACCAAAAACACAGTTGGCCTGTGCCCTGCTGGATACTTGCACCTCTGACTTCAGGTGCATTACATTTTGGTTGAGTATACCTTTGGGTGTAGACGTCTGGAGTCGTTTACTTCCATCATGTTTTAAAAAAACGGCGTATTACATCTGCCCTGCATCGACGTCCTCGTTCTCATCCTTGTCGCTGCTCTCAGCACTGGCCATTGCCATCATCATCATCTTCTTCATCTTCATCATCATTGTCGTCATCGAGGTCTGATTCTCCATCAATTGAGCTCGAGTCTTTCTGATCACCATTTTCCTTCAAATCAAGGATGCTGTCCTTTGCCGTCTCGCTGTTCATCAAGTCATCTAGGTCCTCTTCAGCAATGTTGCTTTCAAGTTCGATCTGGTTTACTTTAACACTAGGAAACTCCAAGGGCTTATCAGGATAATCACTGAAGAAATTGTTAAGGACCATGAATTTGAACGTGTGGAGAAGCCTATGCCTGTCCCTCTTGACATCCGAACTAAGAAGTTTCTGCAAGAGGGTTGGCTCCCTGCTCTTGAGCACTGCCCCATCATCACAATGAGTTTGGTTCCGTACCTTGGGTCTCTTAGACTGAAAATCATTGCGGTCATACCTTGATCTTTTGTTATCAGCACGGTTTCCAAAACGACAATCCCTGCGTTGTGTTTTCCAGTTACTTCTCCTACCATTGCCTTGATCCTCATGTTCAGATAGATAGCCAGGTGGTAGTTCAGGGAGTTCAAAACCCAATTCTTTCTGTTTTTCTAATACTTCCTTGAGTTCCTGAAATACACAAGAGAATGAACAATCACACGTAAGAGCATGAGCAACTTACATTTGCCAACATAAATAATTCATCCCCAAAAGTTCACAATCAGAATACTGTGGCAAAAGCTTCTATTTAGTTTGTTAAAAAAAATGTACTTATAGAACCATTCAAAGCTAGATCAACCCCCTCTCCCTTTGAACCTAAAGAAGATGCATGATGAATCATAGCAATAGATTGCTTTACCTGACGGCGCATTTGGGCCTCTTCATCCTTCTTCTCACCATCTGGTCGACTCTCAGACAACTTCTGCATTAAGTGGTCAGTTGATGATGCTTCTCTGATAGTCTGATGTGGACATAAAGTTGCTGAGGCCTAATAAAAAGAGGTATTTAAAGACAAACATTGACCTTATTTATGTTGACACTTGTAGGATAGTTCTTCTTGCGTGCTTCAAGCCACTGTTTAACTTCGTTTGCATCATAAATTATACGAGGCCGCCTGCAGGAACAAACTCAATTGACACTAAAAACATCACTACTCCATGAATATTTTTTAAAAAAAATCAAGACAAGAACCAGAAAACCACAACTAACAGGTAATAAAGGACCATAAAGTTTACGACATTCTGTACAACCCTGTAATTTAGTAAATGGGTTTCCTCCCTAGATTTACACACTGAATTAACTCTTTTTTTTTCTGGAAACCATCGACATGGTTTAGAAATGTAGAACAGCAGCTCGTTAGATGGAACAGAAATATAAGCGTACTAGTTGAGCAATGCATTGTTGACACGCAATAATTAGCGGTCAGCGCTACGAGTGGGAGAAGCAATAACTAAATAATCATTATTACAGATAAACCAGAATTGTGACCATCTAAGGCACATAAAAAGATTACCAATTACAATAATATTTTTAATTAAAAAAACTAGTGTCCAGTATACATACTTCCGGTGTCCTCCAGATGCTGGACTGTCATTGCGGCGTTGTCCTGATGCTGGACTTGGACTGTCACTGCTTCTGAAGTTGGATTTTGCATCTCTCCAGTTGTTGTTTCCTGACAGGCGATACATCAATTCAGCAGTTAGCTGGAAATACTGATAATCTTGTAGGTATGATGTATTAAAGGCATTCATTATCCTGCATGCAGCTAAGATGATCAAAACATGTGCACAATTCAATAATACAGAGTTATGAAACCATTGCAGCAAATAAAAACAAGATAAGTAAAACATGAAATGCTGCATGCTCACTTGACAACAGTAAGGAGTATGCGTCCCCAAAAGCAAAAGGTGATACAATGTATTGCCTATATGCTTAACCATATGGCATATATACAATATTCACTACCTCCTCCACGACCTTGATTGAAAGACCTTCCCCTTCCCCTTCCCCTTCCACCAGATGGGCCAAATTGCCTGCTATCCCTACAATCTCTTCCAGAGTTGAATCGGGCTTTCTGATCTGTTGTATTTTTCCTCTCACCATTTTCAGAGGTAAAACGAGGGATGCCATCTGGCTTGATCTTAGTGTGGTTTACCTGTTGCAGAGAAACAGAAATTGGAATACAATGCTAAGCCAAACCTGAATAGGTACAATAACGAAACACAATTGCAATAAACAATGAGGTGCAAAACCATGTCTATCCATGAGATTTTACTGATGATATGGCCATTATCTAATCGGTTCCTAATAGCTCAGTCATAGTATGCCGAAAGAACCTAGTAGGTAACATTTCACGCACATCAATATGAAAAAATATAAAGAAGCACGAGCAAAACTTGCAGATATAGTACAAAAAGGTTCAACGAACATTGCAGAAAAGAACAGAAGGTCATTTGGAATCGAGCCGACATGTGCTCATCATAGATCAGGTCAGGCAATTGTTAGAAACAGAGAGCATGACAAGTAAATTCAGTTATATCTTTCATGCTGAACATACACTATCCAGATGTAGTCAAGAGTCGTTTGCGTACTAAAAGTCTGAGAGACCGAGACATCATACTTCTGACCACATAATATGGGTTGATCTTAACTGGTCTTACTAATACCCATGAACCCACCAGGAAAAAAAATATCAGCAAGATATGATCGCATGACATATATACTGGTAAAATATGCAATTGTGGATATTTCCTCAATATAAGAATTGCACAGTCCCTAATGATCGTATAGGCTAAAAGACTACTTTTCGTTCATAGACAATCTATCGATTTCAATACACAACAGCAAAATAATTCCTCACCTCACCGCCCTTCCCAGCACTGCTATTCCGATCGTTCCCCCCACCATTCAGCATGGGTCTCGGCGCACCAGCTCCGGTACCATGGCCGCTGCCGCCACCGCTGTTGTAACCATTACCAGGGGCGCCCATCATCGGGCGGGGAGTACGGGGGCCGGCCACGCCCACGCCCACGCCACCAGGTCGAAACGCCCCGCCGCCGTTGAACCCGGCGTGCTGGACAGGGAAGGCCCCGAACTGGTTGGGGTTCGGCGGGAAACCTCCCCCGGGGAAGAAGGGGGCCTGCGGCTGCGGCTGGTGATGGTGCTGCTGGAGCGCGGCGGCGGCGAGGAAGCCGAGGCTCTGGAGCTGCTGCGCCTGGCCGAAGAGCTGCATCGCGAGGAAAGGGTTGGCCGCCGCCGCGGCGGCCATGGGGTTGGCGGCGGCGAGGTTGGGGACGGGCGGAGGGTTGAAGCCCGGGTGCATGGGGAGGGGAGGCGGGGCGGGGTCGCCGGGGCGCGGGCGGTGGGGTTGGCCGGCGTTGGGGCGGGGAGGGTGGAAGGGGCGCATGGTGGCGTCGGGGAGGGGTTGGGAGGAGGAAGCGGGGTGGGGATTTTAGGTAGGGTTTTAGGACAACCCCAACCAGGGCAGGGTAGGACCGTAGGAGACGAGCTTTTGTTCCTTCCTGGCTTCCTCTGCTCGTACGGTCTGGTGGTTCAGCTTCAGGCACGCTTTCATCACCGATTTTTCTCTTTTTTTCATCAATATTTTCCCTTTTTTTTAAGAAGACACTCACTATACATGTACACTCACCCCTAAAAAACGCACGCACGTAAATCCTACCCCTATAAGCATCTTCGAAAACTGGACCGGCACTGCGACTACAATTTTTTTTTGGGTGAAGTTTGCTTCCCTTGTCTAGTTTTTTTTTTTTTTGAAATTTGTTTGCATTCTCTACTGCAACATTTTGGATTGGATCCGAAATTACATGGTCAAATATAGAGAACATGCAGATAGCTTTTCAAAGATGAAGTCGTCTATGGCCTCTATAGAGCAACTCTAACATGTCATCGATACCTCCAATTTCGTGCATTTGCTTTCTTACGCTGGCACAGATACCCTGAATTTTATTTTATTTATTGGCTATATCAATCTACTTTATTTTATTTTGTTTTATTTTCTTAAACTCGTGTAAAGATTATCTCTTATATATTTTTAGATCATAGAATTTATTCCGGTCATTGCTTCAAAGAAGCTATGACCAATTATTATAGAGAATTTATTCCGGTCATTGCAAGTGCCAACGAGAGGACACTATCCCGAAATGCAGATCCCCGATCCCATGAACGCAGGAAAGATTTGCTCCTGCGGACCTGGAAGCCAGGAATCATGTGCAGCAAGTGCAATGAAATGATTGTGAATCGCAAACGGAACCCAGTTCCAACGTACAAATCACGTCAGTTTTTCTTCCTGGACATAACATCTCACAACAGATTAGCCAACTGATGAACAATGGCTCTGATAGGATCCGGAGGGCTATTTAATAGTATTAAACGTATATTACTGAACCCATTTAGGAGTATTAAACGTAGATTACTGACAAAACCCATTCCATAACCCCTAAACTATTTTGCGAGACGAATCTAACGAGGTATATTAATCCATGATTTGCTACAGTGATGCTACAGTAATCAGCTGCTAATTAGAGATTAATATACATCATTAGATTCGTCTCGCAAAATAGCCAGGGGTTATGGAATCGATTTTATCGGTAATCTACGTTTAATACTCCTAAATAGCAAGATTCCGGAGGGCTATTTAATAGCCCGGAGGATACAAACAAGGCCAATGACAAGTTTTAGTTATATATAAACAGTTTCAACGTAGTACCAAGAAAAGCAATATACTACTACTTCTCAATAAATAACACCTCGCAACAATCCGTCCATTCGGTGAACCAACACATTTTCACAAGTTCATGCTGAAGAACCAAAGAATGCAAATGATCTAGTCATTTGATGGGTATGCGTCTACGACCTTTTTTAATGACAATTGGGTTTAACAAGGACACCCCAATAAGGTCAAATGACAGCCAGGTGAGAACAAACCCGCAGGTTTCACCAGGGTCCCAGACAGGGTAACAGCAATGAAAAAGGGCAGCTTGCTTCAGGCAAAAAAGAACTCCAGCCCGCCTGTTTGGTATTCTGAACACTCCTTTCTCATATACAGGAAACCAGAGAGTATGAAATCCGAGATATATATATTCACTTCAATGTGCAGATTTGACACAAATATACTTCGATGCGTGTGGTACACCCGACTACCCCATGGTCCATTTAGGTTCCACGCAGTTGCAAACTGCTTCGCTTATCTGTCCACCACTATCAGCATTCATTCGAATGGATTTCTGGGCGGAAATGACCCTTGTGCGGAGTTCCTGTTACAGGAGGTCATTTAGAAACTAAGCCCTAATGCTAACTACAATAACTTGTTAGAAAGGAGCTTACAGCATGAGGGAGTCTTGTACTTGTGTTGCCATGTATGATAACCCTCCTGAAACAACAACAGAATCCGATATTGTATTAGCATTAAGAGTAGAGTATGCTTGTGTTCTTGTGCGTGAGGATCATGGAGATATAAAGGATCAGATACCCTGTGGCCCAGAGGAAATATAAGGCATGTTAGAATTATGAGGTATCCATGACTCAGTCAAGTTGGAATAATCTGTATTGACATGGGGATTTGGCAACGTTTCTTGCAGCGAGGTCAGATCCATGAACTGAAAAGGACAGAAAGAAATAGTGAATAAAGAAACAACAAAAGAAAAATAGAAGTTTGCAGCATGGAACCAACTAAGCTATTGTTAACATGTCTAAAAACAAAGATCGCAAATAAATGTCTCTAGAGTATTAGATAATTGGTCCTAGTTGTTTATTCCAAATGTCTTAAAATATGATTATATCCATTAAAAAAAAGCTAGAATCCATATTATAATTATCATGACCACAAACCACATCATAGTATAATTAATACACACCATGTTACTGGCTTCAACATCAGACTCAAATGCCATGTCAAATGGATTTGTTGATTTTGCAGGCTGAGATGGCACGATGTCCTGAAACAAAATTCAAAAGAACAGTTAAAAAGCAAAACAAACCATTTAGAAAACTGACATAATAAGGCTCCAGGTAGCGCCCCACGACAGGCATCATCATTTGTGCCCAAAGTCCCAAACCAATAGATTGTAGAAAAAAGTACTCACTGTAGGTGAATACAGACTATAACAAGATTAACAAGCAAAATAACTAAAAGGCTTACATGCAAAATTACAAGACCATTCTGTCTGTGTGCATTAATAATCTCAGCAATCCATACAGATAAAAAAAAATCCAGTCTAGCATCATCTTTCTAACAGGTTCCAAATTTCATAAATTGTCCATTCAGCAATGAGCCAACAATATCATGGTAAACTAGATACCAGGAATAAAAAGGATAAAACTATCTGTCATAAGTTGGGAAGTAACAGAAAAAATGTATATGCTTGTTCTCAATCAAAATCAAACTGTTGTAGAACAAATCAGGAAAGCTTGCAGAGCAAAGAACCTTGAATCATTGATAAAACATACCAGTTGCTGTTGAAGTGGTCCACGAAATGATGGCCCAGCCATGTCACCAGGAGAGACATTGAAACCAGGGGTTATATCCCCAGGGGTTAGTCTTTCAGGTTCACTGCTAGGCAAATCCTGTAAAATGATTCAATATGACAAATCTAGCCTTTATATAATCTCAGAGTTATTAAATCAAACATGCTCACCTGTGGACCTCTGGCTTCAGCATGTGGAACACTAGGCACATTGAAGTGATTAGGTGCTACTTGAGAGATAGTGTTAAATGTGAATGAGTCGTTGGGTGTGTTCCCAGTAGATGCACCAAAGGCATTCCAAGGCTGGAAAATAGTCAAGGAGAAATAGTCCATAGTAAACATTTGCAAGCAGAGCAAATCTCTAACAGGTCATATTCCAACTGGTGAAATACCTGTGAGGTTTCTTTGGAGACAGGGGTCTTCACCTCTTCAGCATTTAAACTCCACTGATCCATCATAAGCGGGTAACTTTGTGGAATCAAAGCATTTGGTGGCGAAGTTGGCAACATTGACTGATTAGTTCCTTTAGCAAGACTCTCACTTGGAGGGAATGCAGCTATTGCGGTGGCTACCTGAGCTTGCACGTTTGAAATGGAAGTCGGAGATACGTGTTGAGGTGTATCGAGGAAGAAAGCCCATCCTTCGTCAGCAACCAATGGGGCTGCCTGTTGACTTTGCTGAACACTAGTCGTAGGTGGCAGTTGTTGGTCAAAGCCAGCAAATAAATCTATTGACTGAGGGGTAGAGGAAATTGATGGTTCGGCTGGTTGACTTTGCTGAACACTAGTTGTAGGTGGCAGTTGTTGGTCAAAGCCAGCAAATAAATCTATTGACGGAGGGGTAGAGGAAATTGAAGGTTCCTGCAAAGGCGACAGACTCAAGAGATCATGATGGACAGGATGAGATGTAGAGGGTGCTTCGGCTTGAACAGGTGGTGAAGATGCCACGGCTTTCTGAACCACAACGTCATGCAGAGTTTCTTTAGGAACAGAATGGCTGCCTACATCAACTGCTCTATGGGGAACTGATGGAGCCTGTTGGTTAAAGCCAGCAAAAAGATCTATTGGTGCTGCAGAATTGACCGGATGTTGCATTGACTGATCAAAGAAGTCCTGATTTGTGGAAGTCGTTGGCTGTGTTGAAACCGGCGGCTTTGCTACAGAGACCATGTGAACCCTTCCATGTTGCACAGATTCCCTGGTGGGAGCAGTTTGGCTGACTGAAGAGTTTATATTGCTCTGTGAGGCATACAATTGTGCTGAATGAGCCATGGGGGGCGCAACAGACTGACGATTTACAGCAGAATTCACTGGCTTTTCTGTAGGTGCATCAGGTAAGGCACCTGAATCAACTGACTTATTAGATGCTGAGCTACCATCAAATGATCCAAAACTTCCTGAAGAACCTGTTCTCTGCACATAGAAAGATGGTATATTTATTTCAAACCACTCTACCTCAGAAGTTGGTTTTAAGTCAATGAGCATTAGCTGGAAACATATAACATGAATGGGGAGAACATTAACCTGTGATCGTCGGACTCCATTAAAATCAATTTGAGAAGTTGCATTCGGATGCCGATGGGATGGAGGATTTTCAGAAGACACATTCCTTGAATGGTGGATAGAAGGACTGCTGTACCCTGTATCCTGAGAGCTAGGAGAAAGCACATCATTTCTAATGTCACCAGTGCTTGAGGCCGAAAAATCAGAAAACCTTGACCCAGTACTCTCATTAGCAAATCGATCTTCATGCATCTGATCTCTCAAACGACCTGGACTGTATAAAAAACTGCCAAGCTTCCCATCAAAGAATGCCCTATCTGAAGGCCTTCGTGCAAGTGTGTCCACTTGTTTACCATATCGTCTATCTTCATATTGAAAATCGTAAGGTGGGCTTTGGGAATACGAATGGTAGGAGCTAGGTCTTCTAGTAAGATTTTCGCTGCTCTTTACACTCTATTCAAATATTTTGAAATCTATAGTCAGCAAATGAATGTGGAAAATAATGAAAAGTTTGAAAATAATGAAAAGGTTGCAGCATAAATAGTTTAAGGACAATAAAATATTTGGATATCAAATATCAGCAGCCATTGAGATTTATAAACTCATTACCTCACTATCATTGACTGGTTTGTCCGTGGACTTCCCACCAGCATACTTCTTGTCTACATAAACAGCTCTGATGAATTCCCTTATCCTGTCTGGATTGCTAAAACAAAACATAGCGGAATAATTATAAAGAAATGTACTAGAAGTTTCCACGGCACATGGGAATGAAAACAAACTCACCTATTGTCAGGCAACCTCATTCGTTGCCAATCCCAATCTTTTAGGTAGATATCACGTGCTCGCTGCACCCATGACCTCCATGTAAGCATATGACCAGGTCACTCTAAAGTCTAAAGAGGACAAAACAAAGTAATTCCCGGAATTACCTGGTTCCCTCCCTGTTCAAGAGACCGCACTTCTTGAGTAGTGAATTTAGCCATTGACACTGACTTGACACGGTGGGTAAACTCCCGGCTGTTTTAACACATAAAAAAAAGAGATTACTACTCCTATCAAATACCAACAGTATAGCAACAATGTATATTAGATTAATGCAGTGGTAAGACGTGGGTCAGTGGTCCAAATCCGATTAAGTACTTCTCTGCCAAATTCATTCACTTCTTTCTTTATTTTTGAAAATTATTTTTTAAACCAGTCAAACCCTAACAACACGTGTTTCAAGAATGAAAGACAGATTCATCACCACCTTTTTTCTCATAGCCGCAATAATAATGGAAACTAAGTAACGGGGTCCTCCCACAAAAACTATGGAATGGGTTAACATTATGATGGGCCAACCCATCCTAGGATAATCGAAATCCTTGAGCTAAACATGCCACGGAGTCGCAAATAATGAAATAGAAAATTCCATATATGGAGTGACATTAGCTGAATAAACAACTGTGAATCTGTGATATTAGATTGTGAACTATTTGTAAGAAATGGACCATAAATAATGCTTTATATTTCCCCATGCCATACATTCTTAGCATCAGATACCACAACACACATCTTCTTGCAAGTATCATTGCTCAATAGATAAGTGAACACAAATTTTCTTGCATGAGCAAAAGCTGAATAGACCTTCATTAACTCTAAACTAGAACGAAGAAGGAAATCAGCTGAGGACCAGAAATTGGCATGTACGACAAGATAAATGGAACAAAATACTTACTGTATTCCACTGCATGACAAGCATATGAAGGTCCAGAAATTGGTACATACATATTGTGGCCCCTGCAACAAAACAATTATGTGCTTCAGTTAACATAATAAATACAATGACATCTGAGTTCACTTAGAAGTGCAACTAAAAGAAAACATGGTGCTGAACCGCTGGTCATATTTTGTGAACCATTGCAAAAATAGGGCACAAACAATTGTTAAACAATTTCAGAGGCACTTGGGAGTATTACCACACTGTTGCGGAGGCACTTGCTGACATGTACTCCCTCCGTCCCCAAATAAATCAACTTCTATGTTTGAATTTTGTCCCAAAATAAACCAATTTCTATCTTCTTACCTACCACCAGTTCGCAAATCAAGAAATTTTATCCTTTAAATACCCCTCACCTACCCATCCATCAATACAACTTTCCTATTAATTAGGGACATTTTGGTATTTTGCCTTCCTCCTTAATTTCATCTTGGAATGCTAGGGTTTGAAATTTTGTGGGATGGAGGGAGTAGAGTATTAAAAGTTCAGCGGCTCATATTTCAGCCAACTTAGCGACTAGATATCAAATACAAACAACTGTGCATGAAGTAATGAAATTCACGAGCCAATAAAACTCAGGAGCCAAGAACTACCTTCCCTATTGATTAACCAATCATATAACATATAAAACCAAACTAACCACAGCTAATAGCAACGGATTCACTATTCTCAGATGTCATCCCTGTATCAGAAACGAACGAGCCGCCCTATCATCATCCAACCAACATTGAAGCTTAAACATACGGACGAACCAAAAGTTCACACCAGAGACAAATGGATTTCATAAATCTGCGCTAACTGCAGAACACTACAACCCAGCAGACCAATTCCACGCTCTACCATGCAACGATCCGGGAACGAAATGAACCACCAATCAAGCTTCTCAGCAACAAACGCAAGCAGGAGGCGGAGGAGATTATTACCACACTGTTGCAATTGATGCACTTGCGATTGGGCGGCAGCTTCATGAGCCCACGGATGATCTTCTCGTTCCTCTCCTCCTCCCTCCGGCTCCCCATCCCCCACCGTGAGAGAAAGAAATCAAAATCCCCCCGAAAATTTCACCCCACAAATCGCAGCGAAAACTGAGAGCCTTCGCTGGCTCGGCCCCCGAAATCGGTGAACCCTAGCTCGATTGGGGCCTCGCGGGGCTGCGATTCGGGCGCTGGTTGGGGGGGGATTGGAGGTTGGGTGGGCTAGGGTTTACTGGAGAGGAGGAGGAGGAGTGGGCAAAAATGGGAATGGCTGCGGCGACGGCGAGTCTCTGGAGAGAGGAGGAATGGGAGAAGGAAAGGCGACGCGAAAAAAAAAAGAAAAGAAAAAAAAAAGGCGTTTGGGATTAGTGGCTGCCTGGAAGCCGACGGGTCGGGTGTTTTTTTTTTCCTTCTTTTTTTGGGGATTAACTTTGGAGTTTTTTAACGGCAAGCTTTTGGTTGTTGCTTTCCTCGTCGTCGGCGTCGGCGTCGAGTCGAGTTGGATGGAGTTGGACGCGTCGCGACGTGGATGGATGGTGGATTGATTTGCTGCGATTGAGTAACGGTCTGATGCCGCATTTTCCTCTGCCCTTCTCTCTTCTTACTGTACTCATTATTTTTTCTCAAGAATCTGCCTCGTTGTGCATGTCGGATTGTCGGCTGTGACTGTCTCTGTGACCGCACCTCTACGTTGTGAGAGCATATGCAATGGGTAACTCCAGCTAGTAGCTTCGCTCACAGCGTCACCGTTCCGTCTATGAGTCATGCTCCTGAAGGAACGCGTGACCCCAACAGGGGAACGCGCCCCTCTGGCTCCTCGACTACTCTTTTGAGACACGGCTCGAGTGGTGCCCCGTTCCTCACCTCCTTTCTCTATATTTTCCCTTCTTGCCCCTCTCACCTCGGCATGGTGAGGCGGAGCAGGCGACGGATGCAAGGTAGAACCAGAGGTGTCATGGCGGTCGGAGTTAGCAGTGGGCGCGGTGGGGCAGAATCGAAGGCATTGCGGTGGTCGGAGCCGGAGGTGGGCGCGGGAGTCGCGGTGGTCAGAGCTGGCGGCGGGCGCGATGGGGCGGATATGGAGGCGTCGCGGTTGGGCGGAGCCGTCCGGCGGCAGGAGCGGTGGGGTAGAGTCGACGGCGCCGTGGTGGGGCGGAGTTAGCAGCATCGTAGTGGAATGGAACTGGAGACGGCGCAAAGCGGAGAGATCTGATCGCCGGAGTGGTGGACGGCAGCGGCACGAGGTGGGGAAGTCAGCGATGGCGACGGGCAGAGGGAGAGCGACGAGCGAGAGGTAGGTGAGAGAGAGACGGGCGGCGAAGAAAAAAAGAGGGGAGAAGTGGATGATCAGTGGATGGGCTGAGAAAATAGCTAGGGGTAGGGGAGGAAAAACATACATGTGGCTTCGTGGGCTAGGATAGGACCGTTGTGGGCTAGATTATCTCTACCTTGTTGCCTCAGATTTGGTAGGGCTGGTTGGAGTACTTTTCATTGGGTGCCTTAGCCCATATGACCCACATGAGGATATTGCTAGGAGTGGCTTACATGGTAAGTGCCCTAAATTTTAAAAAGCATTTTTTTTCAAAGGAGGATTTACCAAAGCATTTAGTCACAGCAAATCAGTACTAGTAGTAGTAAGCACGATCGGATTGCGCAAATCTCTGAGTTTTTCACTGAAACTCGAAACGAAACCAGGTTTCGCTGCCGAACCCGAACGGCAGCTCGATCGGCGTCCGTGCCACTGCCCCCGACATAGAGAACAGAGGGGCAGAATGAATGCTCGTCTGCCTCAGCGAGTCGGTTGTTCACTCGTCAGGACGACGTGAACATGCGCTGGTAGTCCCAACTTGGGCGTGCCAGTTGCTGAGGACGTCTTATCGTCTTCCCCAACTGGATCACACGGATTTCTCTGCACAAAAACACAATCCAGTTCGAACCAACCAACCAGCAGCCCTGCCCCTGCTTCTCTTCTTTCTCTTGCCCATGGCCGCTGCTGCTGCCTTCTTCTGCGCCCTGCTGTTCATCTCCGTGCAGCACGGCGTTCTCGGTGGCTACACGAGGAATGATTTCCCTGCTGATTTCGTCTTTGGAGCCGCCACCTCGGCGTACCAGGTAACGGCTATGATTCTATCTCAACTGAATTTTTGCTTTGCTCGGTTGGTTTTCTGCGAGCTTTGAGTTTTTTTCGCTGTGCCTTTTGTTGTGCATGCGGCAGTATGAGGGCGCTGCCGCAGAGGATGGCAGGGGCGCTAGCATCTGGGACACGTTCACTCATGCAGGTCAGTCGTTTTTGCTCCCTGGAAGCTGAAGTGCTGAACACAGTCACACGCGCGGGCGTGGGACACTGTTGTTGTTCATCATCTTTTCATGGCTGCTTCATGCTCATACACAAATACACAATCGAGCTAACCAGGATCACGTACCATTCTAAAAGCAAATGCTGAAAAATAAACTTCAACGAAAAAACCCCAAAATCAACTTCAAATTTAAGGATGAAAATTCAAATTTTGGCTGATAAGCATAAATAAATAGTGGCACTAAAACTGAATAGTGACAGTATTTTCATATGTGCAATCAGGGAAAATGAAGGACAAAAGTACAGGCGATGTTGCCTCAGATGGGTACCACAAATACAAGGTACACGATTTAATTTCTTAGGTGGAGTAGAAGCTAGGTTTGACTTCGGAAGATTGCCCTTTTATATATTTTCCTTGTCTTGCTTACATGTGAATGAGTCTCGCCATTGTAGCAAAATGTTGTGTTTTTGCAATATTTTTCCTGAAGAAGGAACTAAACATAGGAACAAGGTTCCTCGAGTTCCACTTTGAATGTTTCACCTTTTTCTTCTTTCTGGTAGAACTTAAGGTTGTGTTTAGTTCACACCAAATTTGGAAATTTGGTTAAAATTGGAACGATGTGACAGAAAATTTAGAAGTTTGTGTGTGTAGGAAAGTTTTGATGTGATGGAAAAGTTGGAAGTTTGAAGAAAAATTTTACAACTAAACACAGCCTAAGTTGAGAACTTTGGCTTGTAATAATTTTGCTTGCCTGATTTTTTAGGGTGATGTCAAGCTCATGACTGAAACTGGCCTAGAGGCATATAGGTTTTCCATCTCCTGGTCAAGGCTTATCCCAAGTACAGCCATTTCTACTCAAAATTTAACTCTTGTTAACAAAGAAGTAGTTCCTTGTTGCTTAGTTGTGATATGCAGGTGGAAGGGGAGCTGTCAACCAACAGGGGCTCAAGTACTACAATAACATTATAGATGAGCTAACAAAACGAGGTAATTTTTGCAAATTCTTTTTCAGGTTACTTATATTACAGAGCATTACATGTTGTATTGATAAAACATAATTGTGTTTAAACAATGAACTATATTAGCAAGCACAAAAAAGAAAGAAGAAGAAAAAAGAGGTTGCTCGAGCAAAACCTGCACTAGGACGAACTTCGTTTCCTTGACAGTTTTATGGATGGATTCAGTCAGCCGCACTCCTTCCTTTTGAAAAGTGACGCTTTGCGTCTTCGGCATTAAATTGTGAAGCGTTGCCCTGCCATAATGTGATGTGTTTCCACTTTCCAATGCCAATAAAAAGTAGCCCGTCTAATGGTATTTAACATCCATAAAACATCCAAATAAAATGCGTCCCAAGTAGAAATATCACAAGTACTGCCACGACCTGGGCCGGTGCTCCAGCTTGCTTGGTGAACACTGACTTACTAAAGACCGGAATCGACCAATGTGACATTGACTATCTCATGAATATTGATTGCTCGGCTTTCTTCAGGAATTCAAGTCCATGTCATGCTTTACCATCTGGATCTCCCGCAAGCTTTGGAAGATGAGTATGCTGGATGGTTAAGCCCTAGAATTGTGTAAGATTCAGGAACCATCTATATATATATATGACTATACTGGTAGTGATTATACTTGAAGCTTACAACTAGTTGGAGTAGATCAATTCTGGACTGCTGATCAGTAACAATGGCACAATGCAGGGAGGATTTTACTGCTTATGCGGATGTGTGCTTCAGGGAATTTGGTGATAGAGTTTCGCACTGGACTATTTTGGCTGAACCTAATGTCGCTGCACTTGGAGGTTATGACACAGGAGAATTCGCTCCAGGACGTTGCTCTGATCCTTTTGGAGTGACCAAATGTACAGTGGGGAATTCCAGTGTGGAACCATATGTAGCAGCTCACAATATGATACTAACACATGCAGCTGTTGTTAGACTGTACAGAGAAAAATATCAAGTAAGTAATAATGTGCTTAAAATTATCGGTAGTGTGTATTTCTAACCGCACTTATATTCTCCGCAATCAATACCAAGGCTCAGTTCCATTCTTCAACTCCAAACTTCAACTTCCTCGTTTTTCGTTAGCATGCTTTTCAAATTGTTAAATTGTGCATTATTGGCCAATCTTCTGGTAAGCCAATCCTAGAAGTTAAGGGAGAATCTAGGATTTGTTAGGGTTAGTGCGTTATTTTTTTTTAAAAAAAATCTATATAGAAGTTGTTAAAAAACCATATAAATCCATTTTTTAAATTTATAATAGTCAATACTTAATTAATCATGTGCTAACGAGGTTTCTCGTTTTGCGTGCCATAAAAATCCATCTTCAAAACTGGAGATCGAACGGGGCCTAAGACACTAAGCAAGTATGCTATCAATACGATTTTTAGTGAGGTCAGATATTTGCCTCTAGTGTGAGCTTTTCAAAGGGCCGCATTTGTGAGAGTATGTGTGTGTTTTAAGTCATTAAGTGCAATCCTAAAAAAGTTGAAAGGATTTATTTTATTATTCCTCTTATTTTCTTATTTTCTTCCTATTATTCCTCTTATCTAAATTTCTCAAAGTGTTTTGCAACTTTCTTTCATGTAGACTCTGCAAAAGGGGATTGTTGGTATAAACGTTCTTTCCTTGTGGAGTTATCCATTAACAGACTCCACTGCGGATCTGCAAGCAGCTCAAAGATACAAGGATTTCACGTACGGATGGTATGATCGATGTTGTAACTCTTTATCTTCACACTGAACTAGCGGACTGCACAATTTTACACGAAGCTAGATTTTCTCTCTTTTTTTTCCCAAGTTAACGTAGCAATTTCTAGAAATGAACCTAGTGGTTCCTTTTAGCTCCCTCTTTGTAATGGATACTAGATATTTGACATAGACATGAATATAAGCTCACCGTTGAACTTAGAGGATAAACAACTACTCTTGTTTGTAGGATACTGCACCCATTGGTATTTGGAGATTACCCACAAGTAATGAAGAAAGCTATCGGTTCTCGTCTTCCATCCTTCAGCAAAGTCCAAACTGAACTAGTCAAGGGTACTCTAGATTTCATTGGAGTAAATCACTACTTTTCTCTCTATGTGAGCGATCTCCCTTTGGCAAAAGGAGTTCGAGACTTCATTGCTGATCGATCAGTAAGCTGCAGAGGTTGGCCAGTTTTCTATTTAATTATGCACATAAATTTGTAGCCTAGGAGTGTGTAGCTTGATTCCTTTATAGGGACGGCCCATGAAGATGAAGGTAGACAAAAGAAAATAAATCAAAACAAAATGATAATGCACGTCATATCTTTTATGATGTGATGATAGATTATCTTTTTCATATATGCTGAATAACTTTGTAAAGTCATCCAATGATGATTCTGAAGATGATTCTACAAGTTATTAGATGTACTGTATAGCTTATCATTTGTTTCTCGGTGTTTTCTTATGCAGCTTCTAAAACGGATCCATCGTCGGGGCAGGTAAGTTAATTTGGTCATCAGTAAGGTTATTGAGATACATTGTTGCCTTTTGACTTTAGGTTAAGGTTTATTGCAAGGGGTAAGGTTTATGATAAACAGGAAAGGTGGTAGGTTAAGGTTTATTGCAAGGGGTAAGGTTTATTGCACAAACAATGGTGGCGTCACATTCTAGGAGAAGATGCTACATAGGATTTTTCTTTTTGTGACGTGGAAAAGATATAGAAGTATGCCGTCTGTTGATTAAGTCTAATATACGGCTTAATGCTATATATATATATTTTTAAAAGAGGGCAAAAACTTTGCCTCGTATATATGGATAGAATAGGGTGAAAAAAATACAGATTGATATTTACATGGCTTCATCAAAACGAGGCCAGAGATTAATGCTATATAATTATTATACATGTCATCTATAGGGTGAAATAATTGATTATACAGATCTATTATAGAAAACTAAACATCATTGTATCGGTTGTATATATATGTCATCTAAATCTGACATGAAAAAAATTAGACAGTAACGGTCTAAAACCACTATTTATGCTCTTATCCATTATTCTTTTAAAGATAAAGCGAGGGACAAAAATAAAGTAAATTCGAATATCATTACTAAGACACTCTTGGAATTATGTGGTTCGTCCTGTTGGCAGTGACTCATCACTCATATATCTCCTCTCTTTATTGGCTGCAGCAAGCCCCAACGCGGTCTATGGGTGATCCACACGGATTACAACTAATGCTACAGCACCTGAAAGAGTCCTATGGTGACTTGCCAATTTATGTCCAGGAGAATGGAAAGTACAGTTTCTGTTTCCCGTAGAGTAATCAGAACGAGCAGCACATACTGTTTCTCACTTAGTTTTATGGAGTCAATTCATCCTAGTAGATCACCTGCTAATTAAGAATCTCTTGACTAATGAATAATTCGCTGTGAGCAAGTTTGCTGCCTTCAAGGTTAAAGCTCGATCTCCTTCCTGTTTTTTCAGGGAAGGCATCTAGCAATGACAGTCTCGACGACACTGACAGGGTGGATTACATAAAGGGCTACATAGAGGGCGTCCTGAATGCGACCAGGTGATCCAAAACTCAGAGCCCAAAACCACATGAAAATTAAAATTTCAGACGCCGGATGGTTCAGCTCAAATGCTCAATCCACCATCTTGATTCTTGAATAAGACCTATTGTCTGATGATACATGTTCTGATTGATTTTGCTTTGCTGTGCGTGCATATGCAGGAACGGGGTTAATGCGAGAGGCTACTTCGCTTGGTTCTTCGTGGACATGTTCGAGCTCTTGTCCGGATACCAGACGCGATACGGCCTCTACCGCGTGGATTTCGACGACGCGGCGCTGCCGCGGCGAGCGAAGCGTTCTGCTCGCTGGTACCGTGACTTCCTCAAGAGCAAGCGGCAACCGCTGCAGATTGCTCAGCAGTGAGGTTTCACGCAACGGTCTCGCTGTCGCTGCGATCTTTGAGGAGGATGCACTAGTGGTGGCAAGGGGATATGGTTTTAATTATGAGGTCTTGTGTTTAATCGTCAACACGTTTATAATTTCTTTTTAAAAGTTGTTTGGAGAAACGTCTCCCTCCAAATCTCAAAAAAAAAAGAGGATGCACGGATTGGTTGATCAAGAAATTGCTCGTGCTCGGTGACAGGAAATCATGTTTTGCCTAACATTGATAAGAGCACTAAGATCACGGGGGATCTAATGGGGGAGCGATCAACCCACCCCTCCCCCTATACACCTCTCTATTTTTTTCCTTCCATCACAAAATTAAAAAAAAACACAAAGTTAGTAAAAAAAATTAGAAAAAAAAATCTAATAGTCTCATTTATGTGCATAGACTTTATACCATAAACTTTGCACGCATAAACTTTATGTATAAAAATATTTTATATATAAAATATTTGAATCCGAATTTGAATTTGAATCGGGTATATAAACTTTTGACTTATAAATATTTGCTCTACAAACTTTAGGTGGATAAACTTTAGATGTGTAAACTTTAGGTGCATAAACTTACTAAAAGAGGAAAATATAAAATATTTGAATTTGAATTTAAATTTGAATTGGGTATATAAACTTTTGACTTATAAACATTTGCTTTATAAACTTTAGGTGTATAGATTTACTAAAAGAGGAAAAGAAAAAAAAACCCGATCGCTGGCCGCGATTGATCGCGCGTTAGCCTTCTCGAAGATCATGCGTGTTATGGTATAGAATCCGAAGATACAAAACATTAGTACTCCATTCGTTTTAGGTTATAATGCGTTTTGAATTTGGTCAAAATCAAACTGTTTTAAGTTTAACCAAATTTGTAGAAAAATGTACTAACATTTTCAACCCAAGACAAATTTATTATGAAAATATATTCAAATATTGATTTGTTAAAACTAATTTAGTATTATAAGTATGATTATATTTGTCTATAAACTTAGTTAAATTTGAAATAGTTTGACTTTGACCAAAGTCAAAATATCTTATAACCTGAAATGGAGGAAGTAGTATTACTCATTATCTAAATATTGTATTGGGTGAGTCTAATTTGAGCTAGTTCTCAGTTAAAGAATGATGTTTTTTTCTACTAGTTCATAGCAAATAAACCCTTCACTCAATCTTAAGTTGAGAAATAGCTTAAGAACGAGTTGAACTTGGCTGATATGGCTGGTTGCAAATCCATATCGGATGAAATGGGCTGAATGAGCTACTAACACACGCGGAGGGCGCAATTTTTGACAAGCGATGTTGAGGTGGGTGGGTTTTTTTAAAAACAAAATAGGTTATGGGCATAATCTTAAAATAAGGATAATAATTATGGTGGTTTATACAATTTTTCGTTGTTTTTATTCTATCCATGCTCATCCATCTAATCAAATAAGAAACTGGATTATACTGTCCATTCAACCAAACAAAAAATTAACCACCATACCTTATCCCTAAAAATATAAATAGCTATAGCCCATCCATTCTTGACTACAAATCAAATACATCTTAAGTCTATTTAATAAAAAAATAAATAATAATTATATAATTTTTTATCAAATTGTATGGCAAAGATGTCATATATTGCATACTTTTTTTTAATAAGGAAAGGGTCAAATTCATTACTTGTGTGCTTCAGTTCACATAATAGATACAATGACTTTCAATATCACTTAGAAGCCCAACTAAAATAAGAGAAAATTTCGTATATATCCCTGAAACTTTGTCTAATTCCTTCTATGTCACTGAATTTTGCTAATTCCCTTGTATACATTTGAATTTTAATTTAGATCCTTCCATACCATTTCCAATAGTTGACCAATTCTTATGAAAAAAAATCCATTGTACCTTATGGTATGAAAAATATATAAATTTTTGGAGTATAGAAATTTGTTGTATGAGACTTTTATATCCATGAGTTTCTAATGTGAAATATTATTTATAAAAAAATTATTTTCAGATATGACATAAAAGATTTATATTTATTTTTAATATTTAAAATTGTATATGTAGCTTATTTTCTATAGTAGTACAACATATTTGAATCTATTTATACGCTACAGTAAAATAATTTGATAACAAATAAATTAATATTATTTTTTATGTCATATCTGTAAATAAATTTTATGATAAATAATATCTCGCACAACAAACTCACATATATAAGAGTCTTATATAACAAATTTTTACCCTCCAACAATATATTCTATAATTTTATATGTTTGAGTTACACCAAAGGACAAAATGGTTTTTTTATAGAAATTTAACGGTCAACTAACGAAAAAAATATGATAAAAAATCTAAACTAAAACTAGAGAATGAGTAAAATTCATGGATACAAGGGTACAAGGAGAATTTTCTCAAAATAAAACATGGTGCTGAAATGCTGAATGACAAGCGTTAATTAGTACGATGATTCTTCAATTAATTACACAGCTCTAGTGTGTAAAAGGAACTACGAAACGAAAAACTATTGTGTCAGAACTCAGAAGTTAAGTTGTAATCGCTATCATCCAATCAATAGGTAATAGAGACAGAATCCCTACTCCAGTTGTCATCACTGTATCAGAAACGAACGTGCAGCCGTATCATCATCCAACCAACAGCTGAAGCCTAAACACACAACCGAACCAAAATTTCACTCACACCAGAGACAAAGATTTAACAAATTTGCTCAACTACCGATCGAATGAGTCTGCAGTACAGTAATATTCTTCAACTTGGATCATTGACATATAGATCTGTTGGTTATAAGCTCATATATCAACAGCTTAAAACTAGAGGATTAGTATTGTAAAGGACGTGTTTCCCTACCGAACACTGCCATCCAGCAGACCAATTTGCAACGATCCAGGAACGAAATGAGCCACCAATCAAAGCTTAGTAATTCGGCTGTAAACCGGCCTGTCCCTCCTGTGCACAGCAAGTGCTTGGAGCACGACCAGCTTGCGCAATGCTCGTTTACCTGAGAAACGCTCAGGAGTTTTTCGGCTAACTCCAAAAGGTAGTGGGCTAGATGATTTGGATTCGAAATCTCACCCCTTCTAATTATTTGATATTAGATTCTTCCCTAATATTTACGTTCTTTTTTCAATGCTCGTTTACCTCGGTGAGACGCCCGTGCCATCGCCGCAAATCGGTGAGACGTCCGTGCCACCGCCTCGCCATCGCTGCAATCGCGCTGGACCAACCATCGTCTAGCACCAACTAGGCAACTACCAACTGATAGTATTATGGACGTCTTAATATTGTCTTCCCGGGCTGGATCACAAACATCTCTGATCTCTCTGCAGAAACACAATCGTCGCTCGAATCTGCTTCTCATTCTTTTTTTCTTGCTGATCATCATGGGCGCTGCTGCTGCTGCTGGCTTCTTCTTCGTCCTGCTGTTCCTCTCTGTTCAAGGTGGTGCTGTTGGCTACACGAGAAGCGATTTTCCTCGGGATTTCGTCTTTGGAGCCGCCACCTCGGCATATCAGGTGACGAACTGAAGATTTGTCTGAACCGAATTTCCCTTACCCGGTTTTCTGAACAGTGCGTGCCTTTGTTGTGCGTGTGCAGTATGACGGCGCTGCTGCAGAGGATGGCAGGAGCCCTACTATCTGGGACACGTTCGCACATGAAGGTCAGTTTTTTTTTTTGGGTTGCTGTTGTGCAACTTGTGCTATTCATCATCTGTTCATGCTCATAGTCATATACTCCATCCATTCCATAAAAAATAATCCTAGTATGAAATGTGATACATTATAATATTATTTATCTGAATTTAGATTTTTAAAGAGTGTAAATTTGATCTTCGTTTAGATAAAAATTGAGAATTTACCTTCTTGACCCATACGTGGTTGACCTTCGATGGCCACATGTCATTGGTGACAGATAGAGCCAGTGGTACTAATAAGTGAATAGTGACAATATTTTTATTGGCAAAATTTGCTACAGGACACCGAAAGATTGCGGCCTTTGCTGTGAGACACCCGAAGATCGTGTATTTGCTCATGGACACTACAAAAAAGTGGTAACTAGCTGCAGGACACTTCTCCCATTATTTTATTATTTCTGGTCAAAACGGAGAGAGAGAGCTGTGTAAGTACCAAAATGCCCTGGACACGTACTGTTCTTCCTCTCTCTCTCTTCTTTTCTTTTCCCATTCTTCCTCGCGACGGCAGCGGAGGGGAACCGATCGACGGCGAGCGGCGGCGGGCGCGGATGGGAGGGCGCTCCAGGCGGCGGCGGGAGCGGCACGGAGGGGGCGCGGCGGACAGGAAGCTTCAGATGGTGGCGACAGCGGGCCGGCGGTCGGCGTGCACGACGGCGCGCGGGGAGGTGGAGGGGATGGGGGAGAGGCGGGCGCCGGCGACCATGGCGGAGAGGTCGGCCGTCGTGGCGCCGGCCGCTGCCTCCGTCGCCGCCCGCTCGGTCCGTATCCTCCTCAGCCACCACGAGCTCTGCCTCAGCCGACCGCCGCCCAGGCGAGCTCCGCTTCCATGCGACCAGGCCGTTCCCAACGCTACCCACCATCGTCGTCACTGCGGGAATCTCTCGGAGGATCAGAGCTCGCCCGGGCGGCTGACTCCTCGCGCATTCCCCTTTCTCGCTGTCGCGACCGCCATCCCCCGCCCCAGCGGCAGAGAGCTTGCTCCGCCTGGACCACCGCCGCCGCGGCCTCACGCTGTCGTCCTCAAGGTGCTGCCGGCCGGCGCCACGACGGCCCGCCTCTCCGCGATGCACGCCGGCGCCCACCTCTCCCCCATCCCTTCCACCTCCCTGCGCGTCGACCGCCGGCCCGCCCCCGTGCGCCGCTGCCCATCACATCCCCTCACGATGAAGAAGAACAGACAAAGAGAGGAAGAAGAAGGACAAAGAAAGAGATTGACAAGTGGGCCCATGGGCAAACTTGTCTTTAACCAAAGTTTCTCTCTCCATTTTGATCGGAAATAATAAAATAATGGAAGAAGTGTCCAGCAGTTAATTACCACTTTTTTTAGTGTCCATGAGCAAATACACGATCTTCGGGTATCTCATAGCAAAGACCGCAATCTTTCGGTGTCCTGTAGCAAATTTTGCCATTTTTGTTTGTGCAATCAGGGAAAACGAAAGACAAAGGTACAGGCGATGTTGCTGCAGATGGGTACCACAAGTACAAGGTACACGGTTAAATTTCTCAGAGAGAAACTAGCAGCACGTCATATTTGCAAATAAAAAATAATTTGTTAATAAAAATTTTATATACGTGTTCTTAACGATTTAAAAGCAAAGATTAAAAAATAAACTACGATAAAAAAAACCCAAATCAACTTATTTTTCGCCAACGCAAAAACAACTCCAAATTTAGGGCCCATTTGAATCATAAGAATGCAAAAATAGATGAATAGGAAAAATGCATGATTCTAATAGGAATGTAAGTGCAAAACAGATAATTACAAAATACAGAAAAAACACAGGAAGGACCATTTGATTGGACCGCAAGAAAAACGTAGGAATTGGATGAGAGAGATAGACTCAAAGATAAATTTTCAAAAGGTTGGAGCTCTTACTAAATTTTCTCTAAAATCTCTATAGGATTATCCGTTCCATAGGAATTTCAAACGATAACATAAAATTCAATCATTTGTTTCAAAGGTCTTTATAGAAAATTTTACTATAGAATCGAAATCCTCCAAAATTTTCCCCGCAAAAAAAAAAGAAATCCTCCAAAATTCCCATGTCTTTCCTCTAAATCAAAGGAGCCTTTAAGGTTGAAAATTTTAAAATTTAGCTGATAAGCATAAGTATAAACAAAAAGATGAGGCCATCAGGCCGCTATTGGCTTGTCCACATATTGTCTCTCTATGTGTTTCATGTCTTACAGACATGTGAACGCGCCTCACTATTGTAGCAAATTCATGTATCTTCAAAGTTCTATTCCTGACAACCGACTAAAGATAGAAACATGGTTCCTTAAGTTCCATCCCTAATGCTTCACCAAATCGAAATGAGAATTATCATCTTAGTTTTTTCTCCTTTCCTTCATCAAAACATAAGGCCTAATTTAGTTCCCAAAAATTTTTCTCAAAAACATCACATCAAATCCTTGAACACCCTAATGGAGCTTTAAATATAGATAAAAAACTAATTGCACAGTTCACACGAAAATTGTGAGATGAATCTTTTGAGCCTAATCTATGATTAGTCATAAGTATTACGGTAACCCACATATGCTAATGACGGATTAATTAGGTTTAATAAATTCGTCTCGCGGTTTCCAGGCGAGCTATGAAATTAGTTTTTTCATTCGTGTCCAAAAACCCCTTCTGACTTCTAGTCAAACATCCGATGTGACACCCAAAAATTTTCTTTTCGTGAACTAAACAATGCCTAAGTTGAAAACTTCGGCTTGTAAGAACTTTACATGCCTTCCTTTTTCAGGGTGATGTCAAGCTCATGGCTGAAACTGGCCTAGAGGCTTACAAGTTTTCCATCTCCTGGTCAAGGCTTATCCCAAGTATAGCTATTTCTACTCAAAACTAAATTCTTGTTAATAAAGTTACTACTAGTGTAATATGTATACTTAATATGCAGATGGGAGGGGAGCTGTCAACCAAGAAGGGCTAAAGTACTACAATAATGTTATTGATGAGCTAGCAAAACGAGGTAAATCTTGCGAATCCCTTTTACAAACTATAAATATTGCAAAGCGAAAAAGAACTGAAAGAACTTTCATGGATGTTGATTGCTCTGCTTTCTTCAGGAATTCAACCCCATATCATGCTTTGCCATCTAGATCTCCCACAAGCTCTGGAAGACGAGTACGATGGATGGCTAAGCCCTAGAATTGTGTAAGATTCAATAACCATCTATATGAAGTACAAAAATAGTAGGAGTATGGTGATAGCTTCCATAGGATGAGCTCTAGACTGCTGATCAGTAGCAATGGCACAATGCAGGGATGATTTCACTGCTTATGCAGATGTGTGCTTCAGGGAGTTTGGGGACAGGGTTTTGCATTGGACTACTTTGGCTGAACCTAATATCGCTGCACTTGGAGGTTACGACACAGGAGTATTATCTCCAGGACATTGCTCTGATCCTTTTGGATTGACCGAATGTACAGTGGGGAACTCCACCGTGGAACCATATATAACAGCTCATAATATGATACTAACACATGCGGCTGTTGTTAGACTGTACAGAGAAAAATATCAAGTGAGTAATCATGTGCTTAAGAATACCAGTAGTGTATTTTTTGAATGTATTTATATTCTCTAGGGACAGTACTAAGCATTGCATAGGTCTGATAGAAGTTAAACAGATTATGTTCAAAGATGTAGTGTATGATTTTTTTTTTACAAAAATAACTACATGCATGTCCAGATTCCCTTCTTATTTTCTTGCTGTTACTCCTCTTATGTGAATTCCTCGAAGTGCTCTGAAACTGTCTTTCATGTAGGCTCTACAAAAGGGGATTGTTGGTATAAACATGTTTTCCTTATGGAGTTATCCATTAACAAACTCCATTGCGGATTTGCAAGCAGCTCAAAGATACAAGGATTTCTCGTACGGATGGTATGATCAATGTTGCAACTCTTTTATCTTCACACTGAAACTAGCGGACTGCACAATTTTGCACAAAGCTAGATTTTATAGAAGTTTACGACTCTTGCTTCCATTTTCATATATAAATGCCTGTATTTTTATACAATTGTATTGATAAAGCAACACTATTATAATATAAACCCACCAAAATCAATCGGTGCACATCTTTCTCTTTTTTTCCCAGTTAACGTAGCAATTTTTAGAAATGAACCTAGTGGTTCCTTTTAGCTCCCTCTTTGTAATGGATAATAGATATTTGACATAGACAGGAATATATATAAGCTCACCGTTGAACTTACGCTGTGTTCTTATCCCAGGTTTCACAACTTATCTCCCTCGTTTTCCGTGCGCATGATTTTCAAACTGTTAAACGGTGCGTTTTTTAAAAAAAAAATTTTCTATACGAAAGTTGCTTAAAAAATCATATTGATCTATTTTTGAAAAAAGAATAGCTAATACTTAATTAATCACGCGCTAATGAATTGTTCCGTTTTCCGTGCGCACTGTTCTGGTTGGGAACAGGCTCCAGCGAACACAGCATTAGAGGATAAACAACTCTTCTTGTTTGCAGGATACTGCACCCATTGGTATTTGGAGATTACCCACAAGTAATGAAGAAAACTATCGATTCTCGTCTTCCATCCTTCAGCCAAGTCCAAACTGAACTAATCAAGGGTGCTATAGATTTCATTGGAATAAACCACTACTATTCAGCCTACGTGAACTATCGCCCTTTGGTAGAAGGTGTTCGAGACTACGTTGCTGATCGATCAGTAAGCGCTAGAGGTTAGCCAATTTTCTGATTTTCTGTTAATATGAACATAATTTTTTAGCTCTTTTTTAGATAATAGAAGCTTGTTCCTCGAAAAAAAAGATAATAGAAGCTTTATTCATAAATTTGTAGCTCTAGGAGTGAGTAGTTTGATTCATTCATATAAGGACGGTGTATGAAGACGTATGTAGACAAAAAGAAAATCACAGAAAATGATAATGCATGACATATTTCTATGACAAGAATAAAAATACATTTTCATATCCCGAGTTACTTCCTCCGTTTCACAATGCAAGTCATTCTAGCATTTCCCACATTCATATTAATGGTAATGAATCTAGCTAGATATATATGTTTAGATTCATTAACATCAATATGAATGTAGAAAATGTTAGAATGACTTACATTGTGAAACGGAGGGAGTACTTTACTAAGTCATCCAATGATGATCCTGAAAATGATTCTACAAATTTTCAGATGGGTAGTTTTACCATCATTGAGAAGATACGTGAGGTACCATATTTTTTAAGTATAAAATTTGGTATCTTCATGTACTAAGTATATCTCGAGGTAACAAAAATTTTAGTACAAATTTAGGTATCTTAAGTTACTTTCTTAATGATGATAAAATTTTCTTTTTCATAATCACTTTTACTAGAGTAAAAGTATTCTGTAGCTTATCAGTTCTATATGTTTATGTTATGCAGTTTATAAAACGGATCCACCAACGGAGAAGGTAAGTTAATTTTGTCATCTCTGATTTTTCTTTTGAGATAATAAGCATTGTTGATTTTCGACCTTTGTAAAAACTTCCTAAAAATGTGATAGGATCTTAGCCTAGCTTAGTTGGTCGATGGTGTGGATGTATGCCTGGATCACCCAAGTTATCCCGTCCTTATCGAAGCGAATTTGGATGCCTATTTTCTTCTTAATACAAAGCCACCTAATTCTCATAGGGTTATCCCATTTCTTATATTAAAAACTGAATTGTGATAGACACGTAATGTTTTGCATTAAGTGATGCAATCAATAAAGCGTATAAAAGAAATAAAGTAAACTCGAAGATCATTGTCATAATTTTTTTTTGGTGCGGCGATAATTTCATAATTGAAATACTCTTGGATATACGTACCTCATCCTGTTGGCAGTGACACATATATCTCATCTCTTTATTGAGTGCAGTATGAACCTACGGAGTATCCAAATGATCCAAAAGGATTGCAACTAGCGTTGGAGTACCTGAGAGAGTCCTATGGGGATTTCCCATTTTACATCGAGGAGAATGGTAAGTACAGTTTCCAAGTAGAGTATTCAGAACAGGAAGTACAATATGTTGGAAATTTGGTCATAATTCGGCATATTTTAATCCAAAATAATAAGATAATAAACATGATATTTACAATAGGATTTGATCCAGTGATAGTGGTGAATGTAATCAACATGAGCATGCTTAACGTTGAATAAGCATCAACAATCACATAATGACACAATGTTGACATTGCGATGAACATTAACAGTAAAACTTCTAATTGAAATAATGTAATAAGGTTATACCCCAAGAATGGTCCTCCGCTGGAGTTTGAGGCAGTATTGCCTCCGTTGGTGTTGACGGGAGTCTCCTTCTCCTTGTCTCCAGTGTTCGACATGTTGGTGAAGATGAAGTAGATGTTGACGAACAGTGAGTAGTCGCGCCTTGCGCTCCCCAAAAACCTGATCGCCCGCCCGTCTGTGCAAACGTCGCAGCAACGCGTGGTTTCGGAGGCCTACTCTCCCAACGCGTGTGCACACACTCGTCGGGATGGGATTACCGTAGCAGCAACAGCTTTTGAAAATGGATGAAAATGTGTCTTCTTCTTCTCGCGGGAGATCAAATCCATTCTCATTTTATAAGAGGAATGGAAGATGAAGAGTAAGAGTCATGGAATAGGAAGAGGAATGGAGCAACTAATTGTCATCAACTAGCCATGAACCATCCTCCACTACACAACCATCAACCAACAATCAATTAAGAGTAATTGATGTAAGTTACCAATGGAATAGGAAGAGGAATAGAGCAACTAATTGTCATCAACTAGCCATGAACCATCCTCCACTACACAACCATCAACCATCCATCAATTAGGACTAATTGATATAAGTTACCAATTCCTTAATCAAATGGATTAATTCTCAAAACTCTTCATCCCATTGATATCCCATAGAAGAATGAATTCACATGAATTCCTAGCATAATGAGCCTTGGAATTTATTTGATTTAATTGATTTAAATGGATTAATTACCCAATTAAATCTAACAATCCCCACCAAATTTCAAGGCTCATGAGAATGCTCTCTATTCCATAGCAGCTTTTATATACCAGTGTTTCGGTGAAGACTGTTAAGTTGAACTTTCACCTAGAAAAGGAGCTACACCTGACCACAACTGAACAATGGACTATGCCTTGAATTGTCAGTCTTGTGCAGTTAGGTTTCACTCAATTCCATAACTGATACTAGGCAACCATTAGTATTCCCTCGGGTTGGAGCTTATAAGTCATACTCCAGGCCTTTCATGAGTATCTAGAGATCACCCAAATCTCATAGACTGTGACTAGCAGTCGAACTCATATAGGTGTGTTCCTTCTAAGATGTTCTGCAGGTCAACATCTCTGCTTGGAAAAGCCACTCGGATCACATTAAGACATAAGCCATCCTACCATGCAGGAAAGAAGAGAAGCACATCATGAAAATGAGCCCTTTTCAAGGGTCTCTTCTCTCAGTCACACAATAGTTTGTTTCACCATCCAAATTCACGGGATCTCCGATCATAATGGACAGGTTTCCACTATTATGCAACCTTAGGTGGGTATCAAGCCCATTTCCCTCGATGCACTGTCTATCACATTACGTGGTAGCCCCTTGGTAAACTGATCTGCCAGATTTCTAGCCGTTTGGACATAGTCCAATGCTATCACTCCGGAGTTTTTCTGCTTTCTGACAGATTTCAGTCTTCTCTTGATGTGTCTAGATGACTTCATGTTGTCCTTTGAACTGTTCACTTTAATAATCACTGTTTGATTATCGCAGTTCATTAGGATAGCTGGCACTGGTTTTTCAACCACTGGCAAATCCATCAGGAGTTCACGAAGCCACTCGGCCTCAACTGTCGCAGTATCTAATGCTGTAAGTTCTGCTTCCATTGTTGACCTCGTTAAGATGGTCTGCTTGCAAGACTTCCAGGAAACAGCGCCACCTCCAAGTGTGAACACATATCCACTTGTGGCTTTTATCTCATCAGCATCAGATATCCAGTTTGAGTCACTATACCCTTCTAGTACTTTTGGATACCCGGTATTGTGAATTCCATAGCTCATAGTACCCTTTAGATAGCGCATTACTCTTTCCAGAGCCTACCAATGATCATCTCCCGGATTTGAGACAAACCGGCTCAGCTTGCTTACAGCAAATGAGATGTCAGGCCTCGTTGCGCTAGCCAAGTACATCAATGAACCAATGATTTGAGAGTATCTCAGCTGATCCCTTGCTATTCTTCGGTTTTTCCTTAATAGCACGCTGGGATCATAAGGAGTAGGAGCTGGCTTGCAGTCACTATATCCAAAGCGACTCAAAACCTTGTCCACATAGTGGGATTGCACAAGTGTAATCCCACCCTCATCTCCTCTTTGTAGTTTGATGTTAAGAATAACATCAGCCTCTCCCAAATCTTTCATTTCAAAACTCTTGGACAGATAGTCTTTGACCTCCTCAATCACATTAAGGCTGGTCCCAAAGATCAGTATGTCATCGACATATAAGCACAAGATCACCCCTTCTCCCCCACCATAGCGATAGCATACACATTTGTCAGCTTCGTTCACAACAAAGCCTGCAGATGTAAGCGTGGTGTCAAACTTCTCATGACATTGCTTAGGTGCTTGCTTGAGGCCATACAAGGATTTCAATAGTTTACACACCATTCCCTCCTGACCTTCTAGTACATACCCGTCTGGTTGATCCATATAGATCTCCTCCTCCAGCTCTCCGTTTAGGAAAGCTGTCTTAACGTCCATCTGATGGACGAGAAGACCATGAGAGGCTGCCAGAGCGAGTAGTACTCGAATCGTGGTCAAGCGAGCAACTAGTGAGTATGTGTCGAAGAAGTCCTCGCCTTCCTTTTGGGTATAACCCTTGGCCACAAGCCTTGCCTTGTACTTTTCGATTGTACCATCAAGCCTAAGCTTTTTCTTGAAAACCCATTTGCATCCTACGGGCTTGCACCCATATGGACGCTCAACGACTTCCCAAGTACCATTAGACATAATCGAGTCCATTTCACTGCGTACTGCTTCCTTCCAGTAGTCAGCGTTAGGAGATGAATATGCCTCTTCTATGGTTCTTGGGGTGTCATCCACGAGGTATACAATGTAGTCATCTCCAAAGGATTTTGCAACCCTTTGTCTCTTACTCTTGCGAGTATCTACAATGTTGTCCTCCTCAGGATTTTCCTCAGGCGTTTGATCATTGTGTTCTATCGGTGCAAAGTGCTCATGGGGCATGACAGTTTCTTTACTAGAAGTGCTAGGTGTATATTTCATAGGAAATTCATTCTCAAAGAATGTAGCATCTCTGGACTCAAGAATTGTACCAACATGCATGTCGGGTACTCCAGAGTTTACTATTAAGAATCTATAACCCACACTGTGGATAGCATAACCAAGAAACACACAATCAACAGTTTTTGGTCCAAGTTTCCGCTTTTTGGCTATAGGTACATTTACCTTGGCCAAACAGCCCCATGTTCGTAGGTATGAGAGATTTAATTTCTTCCTTTCCCATTCCTCGAATGGTGTTATTTCCTTATGCTTCATTGGAATTTTATTCAGGACATGACACGCAGTCAAAACTGCCTCACCCCACCATTCCTTGGAAAGCCCCGCAGTGTCTAACATGGCATTCACCATCTCAGTTAGAGTACGGTTCTTTCTTTCGGCCACCCCATTTGATTGGGGTGAATAGGGAGGCGTCATCTCATGAATAATTCCAAACTCTTCGCAAAAGGATGCAAACTCATTGGAAAAATACTCCCCACCTCTATCAGACCTCAACCGTTTGATTTTCCTTTCAAGTTGGTTTTCTACCTCAGCTTTATAGATTTTAAAGAAATGCAATGCCTCATCCTTTGTTTTCAATAGATACACATAGCAAAATCTAGTGCAATCATCTATCAGTGTCATGAAATATTTCTTTCCCCCTTTAGTCAACACGCCGTTCATTTCGCACAAATCGGAATGAACAAGTTCTAGAGGTGCCAAATTCCTCGCCTCAGATGCCTTGTGAGGCTTGCGAGGTTGTTTCGATTGAACACAAGTATGGCACTTGGAACCTTTTACCAAAGTGAATTTTGGAATTAAACTCATGTTAGCTAAGCGCGTCATACAACCGAAATTCACATGACAGAGTCGCGAATGCCACACATTAGACTCATCATTCTCGCTAATATGGTTCACAGCATTATGATTATTACACATGTCATTCAAAGAAAAGCGGAACAAGCCTCCGCTGTCATAATCTTTTCCAACAAAAGTCCCATATTTAGATACGACACATTTATTGGACTCAAACACAAGTCTAAAACCTTCTCTACACAATAGAGAGCCGCTAACTAGATTCTTCTTTATTGAAGGGACATGCTGCACGTTCTTCAGCTGCACGGTCTTTCCCGAAGTAAACTTCAGATCGACCGTACCAACACCATGAACAGCCGCAAGCGACCCGTTTCCCATCAACAAGGAGGAACCTCTCCCGACCTGATAAGAAGAAAATAGAGAAATGTCAGCACATACATGAATATTAGCACCAGTGTCCACCCACCAATCAAGTGAATGAAAAACAGAGAGAACTGTAGGTAATATTTTACCGTACCCCGATGTTCCTCCGCCCTCGCTAATGATCATGTTGGCAGACTTCCTGTCTTTGCGCTCAGGACAGTCCTTGGCCCAATGCCTAGACTTGCCACACACAAAGCAGTCTCCCTTTGCCTTTCCCTTGCTTTTCTTCTTAAAATTGGTTGCAGCCTTGGGTTTGACATCAGGCTTGACTTTCTTGTTGTTGTGGGATGCATGAGGGTTCTTCTTCTGTACCATATTGGCACTAGAACCTCCCTCAACCTTTTTGCCCCGGACGTCCTTTGCCCTCGCCTTCTCCTCAACACCCAAAGAGCCAATGAGATCAGGAACACTGAACTCTTGTCTCTTGTGCTTTAGAGAAGTGGCAAAGTCCGACCAAGAAGGTGGTAGTTTGGCAATAATGCCACCTGCCACAAACTTGTCCGGCAACTCACAGTTGTTGTTCTCAAGTTCCTTAGCCAGCATCTGAATCTCATGAGCTTGTTCAACTACAGAACGGTCATCGACCATCTTGTAGTCATAGAACTGCTCCATAACATACAGCTCACTGCCGGCATCAGAAACTCCGAACTTGGCCTCAAGTGCATCCCACATGTCCTTCCCAGAAGGCATGTGCATGTACACGTCCACTATGTTGTCAGCGAGTACACTGATCAATGCTCCACGGAACAGGCAATCCGAAGCCTCGAACTTAGCCTCTTCCTCAGGAGAAAGAGGTGGTTCACTTCGTTTGCCCCGTGAAACATAGAAGCACTGCATCGCTGTCAACCACAATAGTGCACGTGCTTTCCATCTCTTATAGTTTGAACCATCAAAGGCATGTGGTTTCAGTGCAGCAGCAAAGCCAACTACCGAAAATGACCAATCAGGTTTTTGGATTGTTGGAAATTTGGTCATAATTCGGCATATTTTAATCCAAAATAACAAGATAATAAACATGATATTTACAATAGGATTTGATCCAGTGATAGTGGTGAATATAATCAACATGAGCATGCTTAACGTTGAATAAGCATCAACAATCACATAATGACACAATGTTGACATTGCGATGAACATTAACAGTAAAACTTCTAATTGAAATAATGTAATAAGGTTATACCCCAAGAATGGTCCTCCGCTGGAGTTTGAGGCAGTATTGCCTCCGTTGGTGTTGACGGGAGTCTCCTTCTCCTTGTCTCCAGTGTTCGACATGTTGGTGAAGATGAAGTAGATGTTGACGAACAGTGAGTAGTCGCGCCTTGCGCTCCCCAAAAACCTGATCGCCCGCCCGTCTGTGCAAACGTCGCAGCAACGCGTGGTTTCGGAGGCCTACTCTCCCAACGCGTGTGCACACACTCGTCGGGATGGGATTACCGTAGCAGCAACAGCTTTTGAAAATGGATGAAAGTGTGTCTTCTTCTTCTCGCGGGAGATCAAATTCATTCTCATTTTATAAGAGGAATGGAAGATGAAGAGTAAGAGTCATGGAATAGGAAGAGGAATGGAGCAACTAATTGTCATCAACTAGCCATGAACCATCCTCCACTACACAACCATCAACCAACAATCAATTAAGAGTAATTGATGTAAGTTACCAATGGAATAGGAAGAGGAATAGAGCAACTAATTGTCATCAACTAGCCATGAACCATCCTCCACTACACAACCATCAACCATCCATCAATTAGGACTAATTGATATAAGTTACCAATTCCTTAATCAAATGGATTAATTCTCAAAACTCATTATGTGATTGTTGATGCTTATTCAACGTTAAGCATGCTCATGTTGATTACATTCACCACTATCACTGGATCAAATCCTATTGTAAATATCATGTTTATTATCTTGTTATTTTGGATTAAAATATGCCGAATTATGACCAAATTTCCAACACAATACTCTTTCTCACTTGCCTGTTTTCTTTTTCTTCAGGGAAGGGATCTACAAATGACAGTCTCGACGACCCTGATAGGGTGGATTACATCAAGGGCTACATTGGAGGTGTCCTGGATGCAATCAGGTGATCTCCAAACATCAGTATCAGTGTGTCAAACTACATGAGTTTCACTTCAATCCATCTTCCAGCCCCATCATTTGGCTTATTCCTCGAATAAAACTTTTATATATGTGTTCTTAACGGTGTAAAAACGAAGGCTGAAAAATAATATACAATAAAAATAATCCCAAATTTAACTTTAAATTTAAAGTTAAAAATTTAGATTTTAGCTGATAATCGTAAACATGAGGCCTCATGCTGTTCTGATTGATCTCTGCTTTGTGCAGGAACGGGGTTGATGTGAGAGGCTACTTCGTTTGGTCATTTGTGGACGTGTACGAGCTCCTGGAAGGCTACCAGTCGCGATCCGGCCTGTACCGTGTGGATTTCGACGACGGCGCGCGGCCGCGGCGAGCGAGGCGCTCCGCTCGTTGGTACTCGGACTTTCTCAAGGGAAAGAAGGATCCCGTGCTGATTGCTCCGCAGTGAATCGATCTCTCGCGTTGGCCAACCAAATCGCTCAAGAAATTTCTCGGTGACAAAAGCTGGAATCTTTGTCTCGCCTAGACACATTGAACTCTGGTTCATGTGTTGTGCAGAGGCAGCAGCAGAACGCATATGAACATGGTAGCCGAGCTATGAATAATAAAGAAATGTGACGGAACTGAAAATCGTATACTCCCTCCATACTCATATTAGATGTCGTTCTAAGGCCTTTGGTCCGTTTTCACAATACATGTCGTCGTTCGCCCGCGGGGTCGTGTATGGCTCTGCGCTCGCCGTCCGTTGCGCTCGTCATCACGTATGCGTAGTTATTGCAAGCAAAAAGAAAGTGATCTCTGCACTAGCCATTTGAGCTATGATTGCTTATCGTACAGAATGCATCCACATCCCTATTTATTAGGGGCAGACATGAAAAAATATCTCTACTTAATCACTCCTTAGTATGCACAATTATGTCCTAAACGACTTCTAATATGAGTATGGAGGGAGTACTCTTTATCTGCAGAATCCAATGTCTGCATGCTTATTCGTGTTGTTGTGCTATATTAACTCTCTCTCGCTTTGTTGCCCCGCTGGTATTGCGCAAATCAATACGAGCTCATCACTAGATTTCGGTTTTCCTATTTCACTTACTATAGATTTTTAGGCTTCTATTAGGATCTTGTATTAAGATTTGTATTCCGATACGTCAGACTTACGTTAAGTTACAAAGCAATTATAATATATTATATAAATTAAAGCATATAATAATGATTTTGATAAATTTAATTGGTTTCGATGTAAACTTGAGCATATTTATTTATATTATTATCAATCCACGTTATTTTGAATAATATTTTGTAGGATCATAGGGAATTAGGGATCATAGAATCGAGATAATACTTAAGATTTCATATAATCGTGTAGAAATGAATAGGAGGGTCGAGATATTATAAAAAGTAGGATACTAGATAGGATTGGTATCGTTTCGACTTGATAAAATCATAGTATTATCACGAGATACTAGGACAACCTTTTGCAGCGCACCAAAATTATATTTTTACGTTTTTTTTGTCTGGACTTGTGATTTCTTGACATGTTCGTTTTTCTATTTCATTCTGAATGGGTTGTATTTATTGGTTACTGGTTTTTAAAATTTGGAGCTCTAAATATATCAAAAGATAAATACTACATTCGTCTCAATATGTAGCACTGTGAATCTAGACAAGATATGTCCAAATTCATAGTTTTAAGATGATTTTAATTTTACCATAAGTTGCTACACATTAAGATCAAGGGAGAAGATGGTTTTGTGTTCGAGTTAGGGCGGAAATATGGAATTTGCACAATCCAAGAGCTTTTGGCACACAAAATGACGTATGCATGTCTTATTAAGACATGATTAATAAAAGTACTAGCTAAATAAAAATGAAAAATGTATTAATATGATTTTTTTTAAAATATTTTTTTATAAAAGATATACCGTTTAACCGTTTAAGAAACGTGCGCGCAGAAAACGGAGGAAGATAAAGTTAGGATAGTGAACTTAGAATCCAGCCTTAGGGGTTGCCCTTCGCGGTTCGGGCTGACGTCAGGCCGTGTACTGACTCAGGGTTTACATTACCGGTTGACCACTAAATTTCGAGCCTCATTGACATCACGGTTTTTGATAAATTTTAACTGAATTTTGACCAAATATATTGTTTAACCTTTAAAATTTTAATCGAAACTTAATTCTGAGCCATGTCGAAGCGCACGAAATTCGACCGGTTTTTATCCAAATTGTGAACCTTGCTGCCTGGTACTGAGTACTGACTCGTCCGGCTCCGGCGGCGGCCGTGTGCGATTGCAATCCGGGCCCAAATACGCAAAAACCCAACGCGAGCTCACCCGGGTCACCACCAGCAGCAGCAGCAGCAGTAGTCATCACCATGTCCGCCGCGGCGGCCGACTGGCTCCCGGCCGCGGACGTGACGGCGGCGGGGCGGCCGGTGCTGACCGCGGGGGAGGTCGAGCGCCACCTCGTCGCGCAGGGGGACGTGGAGCCCGAGGAGAGCCCCCGCCTCGGCCCCCTCCGCGCCCGCCTCCTCGTCCTCACCTCCCACCGCCTCATCTTCCTCCACGAGCCCTCCCGCTCCGCGCGCGCCCTCCCGCTCGCCGCCGTCGTCCACGCCTACCCGCCCCACCGCAAGCACGGCCACAACCCCCTCCGCTCCATCTTCTCCTCCTCCTCCTCGTCCTCCTCGTCGCACCACCCGCGCGTCCGCCTCCAGATCTCCCTGCCCCCGTCGCGATCGGAGGTCGTCGCCGTCGTCGTCAGCAAGGGGGAGGCCGACGTGTTCTACGGGAGGCTGCTCGAGGCCGTCCGCGCGAGGGCGTGGGAGGTGGTCGCCGCCGTGGCGGCTGCCCCCGCGGGCGGCTCCTCGGCGGCGCAGGGGGCCCCCGCGGAGGAGGATCTCGCCATCAGGATGCCCGTGGTTGGGGTGTCCGGGATCCTGCGGATGGAGCAGGAGGCGTGGGAGAGCGCGGGGCAGAATCTGCAGGATGCCTTCCAGGATCTCAACGCCCTCATGGTTCGTTCCTCTCTGCTGCTCTTGCCAAGTAGTACTTGATACCATGTCCACATTTAGTTCTTGTGATGCAATCGTAATTGACTGGATTACTGGAACACCATGCTCCACAACGCAGCTAAAATGTAAAATTTCCACATTTAGTTCTTGTAACGCAGTCATATGGTATTGGAACAAATATGTTTTTACAACGCAGCTTTTTTTTTTTGTGTGTGTTTTGCTGCAATCTTGTAATTAGAGCAAAGCTAAGGAAATGATGGAGTTAGCGGAGAAAATGAGGCAAAAGCTATTGACGAACTCATCAGCCCAATCCAATTCCAATGATGAAGAGATGGGATCTAAGCAAGACATGCAGGATTGGCTATTGAGTGTTGGAATCGTGTCCCCTGTGACGAAAGAAACCGCTGGTGCTCTGTACCACCAGCAGCTGTCACGCCAGGTAATACATGCTTTGCTCGTGTTCTTGCTGCATTCATTGTGAAGTAGTTTTCACTGTCTGTGAAGCTCAATTGTGATGCTGATGGCAATGCATGAACTTTGTATAATATCATGCCAGCTAGACCAAATCTTCAACTTGAGAGGTTTTATCGCCATAGGATCTTCAGGATAAATTGTGTGTCCTTTTCCTCCATCAACCAAGAGCCTCTACTTCTATTGAACAGTACTTTCTGTTCATTTCTTTGCCTCATGCCTGAATTGTTTCACGCTGCTTAGTGCTTACACATTAGTTGGGTCAAATTTGGGAATCATTCAGAGGGTTTTCTTTTATTTCAACTACAGACCACAGATTTTACACTCAAGTTCTGTTTCATACACAATTGACAGGAACACCAAAAATGTCCTTGCCTCTATAACTCGTCACTGTTTTGAAGAGTTTTTATCTTCTTCTGAGTCCTCCCGGTTAGAGCAGTCTTACTAAGGCTATTTTCAACCTTTTGTATTCATTATCAGTTGGCTGACTATATTAGAACACCACTAGAGAAAGCAGGTGGTATGATGGCACTAGTTGATGTCTATTGTCTCTACAACCGTGCAAGAGGGACAGGTCTGTGCTTTTCTGCTAAGTATCTGTATGGAATTCCTTTGTTACATGTTCTGATATTGTTTTTTTTCCTTATATTTTGTGTAGAGTTGATCTCACCAGAGGATCTTCTGCAAGCCTGTTCCCTTTGGGAGAAATTTGACGTGTATGTACCCCATGTTGTAATGTGTTTTTTAGTATTTTCAGCTGGTTTGTTGCCAGCCATTAATTATGGTTCTATGTTTTGCTTATAGATGTTGATTTGTAATGAGCAGCCCAGTCATGCTCAGGAAATTTGACAGTGGAGTGAAGGTGATCCAGACCAAGACGCATAGTGATGATGAGGTAAGCACTGGCAAGAATAGGCCTAAATTTCATCATAAATTCAAGTCAAACAGTCCACACATCACACGACATAACAATCCCAAGTTAGCAGTCACACAAAGAGTGTGGCTAAATATCTCTGGACCTTCCAATTGTTTAGTTATCTTCCATTTCATTTAATTTGTTGGTGGGCACCTGCCCACTGTTACCTTCAGATTGAACGCTACTATTATCGTTTTAAGCAGAAGCACATGCTGATTATTTGCCGATATGCATAGGTATTTGCGAGAATCTCATCACTTGCACAAAAGGAGGATGCCCTTCAGAAGGGAATAAGCCCCAGCGATGCTGCATTTACACTTGGGATTGCACCTGCTTTAGCGAAGGAGCATCTTCTAAATGCAGAAAGCATTGGTATTAGATGGTTACCCATTCAAAAAAAATTCAAGCCATGAACACTATATATAAAAAGATAAACTAATACCAACTTCTTTGTCAGGTATCCTTTGCAGGGATGTCAGTCCAGATGGGTTGCGCTTCTACATCAATCTATTTAATGAAATTGATCCCCAAAATATGTATATGTAAGTAGACCTCTTCTTGAGTCATTTGGCCTCCTCCAGTTTCTTTCAACGAATATCCTGTTTTTTTCTTGGTAAAATGAATATCAATACATGTTCATCATTAGATTTTGTCCATGCTGTTACTTGATTCAGAACATATAGCTTTATTATTGGAAAAGAGAAATATCTTTTACATTGGTAATATGCTTTCCAGGCCAAAAACTCATGGAGTATACCACACATGGATATCTGTCACGGCAGCATCACAGTGACTTATCTTCGGTTGATTGGGGAGCATGACGAGCTCGGCAGTTCGTATCAATGTTCAGTTTTGTCTGCATATTCTGCCGTGACGACTTTGTACAACACCCCAAAGCGTGGTGTAACAAATTCATTAGTATTTGCTTGAATGAATGACTTGCATAAGACGTGACTGCCTTTCTTAAACAGAAGAGGTGATGCTTTGAATTAGCTTTTGCTTGTCTTTCCGTCAAGCAAAGACATGTAATGATCTGAGGCAACCTTTTATCTTTGCCAGTCATTACTCAATACAGAAAACTGGTAGTACTGAATACCACTTGACACACAGATATTCAATTTGGCATTTGTTTCGTAAGATTTTGCACAAGGCCTACAACATCCCAATGAATGCGTGTTTCCTGTACTCAACGTATATAGTGTATATACCCATACTACATGACCTACAAATTATTCTTGACTGATGTCATCTTATTGTGATTCTGTCTCACAGAAACCTCGCACCCAGTGGGCAATCGGGCCTGTTGGTTTGTGGCAACCCAGCAATGGCGTATCAATGTCACAATTACCAATGGGCATATGCAGTCAGAAAACCATATACCTCATCACTTTCCTCACCGCAAGCATCCGTGACGCAACAACGATGTCGACAACCAAAAACGGAAGTTTGAAGCTGAGGAAAATAATATCTACACTGGCACTAGATCATAGAAAAACTAAAATACAATGCTCACACCAAGTCCGTGACAAAGCATATCAATTTACTAGACCATCTCAGAACAAACGGGTACATATGGACAGCACAGTAAATGTTGTAAAACCAAACAAAATATAAGCACTTATAGTGCCCACGAAAAGGAACAATCTGGTACTAGCCTCCACAAAGGAGTTTTTTCCTTCACAGGCACCCACACTATGTGTGGTAGGGTGTATATGTTATATAATATGTAAACCGGCACTAGTGAATTGTTCAGATATCCAGCTGCCAAAACGCTCAAGCCTGCACAAAAATAATGAAAATGCATGTCATCAGCTGCAGATGCTTAAGGTTTAAGGCCAAGTACTCGGAGCGATTTTATTGAGGTATATAAAGGCAGTGCTCGAGTAACATGGTTCAGCTTTCTTCTATCCCTAAGTTAAACGCCAAAGTTCAGGCCAGAATAGGCCTTCAACAAAAGCAGAGACTAAGACATTAGAATAGGCCAACATACCTTGCTGGCAATGTTGTTGGAAAGCCAGTCAAGACCCTCATACAACCCTTCACCAGATGTAGCACAAGTGCTCTGAATGTACCTGCGACACCAGGAAACAAATATTTTAATGACATGATGCATATTTCATAAATTTCAAAAGGTAACCAGTGTCACAATAGATGTGTAAACCATAATGCAGATGCAAATAGCATTTGTAACATTCAACCCCAACCACAAGACTAAATAAACCATCAAAAACATCTAGAGTGTGTCACATACATGTCTCCAAATAGACGAATAGTAATGGTGTTTTTCAAAATCGAAGAAGTTGTAATGGCATGGATCCAATTAACCCATTAAAAAATGCACTATACTCTTGCAAACAGATCTAGTTGTGTTGTTTTCAGCATGTCCAATATGTAAACCCTGATAATTTGCAGAATAGCAGAGCTGCATAACTCTGACCAAGCAATTAGAAGGTAAATAACTTTTGAATTGTTCATATGGAGTTCCTTACCAGTGCCTCTGGCGCAGGGAATGCAAACCAAGCTTGTCAGTGATTTCAGCTGCATTCATGGCATTAGGAAGATCTTGTTTGTTTGCAAATACAAGCAGCACAGCATCACGCAGCTCATCCTGCGACACAGAAGGGTCTCTCATTATTAACATGGAATTAATTGGTTTATGATAATTTAGGGAACTGGTATTTCTAACAGTAAGTTTTAAATAAATCAACAGACAAATAGGTTGAACAAAAATGACTACTGATTCATAGCATTTCAACTACTATCTTAGCATTTTCATACAAGGTCATGGAAAATCCTAAGATTTTTGTGAACCAAACAAGCAACTTACTTTTTTCCAATTTTGTAGCTGCAATAATGTCGAATAAGCGCTTCGTAAATAGATTCAATATATGCAGACTGGGAACACTATGGAACAACCAAATATCTACAAGTCTACAACAAAAATCATTACCTCGTTCAGCATCCTGTGAAGCTCGTCTCTGGCCTCAACAACACGCTCCCTATCATTGCTGTCCACAACAAAGATGAGTCCCTGTGTGTTCTGGAAATAGTGCCTCCACAGGGGCCTGATCTGTTTTGATTTATAGATCAATAAAAGAATTAAGTTGGGAAAGTTCATGACAGCATTAGCAGCTTAGCACGACAACATCAATGCATAAAAGAAGTTCAATTCCGGTTTACCCCAAGGGCTAGGAACAGCCAACAAATGGTAGTTATGATTTCTAACTATAAGCTGACTCTATTACCTTGTCCTGGCCACCGACATCCCAAACAGTGAAGCTGATGTTCTTGTATTCCACGGTTTCAACATTAAATCCTGAAAATTTCCAGAATAAGGTAGTTTCATTTATTAAAACTATAATGCAATGAAGCCACATGGCAAAAATACAAATACATTATCATAATGACCCAATAAAAGGAGTCCATATGAACAGATGCATACATATGTATCATTAAGAATAATCACAAGTATAGAGAATTACAGATGTTTCCATTAAGAGCTACAGAAGTGTAGTAGCATATGCTTGGCTTAGTTCTAACCAAAGTTTCAAGTAGTAAATTTATTTGTAGCCAAAGTGATATCCAATACCTTAACATCAAAGTTTGCTATGTGATTATAATACGAACAAGCTCGTGCTAACTATTCCTCCTTACTAGAGTTTAAATTCAAGTTTGTTTCTACATAACAGAACTAGTGCTCACTCCATGTAGAGTTTAAATTCAAGTTTGTTTCTACAAACAGAACTAGTGCTCACTCCATCACTCCATGTAATTAAAAGTTCGTTCCTGTACATAAACGTGCAGCATAGTACCTTCCTACAGCTAAGACAGCTCATTAAGAAGAACAAGGACATGAACAGAGTGCTTACCGATGGTGGGGATGGTCGTGACGATCTCGCCAAGCTTGAGCTTGTAGAGGATGGTGGTCTTACCGGCTGCATCGAGCCCGACCATGAGAATCCTCATCTCTTTCTTCGCGAAGAGGCGGCTGAACAGCTTCGTGAACGTGAGCCCCATCTCTCCCTACTGCTCCAAAACAAAAATTCAGCAGCACAGGTAAGTCTCAGCTAGCAACACAGATCACCGCAGACTTCGCGCCGATCCCCACGCGCCCATGCTCACTTGACAGCACACAGAACTAAGCGGAAATTGATGAGCCCAAGGTACGAGATCCGGGAGATCTAAACACCCACATCCCCATAGCGTGCTGTTCGATCCATGAAACGACGGGGCGCAAAGCCGCGGAATCGAATCAGATTCGCCAACACCCGAAGCAGAAAGCGAAAAGGCTCGAACAGATTCCCCCCGCCAATAGTAGCGTGGAGACTACGCGGCATGCCTCCATCACCGAATCAGCAACGAAAACGACTCATCTCTCCACGGAATCGACCACAGACTCGCACGGAATTTTCATTTAGAAAAAAAAAAAAGAGAGCGCAACAGAAATCCACCGGAGCGGGCAGATCCGCGAGCTCCGACGAGAGGGATCGAGCAGAGCGCGCGGGCAACTCACCAAGATGGTGGCGGGGGGTGCGCGGCGGAGCTCTCCTTTCCTCTCCGCGGCGCTGCTGCGCGGCGCGCGGGCTGGTTCGCGATCTGCGTGCGCGGCGACGACGAAGACGGGAAGGGTAGCGGCGGCTTTGGAGGTCGGAGCCGCGCGACGAACGCGAACACGACGAGGCGGCTGGGCTTGCGCTTGCGGGTGCGGTGCGGTGCGGTGTGGCACGAGTCGTGTGAGATAATATAGCTGGGGGAGAGAACGCGAGCCCCACCACCGTCGTCACGAGCCGCACGCGTGGACGGATGCAGTCGTTTCTGTCCGTCCGATGCTTCGGCTTGCGGCTGCCGCCGTGGGATCACACCGAGCAAGTTGACTGGATTCGATGCGATCGATATTCTGGGCGGCATTTCTCCCCGAGCCAGGAAGGAATGATGGGATAGGATTCGCTTTGGGCTGGTGGATGGTGTAGGTTGACAGGTTTGACCCGGCCCAGCCCAACAGGTCAGTTGGGTTGAACTTGTTTGACTTCTCATCTGTTTGTTGGTTTTCTTTTTATGATATGAATGCTCATTTTTTTTCTTTCAAAAATGCGTATGCTCATTTTTAATTATAAACATTTATTTAGTATGTGGTTTAAGAGCATATAGTTTTTATTCAAAATTTATTTCATGTGCATGCCCACCGCGCGTGCACCATGCGGTTTCCTTTTTTAAGCTTATACACACAGTTTATATGTACAGACTCTAGAAATTAATTTATTTAATTCCTATAAAATTTGAGTAATGCCTAAAACAGGACTTTTCTAAGTGAAATTCCACCACTTTCAGACAGACCATTAATTTTAGTTTGACAGAATTTAAGACCATTCTGTTTTCTAGAGGCCTAGCTTCAACACAAAGCTCCTTTATGGTGAAGCATCGATATCTTACTTTTCTTTATACGTATATACGTTTATTCGACGAGTAAGAATTAATTTATTTAGCGCGAACCAGGTATACATACATACATGCATGCAGGTTGGCTGAACTCCTCCCGCACGTACGTTCGCCAAAAACAGAATGTTTCAATATATAGCTGGAGGAAGCTTAGCAATGCAGCTATCTTAAGAGAGCGACTAGCCACCCCCAAGACCCCAACACGACCAAATTTTGCTCCTTTTTCATATATAGACCTTGCTTACAACGGAAGGCTTTAGATATAACCCAAGGGGTGTCTTTAGTTCACAGTAAAATTAAAAGTTTGGTTAAAATTGAAACGATGTGATGGAAAAGTTAAAAGTTTATATGTGTAAAAAAATTTTGATGTGATAGAAAAATTAAAAGTTTCAAGAAAAAGTTTAGAACTCCTTTTATCTCCAGAGCGCTGCTCAACATCCACACGAGAGAGACTACTCACTACTGTTCCTCCGGTACAGACGTCAGCGATCAGCCTGCAGCCTGCCGCATCTCTCTAGACAGGTTCATTTTGTAGCCTGCACTGCAGGCGACAAGATTTTAATGTCACGCATGTTCGTCGGTGCAACACTCACCACCAACATGCATTGATGGAATCGTAACTATACACTCCTGTCAAATCAACAAGAGCTTGGAGTAGCCAAATACGGCTGTACCAACTACTACTAAGTACTCCTAACCAATACTATACATTCTGCTCACACGCGACACGTATGTACACGTAGCTAGCTTGTTGCAGTAATAGTAGCTACTAGTAGGGTTAACCAAACTGCTTTAGATATTTACCGTTACCCTACGATTTAACGGTTACTGAACAAGGTACACCAAACTATATATTTTAGATGAGTTTATCATCACTCAAAGTTTAACGGTTATCACGGTAACCGTGAGTTTCTTTCTCGTGAAAATCGGTTACTACGAGATATACAGTAGTTTTAGAAACGCGAAAATAATGCTGTTACCGCAGTAACTTTGTGTTTACTGTGAAATCATGTGATTACTGCGAGGTATATCATAGTAATTTTAAAAACCGATAATATTACCGCACATGATAATTTTGTAAACCGTTTTTCTGTCCCTATCACACTCCTGGAATTGGTTTCGCCCGGGAATTGGTTTCGCCTGAAGCATCGGACCAATGATCACCCATGACTTCTGTTTACCACTACTGCCGCAAAGGGTCCTAAGTCCTAAAGGCATTAGCACTGCGTCGTGTTTTTCTGAGGAGCCTAAACAGCCACGTACGAAGAAACAGCGTGAAGCTCCCCTCTCCACAATGCGGCGTGGACGCGTGTCTTTAGGTGGACCCCACCAAACTGTTTCTCATGTGGGCCCCACCACAAAAATTTACTTTTTTGGGTCAGCTTCTCCCCCTTCTCTCTCTGTGTCATGCTTTCTCATGTGCAAATACGATTAAAAAAGCTGTTTTTCTGACGAGGCTCTCGGAGCCAAATGAGGACGCGCGGAGCTGGTGAATATATGGGCCTCACCTTCTTTTCTTCTCCACGTATACAATCTGCTTAGCTGGACAATTGAGGCCAAATGCCATGTAGATGTATTGTGAATGGCCTAACATGATTGTCACACTCTTACGTGGAGTTGTCAACTTGTCACGCCAACATTCAACTCGGACAAGCGGCAGCTTAATTATACCCGAATCCGACAGGGTGCAAGTACCAAAACCAGCTCGCTACCACAGTGGAGTTACACCCAAAAGTGTGAGCCTTCTCCTGTTTCTTCCACTTTCACGTACTACAATGAGATCGAGCAGCCACGCAGATACTCCTGGCTAGCATATCGCCCGCAATTACTCGCCAAAAATTGGACCACGCTTGTCAAGCTCAAGCTACTCCACTTCACTTCACATCATACCCACCAAAACGCAACACCCTAACTATAGCTGGCTAGCTGCAGTTTCACCAACTTTGCGAAGCTGTGCAAACACAGTGCATGCATGCGCGACATGGCGTGACACCGACACGTACGTCAGTACGTGATGTCAATACCACCAGCGCCCGGACGCCAACGAGCTGATCGCGTAGGAGACCGCCGCGGCGTTGGCCCGACGAGACGCGGCAGAAGGCGCGCGCTGCACCGCGCGTTCCACGTCGTCTGGCATCGCGGCGGCGGCGGCGGCGGCGGCCGGGCCGGGCGCGTCCAGGAAGAGGCTCTCGACGTCGTCGACGAAGCCCACGTCGTCTGGCAGGCTACGCAGCACGTCATCGTCGACGGAGGCGGCGGCGACGTCGTCCGACGACGTCGACCAGCCGTCGGCGGCGGCGTCGCGGGCGCGGCGGGCAGGGTACCTGGCCTCGAAGTCGGCGCGGTCCATGCAGAGCGCCGGCAGGATCTCGGCGATGGCGTGGTCCGCGTCGTCCGCGTCACGGAGCGACGGGCAAATCGCCGGCGGCTCCCAGTCGTCGCAGGGCTCCATCTTGGGCCGGAGAAGTGACTCCGAGCCTGGAGGCGCCGCCGGCTGCGGCGGCTCCAGCTCCGGCTCGGTCTTGCAGACGGACGGTGGCTGCGGCGGCGGCGGCGGCGGCAGGTGGTCCGTGTAGGTGTAGCAGCTGGCGTCGAAGTTGGTGACCGCGCTGCGGCCGCGGAGCTGTATCGCCGCCAGGTCGTAGGCCGTGGCTGCCTCCTCCTGGGTATCTGCACGTACAGAGCAAAAGAAACATCCATCTTTCAGGGGGCACATTCTGTGGGCCTTTGTAACAGTAGCCGTGCAGTACGCAGCACTGCAGCAGTAGCATTCTTCAAGCATCACATTGTGCCAAAGAGAAAGGCAGCATTGCATGCATGACACGACAAATTAACAATCACGAAAGCGAATAACATACGACACGAACATATGTGGTGGTACTGATACATGTGCATTGGTTGTCCATTGTTAACAAACTGCAGTTTTCATGGCGTCAGGAACAGAATGTAGCCGGTGAACAAAACCAAGAACGCGTTACCGAATGTTCCCAGGTAGAGGTATTTCTTGCCTACAGCTCGGCCTATCCTGGCCTCCCACCGGCCGTTGTGGTGATGCCTGCGGTGACAAACATGGGCATTGCAGTCAAATGTTGAGACTACTCCTACTAGTAGAGCTTAGCCAAGGCAAAAGAACTTCAACCCGGTTTTTGGCATTTCAATTTTCACAGTACTAGTAGCACACCGTATTCTCATGCCAGATTTGCCAGTATCACAGTATGCCATTTGGAGAACCAAGAAATGGGTTTTGGACGGAAAAGAGGTACTAGTACTACTGGGCTATGCAAAGGACAATGCTTAGCTAGTGCTTGATTGGACAGTACAGTGATATTGCATGACAATGTATGCTTACTTTGCCACTCCCCTGTACTTGGAGACACCCCTGGAGAAGCCACTGCTCTTGCGCCTCAGAGTAGCCAGGTACTCCTCCCTTGTCATTCGCTGCATCCTCTCAAGCTCCTTCCTGTACGTGTCAATCTGCATTTATCACAAATGGGAGCTTAACAAGTTAACATCATCTCCTCCTTAATTAGTAACGGCGAATTAGTGCTACTGGGAAATGACAGGTGCTGAAACACTCTGAACTTTACCGGGAAGTTTAGGACATGGTCTGAGCCCCAGATCTTGAGTGCCGCAAGATCATAAGTGCGAGCTGCAGCCTCCTCTGTGTCATAAGCTCCTGCAAAGAAACAATGCTAATGGCTTAATCCGTGTATTTTCAGCATGTTCTACATAAAAAAAAATGTACTGGTAGCGAGTGAGAGCATGATCTTGATGATTCTGTTGAAGTTGTAAAAAATGTATCTTGACGCATGCATGGGGACAGGCAAAATGCAGTACTTTTCCACTTTACCCAAAAGTGTTTCTTCTTTACTCTCTTTTCCAAGAAAGAAAGAATTACTCTCTTTTCCAAGAAAGAAAGAACAAAGTAGCTGCGGATTCAAAGTTATTCTGAAGAAAGAATATGTGCATGGTACTAGGACGGCAATGGAATTCGGAGCCATACACGCTAGTGATAATTTGTGAATCATAGCGAAGAAAAAGTTTGTGAACTTTTCCCACGATGTGAAGAGGATCTTGACTCACCCAGATAGACTAATGGAGGCGATGAGACATCAGACATGGATGAGCATCGATCACCACACGAATTCCGAGGCAGAAGGAAACACCGCATTTGCAACACAAATTAAAAAAGATCAGCACATAAGCTAGCAGGAATACAAAATGACCTAACAATAACCAAAGAAAGAGAGAACAAAGAAAAACAAAATGGCAATCAACTTGTCCCATTAGCTGCAGAAAACATAGTAGACCCGAGGCTCGTAGAATTTGTATTTCTCACCTTGCCTGCCTCTCTTCCTTGTCTGGTTTGGGTTCCAGCCTTGCTTGTCCCACAGGTGCGCCTCGTACTTCCCTGAACCCCTGTGCCTACACACCAGCAACACACAACAAACGACGCATTCATCAGAAACCAAGCAAAGATCACGCAAACAACTGCGAACTGATCATCAGAGCAAGAAAAAGGAATCGAAAACGCAGACCTTGCCACGCCCTTGTAGATGGAGGATCCCTTCCTCGGCGCAGCAGCAACGGCGGCGTCGTCGTCGTCACCGCCGGTGCCATCCTTGGCCCTCTTCCTGTGCTTACTCTTCTTCTTGCCGCTCTCAGTGCGCGGCGGCACAATGCAGGAGGACGCCGTGGAGGAGGAGGAGGAGGAGGACCGAGGAGGGGAAAGCAAGGTGGTTGCAGCTGCAACAGCAAAGGCCTTCTTCTTCTTCCTCATGGAGACCATGGCTTTTGTTGATAGCTCCTGCAAGGCCCCTGTTTGCTTTCCTCCTTGGCAACAAAGACAACAGACAAGGGTAGTGGGTGTCACCGGTGAAGTGAACCTGCCTATATAGGGAAGCAAGGAGGAGGACTGTACTGACTACTGAGACTGATCTGGAGTACTCCTAGTGATCTGAGAAGGGAGGCAAAGGTCTGGGCACTATAGCTTCCACCCCGAGCGCCACGACACTTGGCGTGACGCCGCCGTGGCCAGGCGTGTGGGGGCGACGGGCGTTTTTACGGTCAAGGTCTCGGAAAATGCTGGGTACCTGCGCGCCGTGAAGTGGAGTGGTGCCTCCATGCAGGTGCGCACCACCACTCGCGCGCGGCTGTATGGGACTCCACTGCACAAGGAGAGGTTTGCTTAGCGCATTGCGACTCTTGCCGTCATGCGTCTCCGCGGGGGCCAAGCGTCTGTGTCGCACGATGACACGTTTGCGCGTACGTGTGTGGCAGAGGCAAATATGCGGACGTAGCTGCGTAGGTGAGTATTTATACAGCCGCGTTGCCGCGCGCGGAAAGGAAAAGAACATGTCTCGACGTGTCGTGGTCAGGTTTCCCTACCGTTTTCGACGTGGATATCGCACTCCGTGATAAGGTGGTTACCGTGAAAACCGCGCGATAACCACGAGACATATCGTGATTTTAAAAACTGAAAAAGTAACCGTGCATGATAATTATTGTAACCATTATAACCGTGTGGTAATCGTACGGTTTTGTAAATCCTGTACTGAAATGTTTCAAAGAGGGTTGAAACTAGCAAAGTCATTTTTTTCCTATTAAAGTTAGGGATGGTTTGGTCCTACAATTACGTTTTTTTTACCGTGATTCACCTGCTTACCGCTCTATATTCTTTTCTCTTTTTTTTTTGAGAATACCGCTCTATATTCTCGATAACATTAATCGAGAAAATTCCTTGTTACCCTAAACTGGTCTCCAATTGCTCCAGCTATTGGGCCTGAACGTTAAGAGGACTATTATATGTTTAGTTGGCCCGCCTACTGCAGGCTTCATACGCGTGCCTGTCCTGGACCAAGTAACACGCCTATTGGGCTCGTTTTTTTCCCGGGAGGAATAAGTTCACATTAGGTCCCTCAAAATTGTCACCGAGTCCGAAATTCGTCATGAACCACAATAACAGATATGATGTGTCCCTCAACTCCCAAAACCAGTGCAAATAAGATTCCAAGGTGGTTTGAACGACAGTTTCGACTGACATGACGCCTACGTGGGGTTGATATGGCACTTAAAGTAAAAAAAAACATGAGACCCACCTATCAGTAAGTGTTCGATTAATAATTAAAAAATACAGTGAGACCCACTTGTCGCCCCCTCTTTCCCCTCTTTTATCCCTTTCATCATCGTCATCGTCGACGGCGGTGGTGGTAGAGTCGGCGAGACGGAGATGCGCCAGGGAGGAGGTGGTGATGGTGGGTGGTAGACAGTCAGGGTTGTAGGCCTCGTCGGCTAATGTCTGCTACTCGCCAGCGTCGGGAGGAAGTGCGAATCATTGCCGAGGTGGTGGCGAAGGAGGTTTGGAAATCGGCAGCAGTGTCATCCCGTGTGGAAGGTGGGCAGACTGAGGCGCGCGTTCGCGGACGGGCAGCAGGTGGTAGTGTCGGTGCCTGACCAAGTACGCGAAGGAGAAGCGTAGCGAGGAAATCGCAGGCTGATGACGAACAAGAGAGTTAGAGAATGGGGGAAGAGGAGAGATGGTTGTTGACTTGTTGCTTGCTTGCCTAGGGAGGGGGAACGAAGTGAGCACCTTAGAGGTTCTAGAGCTCCTGCACCTCACCGATTAGCTGTTGTAGCACCGCCACCTCCCTCATCTCCCTCCCGCCACCGCCACAACGACACCACCTCCTCGCTTTGCCATTTCCTCCTTCTCCTACTGGATGCCGGTCATCGCCCCTGTCCATGTCATCCACGGCTTGCCTCCCCCTGGTGAGGATGGGGAAGAGAGGGGAGAGAGGAGAGAGAAAGAAGGAAATAGTTGGTTGCTGACATGTTAGGCTCACATGGGTCTTATGCTGATTAAATACAATTGGCCAGAGTCAAAGCGTCACATCAAACGAAACTGGAGTCACTGAGCCATTCTGTCTTGGGATGAAAGTTGACACAGTTTGGTAGTTCGGGGGTGGGTTATACCTAGTATTGGGGTTTAGTAACGAATTCCAAACTTAGTTAATGTTTTTTATCTTCTCTCATTAAATCACATCATCCACCTCTTCTAATTTTTTTATGATTAATTTATAGTCCAAATTATTTATCTCATTTTTTCTCTCATTAAGTCACACCATCTATTTTTTTACTTTTGTATTATCAATCTATATACTATTTGAATTATCATAAACCACATTTAGAGCCTTTTCCAATGATCGATAAAAAAACAAATTCTATAAACTTGTCATTTAGCTATCTTAGACGTTATTTCTACTATTATCATATGATGTTATTTCTATAAACTTGAGCATTTTTTTTTGTAAAAGGCAGCGCCGTACCAAAAGGCACATAGCTAATCAGTTCCAGCCATATTTCACAACCTGGGGGCCAATCAACCGCAGAGCCGAGCGCCACTCGTACTGGCTGCCCAATCGCCCCCACCAAGTACCAAACCACCTCAACGCAACGAGGCGTACGCGCGCCGGCGGCGTTCGGTCTCGCGCCGTGGTATTGCCATTTGCCAATGCCCAGTTGCCACACCTCCTCAGGTCGATCGGACGGACGACGCGAGCGCGACAGGGCCACCACCAATTCACCCACCTTTCACCTCGACGCACCACCGGGCGCAAGCGCAAGCGCAAGTGCGGCCGGGTGACGTCGCGGCAATCATTCCATCCTACGCGCGCCGCGCAAGTGACCGCTCGCGCGCCTTAGCCTGGCCAGTGGCAGCAGCCGACACAACGACTCGCCCCCATTTGGACGCCCACGACGAAGCCACGACCGGAGCCAAAGAGGGGAGATGATCCCGGCCGGCTTTGTCTGCGAATGGCGCACTCGGTTTTGCGATCGGATCGGACCGACCATGCACCAGCGGAACAACGCCGTTGACAGCGACCGGCAACATGGGAAGCGTCAGTTGGAACACATAAACCGGCACTAGCGCGGTTGCATCGAGGGGACGCAGTTTGCAGTATATTGCATGTTTGCGTCGCCGTGATATGAAATCGTGGTAATCTTAGCTCACACGAGATCAGGTCTCGAACCGACAAAATCTCGCCGATGGACGACGCTATCGCGCTACACGCCAATTTGTTGTGCGATCCTTGATGCTATAAGCGTGTCACAAATCACGTAGAGATCACGGGACTAGCAGGCATCAGGCAAGGTGCATGAAGATTTTTTGTTTTTTAAACACTCGACACAGCTGCCACACGAACACGCGTTGGACTTAACCATCATTGTTTGTGTTGGATGTGAGAACTTAACGCAATAATATAATCATTGTGCGCGATGATACAGTGATACATCCAAATTTTTTAAAAAATAATCAGGTGGTAGGATCAGGCCGGCCTGGCGTCCTTGAAGAAAGGCTCTGTTTTATTAAGGAGATCAGCATGATCAAGCTGCTTATCTTTTGATGAGAAAAGTTACACGCGGCGAGATTGCTTCAAGGAAACATATGAAAAGGAGGCAAGGCGCCTGCAGAGAGTGACAAGCAAAGCTTTAAATATATTTAAATTTAAAACTTAAAGAGTTATTGTGTAGATGGTTGCCATCATTTATATCATCACGCCGCATTATAATTGCTTTAATTTGTTGGATGTAGTAGTAGCACATCGCTTTCACTTTCCTCTTGTTAATGGAACAGTGCATCCAAAAATTAATAGTATAACCTTACTTGCCGGCTTCCCCAAGTCCGAATTCTTGATGACAAGGTTTGAGTTCGAGCACTAAACTAACCAAACGATTAGAACTGGTTACCAGTATACACATTATCTGCCGTCCAAATATCTTAACAAAAATGGAAGCGGCCTGCCAAAAAAAAATTGAAGCCTACAAATGGAGACACATGGTCGAATTTTCTACCCACATGATGTGAATGCTCACATTTACAGCTACTCTCTTCATTTCATCCGGTTCGATCGCTATATTATGGACGGAGGGAGTAATTATTATTTCAGTAGGAAGCGACGTATCCGCCGATAATAATGTACATCGTCAATTTTAAAATATATCGGTCCAGTCTCTCGAAGGTGCTTATATAGTAGGGTGTGAGTTGACAGGAGCGAGTGTGCGTGTGTAGGGGTGGGCGTTCGGTCTGACTGAAAAATTCGGTCCCGGTCTTCGTTCATTCGTTCATTTCGGTTTTTGAAAAATCAGGACGGAATTTCATCCAAGAAACTCAGGACCGGCAAATTCGATCTCGGTCTCGGTCAGACCGATTCGCTGGAGACGTTCGGTGGCTCGGCGACAAGGGCTAGTGGCGAGGCCACGGCGGAGCCCAGCTGGAGGTGGTGCTTGTCGGGGCCGTGGCGGAGGCGGGCTGGCTGGAGGCGGCGCCAAGGCGGACGGCGGCACCTGTTGGGGCCGTGGCGGAGCTCGGCTGGAGGCGGCGCCGAGGCGGATGGCGGCACCCGTCCGGGCCGCGGCGGAGCCTGGCTGGAGGCGGCGCCAAGACGGTCGGCGGTGCTCGTCGGGGTTGCAGCGGAGGCGGGTTGGCTGGAGGCGGCGCTCATCGGGGCCATGGCGTAGGTGGGCTGGCTAGAGGCGGCGGCGGCACGATGGATGCCCGCGGAGGCGATGCGGCGCGATGGGCGGAGGCGGCGCGATGGATGGGGATCGGAGGCGGAGGTGGCGCGATGGATGGGTTGAGGGCGTCGCGTGACTCATGACTAGGAGCGGTGACTTCTAGGGTTTAGCAATTTACTGGGCTTATTGGGCCTCCTAGGCCTATTGGGCCACAATTCGGTTTTCTCGGTTAATTTAGTTAACTGAAGCCAATAACCGAATTGTCCGAAAAAAATTTGGTCTTTTGAGGGCTGAGACCGAATTTCTCGGTCTCGGTCTTTTCGGTTCGGTTCTTCGGTTCGGTCTTATTTTGTCAACCCCTATGCGTGTGTATGTAAGCGTTTGCGTTTATAATGTGTTTTCTAAAAAAAAATATTGACTTAATTTTGCAACATATAATTTGAACATAATTTAAATTTCCAAAACAAATTCTGGACATAATAGTGCAGTTTTGAAGTTGCCAGATAAATTTACAGCGACAAGAGGCTCAAAAAGTTAAACTAGATAAACAACTTGGCCTCGATGCTAGATTGCTATCTCTATTAGTAGGATGCATCTTTAGAAGTTCAAATAAAATACGTGATGTGTTGTTTGGTTTGTTTTGGTTGGTTTAAGGAATCCTGATAGTGGGCAAGCCTCTCGGGATAGATGTCAAGAACCAAGCTATAGAAACACTTCTACTCATAGGAAAATCTTAGAAAATCCCTCGAAAGAGAGGTTCCAGAACTCATCTAGGAGTTCGCATGTTATGGCTACATTTATTTACTTACCACTAGATGAGCACTAGCTCCAATTTCGTTGAAGCCAAGTTAATCCCTGGACTATTTTCTTTAGAAAAATCATGTGCACCAGACATGATGATACTGTGGTAATTTAGAGGAAAAGAAAGAAAATATACACATTTCTTTTACGTTAGGTCGACCAATTCAGTTTAGTATCATGATTTTTTGGATATTGTTTTAAATCCATTTTCAACTTTATAATAATTACATCGAATAATCATAAAAATATGCCTATTTTTGAAAAGTGAAATTTATAGAATTTTCACATTAATTAATATAACCATAAAAAAGGGCATTTTGGATTTTTTTTATGGAAAACAGCAGGAGCCTCCCACTGCAGTATATTAAGTAATCAGAAGTTTATAGACAAGCATTTAACACCGTGTTTTCTTAATTTTACAAGGATATTATTCGAATGATAGTTCTAGTGGCTCTTTTTAGTTTTCTAATATCAGTCTTCCTAGATAGAAAAAGGCAAATAAAAAAAGAAAAAGGTTTGAACCAAATTTTATTTTCAGTAAAGGACACGAGAAAATGATGAATAGCCAACGTGCCCCCACTTCGCATCCCCCGCTTCCATCTCCATATCTATTTCTCTCTTCCCGCACCTACTACTACACTCCTCCCTGGTCCCAACTTCCAATCTGCAAGAGCGACTGAGAGACACACACACACAGAAACGGCAGCGCGAGCCGCAGGCACATCGTCTCCTCGGCTCCTCGCCCCGCGCCGGCCGCCGGCGAGAAGGGCCGCAGCCCGCGGCCAACGGACGCACGGTGTGCACGGCCTCCTCTCCCTTACCGACGCCGCGCTCCTCCCTTGTGCGCGCGGCCTGGCCTGACCGACCTCCTCGCCTGCACCGCGGCGACCGGGGACAAGCAGGTCGGTCTGCCTGCCGGGGCTGAACGCGGCTGGATCGAATTCAATTGTGAAGGTATCCATTCTTTACCTCGTAGCAGCAGAAATCTCGTCTCGATCATGGGGAGCCAGACAATGGCGTCGAAGGCCGGAGGCGGGGGCGTCGCGCGGCGCGGAGGAGGGCGGATGCGGAGTCTGGGGAGGCAGGGATCCATGTACAGCCTCACCCTCGACGAGGTGCAGAGCCAGCTGGGCGAGCCGCTGCACAGCATGAACCTCGACGAGCTGCTCCGGAGCGTGTTCCCTGACGGCCTGGCCATCGCCGACGGTGCCGGTGCCACCACCAGTAGCCAGCAGCATCAGCCGGGCTCGGGCCTCCTGCGGCAGGGGAGCATCACGATGCCGCCTGAGCTCAGCAAGAAGACGGTGGACGAGGTGTGGAAGGGGATCCAGGCTGCTCCGAAGAGGAATGCCGAAACGGGCGGCGGCGGCGGCGGAGGTCGACGGCGGCGAGAGAGGCAGCCGACGCTTGGGGAGGTGACGCTCGAGGATTTCCTGGTCAAAGCTGGGGTTGTCACCCAAGGATCTCTCAAGGAGCTTAGTGATGTAGGCAATGTGGATCCGGTTGGAAGAGGTGTTACAGCAACCGGGACTGTGGATCTGGCACCTGGATCACACTGGATAGAGCAGTATAAGCAGCAGATTGCATCTACTGATGCTCATCACCATGGGCAGCAAGGTGTGCAGGGTGCTTATTTTCCGAATCGATTGGTCCCTCAGCCACTTAATGTTGGCCCCGGTGCTATTCTGGAGCCATCCTACTCTGATGGCCAGACTTCTTCAGGAATGATCGGCGGAATGTCCGATTCGCAGACGCCTGGAAGGAAGCGAGGCATGTCAGGGGATGTGGCAGATAAGTTGATGGAGAGAAGGCAGAAGAGGATGATCAAGAACAGGGAGTCAGCTGCCCGTTCAAGAGCCAGGAAGCAGGTGCAATATGTGTTTTACACCTTTCTATTTGTGGCAAATTTTTAATTAGCATTGTTCTTGCTGCATATGATGATTAAGAAGGCCACTGTTACTTTAAATTTAGTTTCTTCATGTGACCTGTGAGTTTGTGTATTACCCACATGATTGCATAATTACATTTCATTTGTGACAGGCCTACACTAATGAACTTGAAAACAAGGTTTCTCGTTTAGAAGAGGAGAATGTGAGGCTAAAGAGGCAAAAGGTACTGTCTTTTCCACTGCAATTATATCAGAATGTTGCAAATTTCCCCTATCAAGTATTTTTCCCCGGTGCATGCTTGTCCTATAAATTAACCAATTAATTCTTCCCTAATTTGTCTTCACTTTCTGCCTCTGAATAGGAGTCAGACTATTTGGTAAGTGACAGGAAATAAATACTATCACTTGTACTGTCTCTTATGTCTAGTTTTTACTATTTCATATTGTCAAGCTACCTTGTTGATATGTACTTGTCATACATCACTAAGACCCTTTTATGGCCTTACTACACCTTATGATTTTTCAATGTTTTCACAGCTCTATAATAATAATATAATCTTAAGTATTTGCTTCCACCACTTGAGGTGACTGTTTTTAGGTAGGACTGTAGGAGTGAGCCATATACTGTTCATTCTATTAGTTGATCTAATTATTAGGCATGTCCCGTCAAGCATTTATTTGAGCCAGTATCTTATTTGTGCCTGAAGGGAGGAAACTAATTTTCTGGTGGATATTGGGGGTATCTTGTATTTTTCCTTAAATATCTTCGAAAAGACTACCTTATACTATTATTCACTCTAAGTCGATAATAAAATGGGGCAGCATTATACTAGGAGTAATCTTGTGATGGAAAACATAGAAATACATCGCAGTCTAATCAACAGCAATATTATCATCTGGTATGATGAGCTGTACTACTTCATAGGTAGTGTATCAAGTTACAATCAAGAGGTCTTCGTCATGGTCATTGTTTGTGTGTAGGAATTGTCTTCTGCATGTCAACTTTTGGATGACTGTCCAATAAAGTAACTTCTTACCTATGGCATTTGAAGAATTCTGCTTGCAGAATACTGTTGTGGACTCTGGTTCTAACATATTGCATCTCTGGTTCTAACATATTGCATCCCTCTGACTAATTGGTTAGCTCCTCAAACAAAGCAGTGTTAGCAATAAAAGATATTTTCTAAGTTATTTTGATCCCATTAACCCTGGATGGCCATGCGTCTTTTAAGCATCCTTCGTACTATAGGAAGATTAGCAAGGATCCAACGGACTGAATCATGTCCCTGGAAAGCTAGAAGTATTAATCTCATGTCTATTTATATTTCATATTTTTCTGGTACCACATTGTTTCAGTGCATCTGATGTGGCAAGAAAATTGGCAGTAGTACTCCTTTAATGATAATTCAAAGTTTTAGCACTTGCCACTGGATATCAATTTAGCTAGTACTATATATTATGCTAATTTTGTGCTTAATCCTACTATCAGCCAAACACTGTCCTGTTCCATATATTTTACACCATATATTTTTGTATTCTGATGATGCCATATTGGGTTACTTATCCATACACAGCATTGACTTGTTTTCCCCTCTCATGCTATCTTCAGGAGTTGGATGAATTAATTTGCGCTGTGCCTGTACCAGAACCCAAGTATCAACTCAGGAGAACAAGCTCCGCAGATTTCTGATCATGCCCGCAGTATTTTATTTTATAGTTTTTGAAGTGCTCTTGCTTGTAAGTTTTGCCTCCTGGGGTTTAGAATCATTTCCTAGCTTCTTCTTGGCTTATGTCTAGCTTAGTGATTTGTATTGTGTAGATTAGCAGGAGCCTAGTATGTGTTCTGGTAGCACTGCTATCTTTCTGAGGCCTTGCTACTTTCCTAGCTAGGAGTATGTAAATTTGCTGGACACATCTAGGTTCTCAGAGCTTTCTTATACTTGGTGGTGACATCGGCTGCTCTTCCATAGAACTGCAAGGAGGATGCAATCTTTAAGCCCAAATACTTCACTAAGATGAAGGGTTGTAACATTACTGTAAAATTCAATTTCTGGATAGAACTAGCTGGACTATGATCTGATTGTTGAGATATCTATCCTTGTCAGAAATAATTATTTTGGCTAATTTATGTTAGTGCGAAAAATGGTGGTTAACTTCATATGTCGCTGTCTGTCTCCAACATCATCTGCTATCAGTTGCTGAAACATACTTATCCTGAATGCCCCTGCTGTACTCACTGCATCACATCCTGAACCCGGTGTTCGTCAGATGCCATTTCGAGCAACAGTTCCCGCAGCAGCATCTGTTGGTGAAACATCTTTTACTCTTGGAATCTAGGATGCGATTTGTTTCTCTCTTTTTGTAATTTTCACAGCACGAATCTCATCCCATTCAAATCAGAATCTATAGAAGAAAACAAAAAAAAACATCCGTATATGTCATTCTCACATTATCCAGATGATGATAGATTGATGCTTTGATAGGACTTGCTCCCTTGGCAGCTCGGGTCTTCTCATATGTTGTGGGCTTGAGAATCATAAGAGTTCGGATTAACACCAGCAATCAAATGCTTGTTATATATACTTCTTCGATCTGAAATAAGCTAGTAGTAATTAAATGCAATAAGCTAGTAGTAATTAAATGCTTATTGTATATTTCCTCCGTTCCAAAATAAGTGAACTAGTAAAGAGCACTAGTAAAATACTCCCTCATTTCTTAAATGTTTGATACAGTTGACTTTTTTAAACATGTTTGACCGTTCGTCTTAAAACTTTTGTGAAATGTGTAAAACTATATGTATACATAAAAATATATTTAAAAATAAATCAAATGATAGAAAAAGAATTAATAATTACTTAAATTTTTTAAATAAGACGAATGGTCAAAATTTTTTAAAAAAGTTAACGGCGTCAAACATTAGGGAGTATGTTGGGAGCATCGTTTTAAGAAGAGCGGTTGTAATGCGGTACAGAGCAGTCTGTGCAGGCGTCTTTCACGTGTACGTTTACACTGGCAACATAGCGTAAAGCTGGAAAATACGTTTTGACCTTTAGTAAGCGGGAAATCTGTTGAAAAGCTGAGGTGCGAGCGTGACGGTGATGGAGGCAGCAGTAAGTCAGCGATTGGGCGAGGAAGTCGGGGAAGGGATGAGCCGGGCCAGTGCCAGTCGACCGCCGCCGCAGCTGCCGCCGCCGGCGAGCGGAAGCGGCGGCCGCCTCGCAGTTCTCGCGTCTCATTTGTCCCAATCTTCTCGGACGGCCGGCGAAAAGGAGGCCGCACTCGCCGCCGGCCCCTCCGACGGACCAACCATGTCAGTCTCTCTGTATCTCTCTCTCTCATCTATGCGCATCATGATGTCTTGTTCACTTGACCAGTTCTGCGAGAAATTTGTTCTAGTAAGCGCACGGAAGATATTGGATGTTGGATGAACAGATTCTATTGTGCAGTTTCGGTACCGGGGGCTGTAAAATTTGTACAAAAATGTAGCTCGAGCATGAGTTATTAGGTTAATGCAGTTCTGATCGTTATATAATTTGAATAACCCTTTAGATTGATTATGTGGGAGGAGTTGATTCGCTAAGGAGATCAAACTATCAAACCGGTGCTTAGTTTTTTTTTTCGGTTGTAAGCATCCATGTTTATGGGCGGACACTGCAGAAACCGATCCTCTTCATAATGGGGGAGGTTAAGCACTGCTTGTGGGGGTTAAGTGCAGTAATAATAATGGATTTTGGTGCGTTTGCATAGCTATAAACATCCTGGGAAGAAACATCTGAAGATCAGGGCTAGATCAGCGCAAAATATTCTTGCTCAGAGTTAGGGGCCTGCATTTTCCTTGGATGTCTGGGTTGCTGGTTAGATTTGAATTATGTTGGATAGCTAATAGTAACTAACTTCACCTGGTTCTAGAATGAATCGAGATCTTGAGATATCTGAGAAATGTAGAATGCTGTACTGGGCTTATTCAAATGGTCCCTCATGCTGCAGTGCAGCTGTGGCCACCAATTATATACGGAGAGAGTAATTCTTCAACAGAAGCTCATTTATTAGAACAGAGCCACATAACAATTGAGCAATGCTTGATTGCATCAGCATCTGGTAGCAAAAGTACAAAATATTAATACAACAACCCATGTAGACTAGAAGTTGAGTTCCTGCACATCAAGTGATATTTATATGAACATGCATTTTTTATTCTTGCATGATATCTAATTGTAGAGAATTGTTCTGCGATAACTACTACTATATAACATAGCAGGTCAAGCTTCTTACATTTCTAAAATCTGCCTACTAGTCAGCGTTTGCTGAATATTAATTTTCATCTATTTTCTTTGAGAAGGCTTTACCACAGTTGTTCTGGTTGTGTTTACTATTTTATCCCCTTCATGAAATGTGGATTTCCATGGATGACCTTTGACCTTTCATTCAGACACCTATTTCTCTTCCTTGCAGTTTTGACAAAATTTTGCGGAAAGAGATCCCATCTCAGGTGGTTTATGAGGATGAAAAGGTGAAGTCTCTTCTGTGCTATAGGGATAATTTTCTTATATACAATGTCTATGAAAAACACCCTTTCTTCAGTCTTAAAAGTTAACGAGCTATTTGCAGGTTTGTTTTTGTCAGCCCTACACCATAGTTCTCTTCTCCAAAACGGGAAAGAGTAAATTTCACAAAGCAACGACTTATTTTTTTGGGGTCAAAATTGTCATAAGAAAACCACAACCTTCTGTTCCAACTTCACAAAACTACAACTTTGGAACAGTAACTATTGAAAATCTACAACACTGTCACTCATCCTGTTATCGGACATCTGGAGTCATCCTGTTAGCCACACCCCACCTCCTACTTAGTACACAATAACTGGGCAAGCTGCACACAATGAACGGCCATGCCAACTCATCCCCCTATCCCCGCTACATCTGGATGTACTTATCAACCATAGCGATACATGTTCTTTTCCCTTCAGTTCGCATTTCAAAATAGAGGGCTCAAAGGTGGAGCAGGTGAGAATCATCAAGGCGGTGCTGCTCAACAAAGGCATTATCACAGAGAGCCGTTCCAGAGTTAGCAACTTAGCATGTGCTAATGGAAGTTTGATTGTTTGTCGTACTAGTGGGACCAATGTCATATGATTTAGTTTTAGTTTTTCAATATTTATTCTTGCAAAGTTGTGCTTTCGTGAAGTTAAATAAAAAAAAAGTATACTTTTTAACCGGTTTTATGATTTTTTTTAATGCGGGAGAAAGCATTACTCATCTTCTGGGAACACAACAGATTTGTGTGTCATCACATTAGATGAAATGAAGGTTCCAAAGAAAGGTTCGAGATGTACATGTTATTTCATTTATATTTATCTCACTAGTCACCTGAAAGAATTTTGTGCCGTGGTCGAATTCTTTGTTCACATTCACAGCTAATATTGATATGGAAGGTTAATTATCCTCTCTCCATTCAGTGTTCATGAAAAGAACTGTTCTAGTTTTCTGGCTCGGTCCCCGTGATAACTAACTTTGGTATCTGCATTAATTAGTAATCACTGCTATGTACTAACTAATTCGTTTGTTGTTTGCTTGAACATGATTGTGAATGAAAATGAGCTGCTAATAGGTCACGTTTTGAATCTTATCAGTGCAGACCCTTGCATTCAGAGACATATCACCCCAAGCTCCAGTACATATTATAATAATTCCCAAGGTTAAAGATGGATTGTCTAGGCTCTCAAAGGTACTTAGTTTCATCTTATCTTTTAAACATCGTAATGGGTTCTATTTAGTTGATTCCATCTTGAATTCTTCATATGTGAAGTTCACAGTGAGCTATGTACCCAGTTCACTAGAATGAGTGTTATGGCAGAGTGGTAGATGCTTGAAAATAGTAGACTATTGCCTCTTTTTACTAATGGATAATAATCTCTCTCTCTCTCTCTCTCTCTCTCTCTCTGTAGCTTTGTACCTTAAGTTCAATATTATACCTTAGGCTTCTTGGATCTAACACAACATTTTACTTTTTTTTCATCCTCATGTCCGTAACATACTACGGATTAGTAACTATAAAACTCTACCAACTCGCTAAGAGGCCGGGCACTGCCACGCAGGTCATCCGCTCATCTACCATGTTAATATATCTTGCCGACTTGCCGTGTACACGTTGATTGTGGTAAAATAATTTATAAGAATCATGATATCACATTTCAACAAATCATGATCCTTGAGTAGCCACATTATTTTGCTGAATGATACTACAACTGGCACCTATTTCAATTGTCATAGGCAGAAGAAAGACACGTTGAGGTTATGGGCCATCTTCTTTACGCTGCTAAGACCATTGCAAAGCAGGAGAACCTTGATGATGGATTCAGGATTGTCATCAATGATGGGCCTAACGGATGTGAGCATAAGCTTGATCCCATTGAGACGGTGAGGCCTTTCTTATTAAGATAGTTGGACTGACTTTTTCTGTGTTATGTAGGTCAGTCTGTATATCACCTCCATATTCATCTTCTAGGGGGACGTCAGATGAACTGGCCTCCTGGATAAGTTGTATATTCCCAAAGAGGTGCTCTGTTATGAAAATGTAACCGGTAACATTCTCTTTATCTCCATCTGATGTGATGAGCAGTTTCCTTTATGGTATGTGCTCTGTAACTGCTATATACTGGTCTTAAGGTTTTCCGTTTCCTGTTTGCGACAACATAGCCATGTCAACAGATTGATCTCTGAAGCAGTGGCTAATTTCTATTGACAGCCGCAAGAGCATCCTTCTTCTCCCTGAATGAATGTTATCCCTGAAAGAATGCAGAAATGTTTTCGCGTGTGTTCTGACAATTCCTGCTAGATAACTGACTTTCGCATGTTATGCCAGAGTGCTTGACAACTCTACCTAAACTTGACAAAAAAAAAACGCGACAGCCTGAAACAGTGAAACTGTGAAACATTCTAATTATGCTGTGTTCCTTTTTGCAAGTTCTCAACTTCTTTTCGCACGCACGGTTCCCAAATTGCTAAACAGAGTGTCTTTTTTAGAAATTTTCTATATGAATTTTGCTTTAAGAAAATCATACTAATCCATTTTTCATTTTTTTAGATAATACATAATTAATTATTTGCTAAACTATTACTTCCTCCGTTTCACAATGCAAATCATTCTAGCATTTACTATATTCATATTGATGCAACAGAGGAATTACGTCGTTTTCCCAACCCATACCTCCGAAACACAGCCATAACTAGCAATCTGGCTTTGAGCCATAGTTGGAATCAGAGACAATCTCAGAAGAAATCACCGTACTTCAATTTTGAAACGGCAAAATTCCAATTTTGCATTCAAGCAGTTCGAGAATCATATGCGTCGATTTTTTCCAATCAGAAGGAGTAGGTCTCGTCGCTCTCGCGTCGCGTCCAGGTGCAGCCGTCGTTCTGTTGCAAGCGCATCGCATGTTGTACAGTACAAAATGGCCACCCACCCCCACCAAACACCTTTCACTACCACTCCTGCACAGCACAGCCTGCACTACACCAACCAACCACCAAAACCCTTCTTCCCCCATCGAAAGCCCATCTCACTCTCCTCCCCGCCGCCGCCGCCAAGCCTGCGCGGCGCCCTCCCCTCCCGATCGCCATGGCCTCCATGGCGTTCACCGCCGCCAAGTTCCTCCCTGCCACGGCGCCCACGCACCTCGACTCCTCCCCGCGCCTCTCCCCGCCCCGCGCCGGTAGCCTCTCCTTCTCCCCGCTCTCCTCGTCGTCGTCCGCCCTCCTCCTCCGCCTCCGATCCCCGTCCCCGTCTGGTCCGTCTGGGCCAGGTGGCAGGCTGCCCCCGCCGCCGCGCTCCTACGGCGGCGGCGGCGGATCTGGCGACGCCGCGGATTCCGGGGGCAGCAGCGGCGGCATCCTCGGCATCTTCCTCGCCGGGTGGGCGGCACGCGTCGCCGCGGATCCGCAGTTCCCGTTCAAGGTGCTCATGGAGGAGCTCGTCGGCGTCAGCGCCTGCGTGCTCGGCGACATGGCGTCCCGCCCGAACTTCGGGCTCAACGAGCTCGACTTCGTCTTCTCCACCCTCGTCGTCGGATCCATCCTCAACTTCGTCCTCATGTACCTCCTCGCGCCCACCGCCGGCGCCTCGGCCGCCGCGTCCGCCGCCGCGTCGGGGCTCCCCAGCCACATGTTCGAGGCCGGCGCCTACTCCTTGGGCTCCCGCGTCGCGACGCTGCTATCCAAGGGCGCCACGTTCGCCGCCGTGGGGTTCGCCGCGGGGCTCGCCGGCACCGCGATCTCCAACGGCCTCATCTCGCTGCGGAAACGCATGGACCCGGCGTTCGAGACCCCGAACAAGGCGCCGCCCACGCTGCTCAACGCCGCTACCTGGGCGATCCACATGGGGGTCAGCAGCAACCTGCGGTACCAGACGCTGAACGGCGTCGAGTACCTGCTCGCCAACGCCGCGCCGCCGTCGGTGTTCAAGGTGTCCGTCGTTGCTCTCCGGTGCATAAACAACGTGCTGGGTGGCATGTCCTTCGTGCTACTCGCGAGGTTAACCGGGTCGCAGAAGTCTGATGCGCCGGCCGCCTCGGCGACTGCGGAGGAGGAGAAGGAGAGGTTGATAGCCGTGGGCAATGACATTGCCGCAGACGCCGTCGGCGCGGGAAGGGATGGAGAGGGTAAGTGAGTGGATGCATAATGCATATGCTTGCTTGCTTGCATCGCTCAAGCTTCGTTTGCGGCTTCTTGGACATGGGCCAAGAAAGCTCTGTAGATGATAAGCCGGTTGGCTTGGCAATAAGGAGTGAGGCTTGAAACAATTTGTTCAGTCCATCTTTGGTGTTCTTGGTTTAATCTGTCGACATGCTTAGTTGATCTTAGAATAAAGCTTTACCTTTTTTCTGTTGCTCGTTTTGGTCACTGGCCTAACCGGGGGGATTACTTTGCGCGCGGTAACTTCAATTGCTTTGTTTGCATGCAATTCTGTGATCCGATCAGACCAACATTGTAGATGTAAGGACTGAACAAATGAAAATCTAAGCGTTGGGGGGTTAGTGATGTACAACTCAGATAAAATTCTCTAGTGTTTGCATAAGTGAATTGCTGTTTGTGTGTTTAAGTGCAGATAATTATGTCTGCACAGCCAGAACCAGACTTACCTCAGGTCTTCCACTGTGGCAATTCGAGTTTTACCTTTTCCTTCATAAACCATATCTGAAATTGGCTGTTTGACTGTGTATCCTGTTTTGGGCAAGGTAGCTTGTGCCGAAATGCTTTGGTTATATCGATATTCTTCACCGTAATAAGCTGTGCAAATTTGAGGCATAAAGATTGCCAGTATCCCTCTTATTTGCACAATTGCGCCTAAGCTAGCCTTTGGCTGTCAACGTGAATAGTGGTACTCCACATTAATATTTGTTAAATGGATAGAATCACAACTTTGAAATTAAACAAGTGCACGAATCGTATCAAATATTGTAATGCACGCGATATGAATCGAATACTAACATAGTTCTTGGTCCTAGCATAGATAAGTTACGAAGGAAAATTGTTCCAGATCTTAACTGATTATGGTACCTATTGCTTGCACAATAACTCAGTGATGATCATCATCTACTGTCTATCAGTGTTTGGCTCCTGTCTTCTGAATACGGAGGGCATCGATAGATGAATAGTATATTGATGTGCTTTTCTGATTGAATTGTTTGCAATTCCATATCGAGCCGTTCAAGTTGATATTATCAAAGTTTGGTGAGAGGTTCCAAATGCGTTCCACCTTTCCCCTTGTTTGGTGAAGGAAAAGACGATTCCTCAGTGTCCTCCCGAAACAGCAAGCGCAAACACTTGTAATCGCGACTGGTAGCATTTGCCATTTTTGTTTGCTCTGTAATCCTCCTAACACAAGCCTGAAAAGTACAAATATGAAGCCCAATTTTAACACGCGATGAGTTGCCAGGTGGACTCCGGCGTCGACCATCCTGCACGTACCGTGCATCAACGTACTACCTAAACCAGGACGTGCGTACATCGCACGAGGCATGTAGTAGTAAACTCGTCACTTGTCACCAACCAAACAATCGCCTTCGTCCCCTTCGAGTTTTACCACTGTCTGTCTTCTACTCTTCCAGCCTATCGTTTTGCCTATGCTTATGTTTATCATTGAAAATTTAATTTTTCAACCTTGATTTTAAAGTTTATTTTAGGGTTTTTTCATTGAAGTTTATTTTTAGCATTTACTTTTATATCGCTAAGAACACACATATAAAAATCTTATTCACAAATTACTTTTTGTTTGCAAATATACCGTTTAGCTTATTCCACGAATAGGTCAAACGATGAGACCATTCATCTGGCAGGTTGAAAAAGCAATGTACTCCCTCTATTTTTTTAAAAAAAAACTTAACCTGGGAAGGCGGATGTGAGCTATTAGTATAACGAATATGAACAACTCTTTATCTAGATTTGTTGTACTAGCCTACTAGGAGAAATCACATATTCGTTGAATTTTTGTTAGGGGATATTTAGATCTAGGAGTGTAAAATTTTGGCGTGACATATCGGGTATTATATCGGGTATTCGGGCACTAATTAAAAAACTAATTACAGAATACTTCAGTAAACATCGAGATGAATTTATTAAGCCTAATTGATCCGTCATTAGCAAATGTTTATCGTAGCACCACATTGTCTAACAATTCGTCTCGCAAATTAGTTGCAATATGTATAATTAGTTATTTTTAGTATATATTTAATATTTTATATAAATGTTCAAATGTTCGATACGATAAGGTGTAAAATTTTTGCGTGGGAACTAAACTGCGCCTTGGACGAACGGAGTGTGTTACACAGTGACAGTTTCCCGGTTTGCTACGGCGAGCAGGTTCCGTGCGTAAGCAACTAATGGAGAGAGAGAGTCAGTCAGAAAACCGCACGGCTCGCCAAATCCGCAGGTGCGACACTGCGAGGTCGACCGCGCGATGTCCGGTCCCTGACGCCGGTTTGGGTCGCTGCGCCGTGGCAAGACCGGAGACCCCTCCGGCTGCGGCTCGTTTCCAGGTGGAGAGAGAGAGAGAGAGCCCAGCCCAGCAGCCCGTGATCGATCCGCACGGCGATTGAAGCGGCTGCCCTTGCCTGCCACCTTGATCGATCGAGCATGTACATGCCCACTGTGTCCGTGTCACGGTCACGCCCAAAATTGGCCGTAGCGCGATGGCAGCATCTGAATTTTCTGTGCTCCCAGCTGAAGGCAGTCCACGTTAGAGCAAGTTTAATAGGATAGTCCACTACTAGCTTTAATTTATTTATAGCTAATTTAATAGCCAATTCATATAATACTAGGTCTCATCTGTCATACACACACTGTATTTTGGAGTCCGTGCTGCAGCTAGTTATAAATCTATAGCTCGCTGCTCTTCTCTCTTATCTTTTATTTCATTAAAATATGTTTATAGCTGGTTAATAATCTGCTATTGTAATTGCTATTACGTCGAGCTACCAGCCGTGCCAGATGCGCGCGCCGGTGTGACGGTGGTGTCGTTGGCCGGCGGCGTGGTTTAGTCAAACCAACCGGTGAAGGGGAGAGACCAAAAAGGCTCTGGATTTTCAGATCTTGCAATGACACTTTTGCCATGTGGGTGTCTATCCTGCGGACACGGATCCTCTAACTTTACATGGTAAAGTCACGGTGTGACTTTCAGACCATCTCCACCGTCCAACTCATCCAACGGAGGACGTCCCTGCGGATGCTGCTTCCTGGCCATTAATGCCATTTGATTCCTGATGGCCTAATTCTACCTAAAGATTAATCTAAATAATACTACATGAGATTAGTTCAGTAACTAAAAATTACCTGCCACTTTGTGTGCTAAGTTATTTTGTATTTTGGTGATTAAAATTTATAAAGGTTGTAATTTGTTATTATATGAAATACTAAGTTGGTATTCACACAAAGAAATAGGACATTGAAATTACTATGGAACAACTGAAATTTAAGCAAATAATTGTGTGAAACAAAAGAAATTTAATAATTGTGTACCAATCAGCTTCTTTCATTAACCGAGTCAACTAAAAAATCATATCAAATTTTGGTGTTAAAACAAACTAATCACATGCACTGATTGTACAATTGTTTGTTGATAATGCTAATTACAGTAGTTAGTCTTCACATGGAATCGGCAACTTAATTAGCACATAAAGTGACAAGTAATTATTTTTTTTTCAGTTACTAGACTAATCTCATGTACTAGTATTGGAGTATTGTTTAGATTCATTAATCGTTGAGTAGAATCAGCAAACAAATACTAGCATTAATGGCCAGGAAGCAGCATCCGCAGGGACGTCCTCCGTTGGATGAGTTGAACGGTGGAGATGGTCTGAAAGTCACACCGTGACTTTACCATGTAAAGTCAGAGGATCCGCATCCCTATCCTGCGGCCCTGTCGTTTCACCAGATTTTATGCCAGTTCCTTTCTTCTACGAGGACCATGGTCATGTGCAGTTTCACCACACATGTTTCGTATTGGCACATGCACCGGTTGCCCCCCTGGATCGCCTTGATAATCTGCACAAGTTCCAACTCTAAATAAGAAAAGAAAAAGGTGTAACACAAGTGGCTAGATCATTGCTTGTGTACCTAGAAAAAAAAGCAGGAAGGATCAAAATACATACTACAAAACCAAAAGGGAGAGATTTCTGATCAAAATAGAGCTCGACTGTCCAAGCTTCTGCAACTTGCCTCAATCATACATCAGTGCTGATGTAACATACCCTGCCAATTGGCACGAAACAAAGGGCAGGACCACGTTGTTTAACTGAACCAACAATTTTCAGTTTGCTCGAGTTACCTAATGTAATTTTTTCTTACTTTATTCAATGAATTGAATGCTGTCAGGTGCTAATCGTTAAAATTGGAGTTTAGGATGTGTTCACGTCAAAATTAAAAGTTTGGTTGAAATTGAAACGATATGACGGAAAAGTTGAAAGTTTGTGTGTGTAGAAAAGTTTTTGATGTGATAGAAAAGTCGAAAGTTTAAAGAAAAAAATTGAACTAAACTTGCCTAATCTGAAGGCCGAAACGGTGCGAGCAGCAGCAGCAGGAGGCTGACAGGTGACAGCCACAGCGCCGGATACGTGGCTAGGTGAGGAGAGCGTGAGGCTGGCTAGCGATCATAACAATGGAAATCTTCCACTAAACTATGACTAAAATACATATTCTCCACCAAGAAGGAATCGATGAAATGGAAGCAGGCCGGCCGGTGCGATCTTTGGCTACATGTGCTGCCCACAAATACATCGGCATGGTCGCAACGACAGATCCAATTTGGTGCCTCATAGACTAACATATCTCGCAACTCACATGCTTTCATACACTACTGTCTTCAACTCTCGAGTACAGATCTCTTTGTATCGATTGCCTATTTGCCTGATTGTCTCACATGGACGCTGTGTATATATATAACAATGGACTTGATCGAATAACATCCTCACTAATCACTTCTCAGTTCTCATCATTGTTCAGACAGTTCAGTAGCTTCTCTCCTCAGCTAAACACACAGCAATGAGATCTGTCAGCATTTCTGTCTACTTCCTGATCATCTCTGCCTTGCTACTTCTGCATTGCTTCCTAAGCCTGCAGACAGCAAGATTGCCTCGTGATGATTGGGCATCGGAAGAGAGGTTTCAGTCAAGGAAGCTCCTGCAGAATGTGCTGATCACAAGTTCAGAGAATCCACAGGTGTTCCTTGAAGCAGCATTACTAGTAGATAACAAGAGCAAGAAGCAGCCTGACGTCGAGGCGACCGAGAGCCTGAAGAAGGAGACGCCAAGCAAGGCCAACCCGATTCAGAATTAGTCAATTAGCAAGTGCAGATTATGACTCCGGTTGGAGACTGATGTGAAGTCTTTGTAGACTGAAGGCTGTATAGAGGGATTTTTGTATGCCGTTCTTTTAACTGAAACCATTCGATTCATCATTGTTTTATACTAGTATATAAAGCTAGACAGAAAAAGAGATTTTGTTTCCCTATTTCCATTTGTTTGCATCTTTTTCAGTCACACTCAACTTTATCAGCCCGTCAGGTCCATTGAAAGAGGTTGGTTTGGAAATGCATATTGAGCCCTGTACTGTTTCTTTTGTTCAGATACAGATATGCAAACAAAGTGAACATGGACCATGAATCCTACGGGAGAAGATGCGCCATCCTTATGCCTGCAAACTTGGCTGCAAATATCCTGTTCCATTATGCTACAGTGATCTTTATTCCCACACAACCATAAAAAGATAAAAATGACCTATTTGATGAGCCTACTTGCCAATTATCGTAGCTTTTGTAAAAAGGCAGGCACTTGTATGATAAGGCACATATGTTAAGGCGTTAGGAATCAATGAATCATTGCACTGAACTTTTTTTTGAGAACTATTGCACTGACCGAATATACATTTGTCCGTATCCGGTCCTCTCCAACCTAAAGCATAGTCTGTAGTACTAGTTCTCTACCGTCACGATCTACTCCTATTTGTTAATGAATTTGGGGCATATGAATTCCACGTGTATTCCAAAATTTCTCCTCAACAAAAAAGAAGCACTCCTTGCGTTCACTGTTCAGTGATTTTTAAACAGTCCAAAAATCCGGGAAGTTTGGACTGCGGGATTTGCAGAAGAAATTACCAACTGGGCTGGCTTGATACGCAAAGTTGGCCCAGTAAGAATCTGGGCTTGAGGCCGTCGATACGCAATAATGTAGCCCAATAACGCAAGGCCCATCTCTCACGTTATATACTCCCCCCTCTGTTCGAACCCTTGTTGACGCTGTAGGTTTCCCATTCCCGCCGCCGCCGCCACCGACGCCGTCGCCGACGATCCCATGGCTCCCGTTAAGAAGACGGTGGAAAACCTAAGCTTTTATTTGGTTTTGAAAGTTCTTGCTGTGTGGCTTTGTCTCTTGGTGTGGGCGTTTGATCGATGGGTGGGGTGTTCGCGGTGTTTTGCAGAAGAAGAACGCGGAGGGGATCAACAACAAGCTGCAGCTGGTGATGAAGAGCGGCAAGTACACCCTCGGCTACAAGACCGTCCTCAAGACCCTCCGCAACTCCAAAGGTAGCTCTTTGATTCGTTTCCTAGTCACCGCTCTAGCTTCATTCGTTCATCAGTCAAGCCTGGTACATATAGTGTGATAAATCTAAATCATTTGGAATTGGGGGTGGGGTGGGGGGCTGTAAATTTTCGGGGAACACATCTTATTATGTTATATTCCAGAGTATAGCATGGATCTTGGGCAGTTTTGCCATGACAGAAAGTTGCCCTCTGTCGTTTGGATGTTGTCATTTTTACTCATGTGGATGTCAGAATGGGACTGGAGTTTGGCTCTTCGGCTTGCCCTTTTTGTGTCTTAGAGATGAATGCAGCGCCCAACAACAATTCATCTTTCCTTGCTGGTGTTCTCCTTGATCAAGTCTAGGGGACTAAGTGAGATTGAAACATTTACTGCGTCACTGACTCACCGTTGCTTGTATGCGCATCACTAGTTGTTTCTACTATAACTTACAATAATGTAAATGTCCTCAGTTGAGAGAACTTTTGTCAGCCGTATAGTAATTTTTAGCATGGTAATTCATGAAATAAAACTGCAGGCTTTTTCATTTTATAACAAGTTTATCCAATCAGACATGTTCAGGTGATTAGGATGCTATTGCCATGTTTGTATGATTGTCCACGGTGAAGTTGCTAGTTGGCACAAGGGACTGAAGTTTGGCCCTTTGGCTTTCCTTTCTCAGCCTTAGGGATGAATGCAGTACCCAACAGCAATATAGTTTCTTTTCCTTACATAAATTTCCAGACACTCCCTTGTTATCTGGGAAAGTAAGGAGCTGAAACATTTTGTCTTACCTTTTTACATAGATATTTGATGTGGTCAGTTCATGCGTTTTCTTATGTTATTTCTATGAGTTAAAATCGTCCTATTTCCAGTTTATGATTACCTTGCTGTTTTTTTTGTAGTGGGCAGTAGGTGTTTAATTTTCACAACTATATCTTTATCTGGGGAATTCATGCATCTTGAAAGACTGTTACTTCTGTGAATGATATACAGTCTTGCTTCTGGTCACCATGATTGTGTTGCAAGGAATTAATCATTAAAGTGTTCATCATTATGGTGCTATACGAATCTACCTTTTTCACCATGGAATTTCTCTTCCAATGCTTAGTAGAAATTTCTATATCAGCTTATTCATCAATGTGCTACCTTCTTGATACCCTGTTTATCCATTGGGTCCTGATACTTTCACGATCTGTTTTGAATCTTCAGGGAAGCTAGTTATCGTTGCAAACAACTGCCCTCCACTTAGGAAGTCTGAAATTGAGTACTATGCTATGCTGGGAAAAGTTAGTGTGTATCACTTCAATGGAAGTAAGATTACTCTTCATTCACTGAACCACACATGATAGCTGCAAGGCTTTCTTTTTTGCATTAATTTATGCCTGTGCATGCATTAGCCTGTTTATAATTTGATTCGTCAATTTCAACCTCTCAAATAGGCTAACCGTTATGTGTTGGTTAATTCAGACAATGTTGATCTTGGCACTGCCTGCGGCAAGTACTACCGAGTGTGCTGTCTCAGTGTCGTCGATCCTGGTTAGTTTCAGTGACTTCAATCTTTGAACCTTTCCTTCCGCATCCATATGAACTCTCCATTTCCGTTCTTTTTTTCATTTGAAAACACCAATAATGCTTCTCTTGTAATCCAGGTGACTCGGATATTACCAAGCAATTACCTGAGAGTCATTGATGTGCATGCATTGGCCTTGTGACCGATCTTATCTTCACTTTTTGCTCACATGAAAAAGATATATATCTTCATACGGTGTTCTTGTGAAGTTGCGATACATTGATGAACCAAACCTGGCACACTTCAATAGCATCGCCTAGTTTTGCTCTGCTAAGCATCTGTCAACGGTAAAGGTAGGAGTGAAATGTATGTAGGATTTGGAGGTAATGGGAAATAAATGGTGCAATCTGTTTTACTTTCCGAGTATTCTCAGGCTGTCATGCATCAAGTAAATTTAATTAGATGACAAGCAGTTTCAAAATCCAACATTGTCTTGATGCGCGGTGTTGGCTGCAGCTATAGATGGCCAAAAGGCCCGAGGCCCGACGGCCTGGCCCATGGCACGGTGTTTAGGTCCGGCCCAAGCACGGCACGGCCCGTCAAGGGTCGGGCCCGTGCCGGCCCGGCCCGACCACCGGGCCGTGCCTGGGCCTCTCCGCCGGCACGTTGGGCCGGCACGGCACGGCCGGGCCGGCACGGCACGATGGGCCGCATGCCAGGCCCGACACATAAACAATAGGGAGTAAAAATAGACATTATATGCCACGGTCGAAAGAATAGGGACGTAAAGTAGACTTAATTTACATATATATATATATGTCAGCCCAAAGAGGAGGGACAAAAAATAGACTTATTTTCACTATATATATGTCACCAGCCCAAAGTGGAGGGACGGAAAATAGACTTATTTTCGCTAGATTATGTCACAGCCCAAAGAGGAGGGACAGAAATAGACTTATTTTAAAAAAAGGCACGATGGGCCACCCGCGCCTTCGGGCCGGCCCGGCACGGCCCGACAGCTGGTGGGCCGTGCCTAGGCCAGGCCGTGCCGGGCGGGCCTTTTGGCCATCTATAGCTGCAGCAGATGATCAAAGCCATGAAGAAATGAACTTGTCCCGCCCGCGATCGAAAACGCCCGTAGTTGCGCGCCTGCAAATCCAACTTCGCGTGCGGTGTGCCGTGCGTGTATGTGACCACCGTCTCGGAGACTCGGAGTACGTACCCTACGCCACTGGTACGGGGTAAATAATCGCAAAACCCACGCGCTCGCGGGTGTCGCCGAACCGGAAGCAGCGCGCGCATCGTCGTTGGGTCGCGGTCGTGGCTAAGCCGTTTCCTCAGCTTCCACGCACTCTCTCGATCGGGTCGCTGCCGCTGATTTGCCCAAGTAGATTTGGACTCTCGAATCCTAGTCGGATCCAGCCGCGCGCGCAACACGGACGCCCGGGTGTTATATTTTCCGGTCGACTTACGCCAATCACCAAGTCGCGCGTACGCACGGTCGCGGGGGCAGCCTGCATGGGGACCGTGTCATCCAGCAGCCGCCGCCGTGCGGCCGGGAGCCAACCAAGCAGCAGCAGCTGGGTGAAGGCGCTCGACGTGGAGAACGATGAGGAGGCGGCGGCACGCGCGGACGCGGACGCGGACGCGCACGCGCTCGAGGCGAAGGGCGACAAGCTGATGTCGCAGGCGAGGCGGGAGCTGCACGGCGTCTGGTCTTACGTCTCGCGGCCCTTCATTGTCGCTGCCAGAGCGCGCTTCTACTTCCACAAGGCCGCCGAAACCTTCGTGCTCGCCAACAGCTGTGAGTCTCTCTCTCTCTCTCTCTCTCTCTCTCTCTCTCTCTCTCTCTCTCTCTCTCTCCGTACTCCTCTCTACGTACGCCAACCAATCGCGTCCTCCGTGTTTTGCACATTTAGATCAGGTTGTTTTACTTATTTCAGCCGTGTTTTAGTAAGATTTCGTTCCAAAAGAATTAAATTGGTAATGTATACCTCAAGTTTATTTGCTCAAATTGAACGCATTGCCTCATTTGGAGGACGTTTTTTTTTTTCTGTTCTCTATAAGATGGTTGTAGAATTACTGCACTGTGAATGCGCTTCAACGATGCGAATCAAATTACTTTTCCATAGTAGGTTGCTAAACATTGTGTGACTCTTTTTCAGGGAGGAAAGCGGCGGCTGCACACCACGAACATGCCGTTTGTTGCATGAAGGTCAGTGTGTAATATGGCTTACGCGACTTTTAATTTCTTTCATTGCTAAAACCGCTCTAGACACATCTTTTGATGATACATTCTTAATTTATGTTCTTCCAATATTTCAGATTGGGCGATCAGGTAGGCTCAGAGCGGCATTTGCGCTCTTCGAGGCTGGAAAATGCTACATGAAAGTTCTTGAACCTGGTAAACACGACACGTGAAACCCTCACGCACGCTCTCTACTTCTTAACATCTACTGTACTAACTTTCACCACGTAGTAAGTATATATTCGCTAACCATCGTCATATGAAAAATCTCTTGACTTTCTATAGATGATGAGGAGATGACGAGCAGAACGGTGAGCGACCTGGAAAAATCCCTTCGCATGTTTGTCTTGGAGAACGAATTGGTAATGGCCGCAGAAGTCTGCGTGGAGCTAGCCAACTTGTATGCCATGCTGAAACAGTGGGAAAAGGTTAGGGAGTACAGACAAAAAGCGGCAGAATTCCACGCAAAGACGAGTGATGCGTTGTTCGACACTTCCACTGTTTAGTACTACCTCTTTTAATGTATGACACCGTTAACTTTTTATTCAACGTTTGACCATACATCTCATTTAAAAAATTCATGCAATTATCATTTATTTTATTATGATTTAATTCGTCATTAAATGTTCTTTAAACACGACATAAATATTTTTATATTTACACAAAATTTTTGAATAAAACGAATGGTCAAACGTTGGTCGAAAAGTCAACGGCGTCATACATTAAAATACGGAGGGAGTATATCTGTATATGTAGGATGTTGACTGTCAAATTGTGAGATGCCAAGATGATCAATATATATATATTTTTGAAATCTAAGCCAGCCGAGCTGGTTTATATTCAGAAGGAAAACACTGTACAGAGGTCACATATATCCCATACATCGGATTCCAGAGTTGCACTGTTCCAGAGATGGCGTTGTTCGATCATATATCCCATACATCGTAATCACACGGGGTTTGCTCGAGCTGCTGCGCCCTCAAGAAGACGGATGCGGCAGCTGACAAGGCTTCCTATGGCACGGCAGTAGCGAACACCTTGCTCGTTGGGGTTGGGGCCACTCCCATAATAATCCTTGGCTTGTAAGAAGCAATGCACTGCAGCGTGCAACTCTCTCTGTTCCTCGTGGAACTCAGCTAGCTCCTTGCAACATGTGGCAGCCGATTGCATATCATTGTTCTTGGTGAACAACGAGACCGCCTTCTGCAGAGCAAGCTTGATGGCCGCCACCTCCCCCTCGTCTGCATTAATTAATCACCAGATGAGTAAATAGTAGATTAGCTAACTTGACTATTAACACATATTAAAGCTAACCTATATAATATCACTACTAAAAAAATACATCGAAGTTGACGCTATAGATACCGGAACAGTTAAAACCGATACATATAGTGTTTTTCCTATTTCTGTGGGTGCGAAAATACAGAACCAAAACCTTTCAAAAACTATATATGTCGGTTCTAAATAAAAACCAATACCTATACCATAAATACATATATATATAGTAAATTTGTTTGGTGCTCCATGGTGCCCGAGCACCATTGTTGAAATTTACTATATACCCAATTCAAATGAGTATGAAACTTTTTCAAATATTTAGGTATTAACGTTAACTACTTTACTAACTAGTTCAAAGCAAGTTTGAACTGAATTCAAACTTGCTTTTGTTAGATTTTGATTCTAGTTATATAGCATCCAAACATATAATTAGTTAGGTATGTAATAATGGATTGTGAAATAAAGTTAAATTTGAGTTGTTTTGTTGCTAGGTATAGGTATGAATCGAATACTTATAACTAGGTATATACTCACAATTTAAAAATTTTGAAAAATTTGGGCGAATTTGTGTATTTCATACCATGGTGCCCGGGCACCATGGTGCCCCATATGAGTGTCCTGTATATATATATATATTATAGGTGGTAGTTTTTATATTATAAATATTGGTTTAAAAAAACTGAGCGGAGCCTAGCGACTGATCAACATGCATATATCCACTATTAAACTTGTTCTAATAACGAAACTAATCAGATAATTAACATTGCTAATTCTAAGTGGAGACTAATTCACGACACGATTCACTGACCTGCATTGTCCTGGATCTTCCTGTAGCATCTCGCTGAAGCGAGGAGCGCTACAGCTGCGACCAATTCTGCAGGTGGCGATCTTCTCTTGAGCCTCTGGATGGCTTCGTTGCCGAATGCTGCCGCTGCTTTTCTCCCTGCATATATAAATCAAATCAGATCAACGGAAGATCGGCAAGTAATCATCGATGATGTTACAAATCAATTAATGTTCGATCCAATCGATCGACGTTGAAGCAGTAACATACAGTTCTTGGCGAGGACGTAGGAGAGACTGGCCATCCTGAAGTCCTCGGCGATGGCGAAGGCCGTGTCGTGCTTGAACGACGTGAACCACCAGCTTGAGGCTCGCCGGTGGCCCCTCGCCATGAGGCGGTCGCCGCGCGCCTCGAGCTCGTCCGGCTCTAGCCCCTCCTCCTCGAACATCGCCGGCTCGTACGCCGGCGCCGCCTCCTCCTCCTCCTCGCCGCCGCGCCGCGTGATCGGTTCGTAGCCGCGGCGGCGAATGCGGAACTGCAGCAGGGACGCCATGTTAATTCCGGCAACGTCGACGGCGACCACGGTGTACGTACGTCGGAGGCGAGGGGTTCGACGGCCCGCTAATCAGTTGCACCCGGACTCGTGTGCTAACGTTCGATCGATGATGGTCGCGTACTTGTATAAAGGCGGTTCATAAACGACCAAACGACAATCTGCTTCGGAATCGGAGTGCATAAATAAAATCGGGGGTTTGCCATCGCCGCGCGTACTCGCAAACAAAACATCTGTGGTCTATTGTATATAAACTTCGGTCCCATAGTATATAAACTTTAGGTGGTATTTAGATCCAGAGATGTTGGAGAATGAACTTCTCCACCAGAGAACCGTGAGGCCCCCCTTTGTGAGTTCGGCCGGGGGCAGCGGGTGAGATTCAAGGGCTTGGTGAGTGGAGCTGTGTGATCTTGAGGGGTTAGGCCCCTCCAAGACGATGAAACAAAAGAGGTTTATACAGGTTCGGGCCGCTGAGAAGCGTAATACCCTACTCCTGTGCATGATTGATTGAATGTAGAACGCAAGTGCTTGGGGTTGTGAGACCCAAGCACCAGTTCGCTCGGAAGTCCCCCCCTCCACCACTAGGACTGGACCTCCTTTTATACCTCATGGGGTTACCACATTGGCCCAACAACCTAACCTAACTCCGGTGGAGAAGCATTATAATCTTTGCATTAAATGCATGTCTTGTCTCTTGACTTGGGAAGCCAAGCACACGTCGTTTGAATGATGGGGCCTGTCAAATCTTGCCGCCTGACACGGGGGTGCCCCTGTTAGTCACCATTTAATGGGTGAAGACTTCTGGGCTCCTATTACACCGGGAAACGGGAGTCTTGCTTTGACCAGAGCGGGAGGACCGATTCCGGTTGGGATAAGAGGATGAGAACCTCTCACCATCATTATTTGATGGGATATGTCAGGCTGCACGTCGCCTGATACACGTGATGGTGCGCCTGACATCTTGGGTCCCATCAGTCATTCGACCGGTCACAGACCGGTTGAGTGCATTGCACACCGCATTAAATGCGGCGTGGCGTGACCGCTCGGGTCGCCATAAATGCGGGTAGGTGGGCACCTGGAGGCGGACACCTAATCCACCGTACGTGGTGACCTAGAGAGGGGGTCGGAGGAGCCCAACCCCTAGTCACGGGAGGGGGCGGCCGCCGCCCGACCTCGGGCCCGATCCCCCCTCGGGGGGGAGCTCACGTGGCGCCTAGGGCGGCCTTCTCCCTCTAGTCTCGGCCAGGGAGTGGCCGCCGCCCTACCTCAGGCCCGACCCCCCTCGGGGGAGGGCCACGTGGCATTGGAGGGCAGCCTCCTCCATCCAGTCTCTGGGAAGAAGTGGCCGCCGTCCTACCTCGGGCCTGACTCCCCTCGGGGGAGGGCCACGTGGCATCGGGGGGGCAGCCTCCTCCGACTAGTCTTTGGGGATGGAGTGGCCACCACCCCACCTCGGGCCTGACTCCCCTCGGGGGAGGGCCACGTGGCATCGGGGGGCAGCCTCCTCCCTCTAAACCTGATACCCCCGGGCCCATATCACCGACAAGAGACTTAACTTTAGTCTATGTATTTAGACACTAATTTAGAGTATTAAATATAGAGCCTGTTTGGGGAGCTTTAGATACTGAGAAGCAGCTGTTTGATAGCCAGTTTCTGAGAATCTGGAAAAGCTCTGAAACCCAGCTTCTCTAGCTTCTGCCTTCTTAGTTCACTTTTCAGAACAGAAGCTGTGGATTATTTGGGGCAGCTTCTAGCAGAAGCCGCTTTTGGGAAAAGCTGCAGCTGGGACAAGCTCCCCAAACTGGGCCATAGACTACTTACAAAACTAATTACATAAATAAAAGCTAATTTGCGTGACAAATTTTTTAAGCCTAATTAATTCATAATTAGAGATTGTTTACTGTAGCATCACATAGGCTAATCATAGATTAATTAGGCTCAATAGATTCGTCTTGCGAATTAGTCCAAGATTATGGATGTGTTTTATTAATAGTCTACGTTTAATATTTATAATTAGTGTCCAAACATCCGATGTGATAGGAATTTAAAAGTTTTAGTCCCATCTAAACAGGGTCTAAGACTTCACTTGTAATACAATGATGCACTGGTTGCGTATTCCAAAAAACATCTATGATCTATCTGTTTCAGAGCACGCAGTTGTGTAAACGAGAAAGGTCCGGAGGTCTTCTGGCTAGCTCCATAAAATGGTGTGCTAGATAACCTGGTTTGGAGCCTCACCCTTCTAATTACTCCTTTCGTTTCACAATGTAAGTCATTCTAGTATTTCCCACGTTCATTTTGATATTAATGAGTCTAGACATATATATCTATCTAGATTTATTAACATCAATATAAATGTGGGAAATGCTAGAATGACTTACATTATAAAACAGAGGAAGTATTTAATATTAGGTCATTACCTAACATTCATGTCGTGTAAACGATCACCGCGTCGCAGTGTCGCATCATTTAGGCGATCCAAAAGAGAGGCCGAGGGGACGAGCCAAGAGCGACTGGTTGCTGGCGCGCGCGGGGGCGGTTTAGCCGTTTCATTGGGTGGGCTCGGGCTTGGCAACTGACAACGTCAGGGTCGGCGCTTTACCGCAACTCGCAAAGTAATGTACATAAATGTAGCGTGTCAAGCATTGTTACATGTACTACAATAATCTTCACCATTTAATTTAGCTAGATATAAGTTATAAAAAATCTAGATACACTCATGATATGACATATCCTAGTAAGAAAGAATTTAGTAATAAAAAATGAGTACGTATAGCTTTTTTCTAGATTGTCCATCTGCCTACTTGCCTACATCGTTTTGATATCACATTTAACTCCGTAGTTTCGTTTATATTTATGCTTATAAACGAAAATTGTAAAAAAAAAATTGTGTGCAGCTGTGTAGATTTTCATTAGGATTGATGTAGCAGAGCATTCCCTTTTTATGGACTGGATTCGAAGTGTGGTTTGCATGTTCAAGTCCAGATATGGAATGTGCTGAGACTTTGTATGCACGGACTTGAATTTTCGTACTCGCACAATTTTGAACATCTGCAATTGACATCTCGTTATGGTATACTGTAGCCTAATAGCAGAGTACTGTTGTTTGAACGAACCCTTGCTGCCGGAGTGCCGGTCTTAAGATTTTTGCTCTTAGGATTTAGTGAAGAATCATGCAGAATTCAGTATTTTATTA